AGTCGTAGAGTAAAAGGGTATACTAGATTCGTCGGAAAGTATGTAACAAACAGAAGGAAGCGTTTCCGACCCCATAAAGTATATATATTCTTAATCAGGATCACTAGCCGAGTCGATCTAGCCATGTCCGTTTGTCCGTCTGTCCGTATGAACGCTGAGATCTCGGAAACTATGAGAGTTACAATACTGGGATTAGGCACGCAGATTCCTGAGATTCCTGCGCAGCGCAAGTTTGTTTCAGTAGAGTGCCACGCCCACTCTAACGCCCACAAACCGCCCAAAACTGTGGCTCCTACAGTTTTGATGCTAGAATAAAAATTTTAACTGAAATATAATGTTCTCATCAATACCTATCGATTGATCCAAAAAAAAGTTTGCCACGCCCACTCTAACGCCCACAAACCGCAAAAACCTGTGACGCCCAAAATTTTTATGCTAGATAAAAAATTTTAACGCTTAAATCTGTATACCGCCGGTAGGTGGCGCATTTTAATCTCTCTTTGCTGCTTGCATATCTCCATTTAGCTGAGTAACGGGTATCTGATAGTCGAGGTACTCGACTATAGCGTTCTTCCTTGTTTTTCTTTGTAATGCTTAAACTATTATTTAAATAGTGAGTATTTTGTTATTGTTATAACAATAACTTTAAGAATTGTCCGCAATGCTAGATCTAGCGCATATTGCACCAAGATCCTCAAGTCAGTCCATTCTACCCTATTTTATAGTTGCTAAACAAGGTTTAAAAATAACCTTTACATATACGTATTACGTAAGAGTAACTCTTTAATGGGTCAAATATACAACCCATTGGGTTATACCCATTTAACTATTATGTTGGTCAATTCGACCAGAGTTTTTTCGTGTGTAAACATCAGGGGAAGACCCCTGTGCATGGACAAATTATCACCTACCTCATAACACATAATCGGGTTTCCAAATGATTAGTTATGAATTTATGTCTAAGACTATCTGGTTTTTTATTATGCTAAATTAGTTCTGTGGATTTCCAAAAATTCCGTTCTTGGGCTTGCCCTTTTCGATTAGCAATAAGTAAACAAACAAAAGCCTAATAAAGTTGAACATATTTGTCACTTACAATATGACCGATCCCATAGTCAAAGTTTTATTACTTGTTTGTTCTGAGAATTCAGTCAGTACATATTTTATTATTTACCCATTGTATTTATTTTATAGTGTTCAACTGGATATATACATTCGTCAAAGAATTTTTAACACGATTGTAGTTGTAAGTAACAAGAAAGGAAAGGAAGTTAGGTACAGACCTTTCCGGTTTTAGGAAAACTAAAAGTTAATTACAGAAATATAAAGGCAATGTTATATTTAAATTTACTACCGTAAGTTAACGAAATTTGTATTATTTTGACCCGACCCCAAAAAGTATATATGTATATTCTTGGTCAGCATAACATGTCGAGTCGATCTAGCCATGTCCGCCTGTCCGTGTGAACAATGTGATCTCGGAAACTATCAAAGATAGAGAATTGTGATTTGCGTGTGTACATCTCCAATTCCCTTTTGCTCCCATTATCTGTGTATCGGGTATCTGATATTTGAGGCACTCGACAATAGCGTTCTTCCTTGTTTTATTAAATGTACCCCTGCAGAGGGTTTTATGATTTCAGCCAGAAGTTTGCAAGGTTTCCGACCCCATTAAGTATATATATTCTTGATCACCATGACTAGACGAGTCGATCTAGCCATGTCTGTCTGTCCGTCCGTTTCTACGCAAACTAGTCTCTCAGTTTTAAAGCTATCGTGCTGAAACATTCTTAAACGTCTTCTCTCACTTGCAGGTAGTATATAAGCCGGAACCAGCTGGATCGGACAACTATATCTTATAGCTCCCATAGGAATAATCAAAAAAAAAAATTTTAGCTCCTACGCTTGGAAATAACATTTTTTAATTAGTTTTGAATTTTGAATTTAATTTGATCAAAATCAGACGACTATATCATATAGCTGCCATAGGAACGATCTGAAAATTGGTGGGAAAGTAATATGAAACAAATTATAGCTTCCGTGTTTTTTAACACATTATCTTATACTATTGGGAATATCATTTTATTTACTTTTGGGAATTTCAAATTTAATTTAACAAAAATCGGACGACTCTAACTTATAGCTGGCAAAGAAACAATCAGAGAAATGATGAAATAATAATTTTTAAAAAAAATTTTGCTTTGTTGATTTTGGTCGTAATTTTTTTTTACTCTGGGATATAGAATATTTTAACTTTTTAGTATTACGAATTTAATTTTACACAAATATCACTGAAGCTAGCAACAATCCTTAAAAACTTAACATGGTGTTATTAATATTGATTATTTCTTATAACTGCAAGGGTATACAAACTTCGGCTTGCCGAAGATAACTTTCTTTCTTGTTTAACATACGAACATTTTTAAATTAGTTCTGAATTTCGAAATAATATGAAAGAAATTATAACTTCGGTGTTTCTTGACATATTATCTTATACTATTAACAATATATTTTTTTTTTTTTATGAATTTCGAATTAAATTTAATAATTATAACTGCAAGGGTATAAAACTTCCTTTCTTGTTTTTATTATAGTAACCCTATATTTAACATATTACGTAAGAGTAACTATTTCAATGATCAAATCGCCGATTCGATGGGCCCATTGTGTGAAGGATCACTAGCCGAGTTGATCTAGCCAAGTCCGTCAGTATATCCGTATGAACGCTTAGATCTCGGAAACTATGAGATATATTGTTGGGATTAAGCACACAGACTAAGCCCACTCTAACGCGCACAAACTCTCATAACGGTAAAATGTGTCTCCACATTTTTGAAGATTTTGTTTTAGTGCAAGTTTAAATTGATTTCTTGATCAATACCTATCTAAGCTCTGAAGATTGCTTCATTGTTTTAAATGTTATAACTAACTAGCCACGTGGCGTGGATTATGATTTAAAACCAAAAATTTTATGGTATAATTTCTTTCAAAAAGATATTACTTGTTTTTCTTTATTTATTTTTAATTTGAAGTCTATTTTGGACTTTTTATATCTTGAATATTATCATAACGATCTACATCTTACATTCATGTAAAATTTGATTTTGAGTATTTCGACTTGTTGGCTATTTACATTAGTTACATAGTTAGACTTTGCTTGAAAGTTAGTTACATTTTACTCAGGCAGGCATCAACACTTTTTGTATCTAACCAAAATAGACACTTCTGGGTTACCCCGCTGGACAAGGGTCAGAGTGACGGGTCAGACGTCGAGTCATCCGTTGACATGGAGTATAATATGCGGGTCGGCAATTCTCATCTGCAGTGGGTGCAACTGGGCGCCTGGTACTGTTACCAAGTTGGCCACTGCTTGATTTGTTGGGTGCTGGTCACGTTGGGCAACATTGGCTACGAATACTTTATTTTCAAAACACCCCTCAATAATTTGTTATTAATTTAATGTTATATTAATTGTGACCCCACCCTCTTTGCAGGAGGTACACGAATGGCCACATCAACTTTGTAACAGGCAAGAAGAGTCCGGCGAGTGCCAATCTTCCGGAAAAGTTTGACTGGCGCGAGAAGGGAGGAGTGACGCCGCCAGGTTTCCAGGGAGTAGGATGTGGTTCCTGCTGGTCGTTCGCCACCACCGGAGCCCTCGAGGGTCACATCTTCCGCCGGACGGGAGTGCTGGCCTCGCTGTCGCAGCAGAACCTGGTGGACTGTGCCGACGACTACGGCAACATGGGATGCGACGGTGGCTTCCAAGAGTACGGTTTTGAATATATTCGCGATCATGGCGTTACCTTGGCCAACAAGTATCCGTACACGCAGTCGGAGATGCAGTGCCGCCAGAACGAGACGGCCGGTCGTCCGCCCAGGGAGAGTCTGGTGAAGATCCGAGATTACGCCACCATTACGCCGGGGGACGAGGAGAAGATGAAGGAGGTGATCGCCACCCTGGGTCCACTGTCCTGCTCCTTGAACGCGGACACCATTTCGTTCGAGCAGTACGGCGGCGGAATCTACGAGGATGATGAGTGCAACCAGGGTGAGGTGAACCACTCGGTTACGGTTGTGGGCTACGGATCGGAGAACGGACGGGACTACTGGATTATTAAGAACTCGTATTCCCAGAATTGGGGCGAGGGCGGCTTTATGCGTCTGATCCGTAATGCCGGTGGATTCTGCGGAATCGCCAGCGAGTGCAGTTATCCCATTCTGTAGGCGGACAACTATGTAACACAGTTAGATAGATAGTATAGACAATTAAAAACCACGAATTTATAACTTTGTTACTATAGTATGTAGCGTTGCAGTGACGACATGCAAGTCATTAGTCACTCAAATAATAAATAAAAAAGTGCCTTATCTGTTTACGTTTCCGCCAAGCTTTTGCGTTCAATATTACGTGGATGGCATTCTAACTTGCGTTTAACGTCCCCACTTTATTTAATGAACCAAATTGTAGAATGCAGGAAGGGAGCACAATAAATTTACATTTTTAAATTCTTTGATCCTATTAAATTTCACTTTAAGAAAGTGGATAGCGCATACAAAATTCACAAACAAAGAGAGAGGGCGCGAGCTACGGACACCGAAGCTTAGAACCCCTTTCAAGTAGGGATATTTTTCAAAAATAACATTTTGAGAGGTACTATAATTTAAGTCAAGTTTTGGTTTAATTTTAACACTCATCCAATAAGATGCGGACTTGAAGGGAAAATTGTTTCAAGAGTTATGTACTTTGTACAGCTTTCGATCGCAACATCGTAATTTTCATGCAAGGGTATACACTGAATGCACATGCAACTTAGGTAACTGACTCTACTCTCTTCAACGCTTTGAAGAGAAAGCAGGGCGAATGATCACGTAATGCCGAGAACTACAGATCGGCGGTTCTCGAGAGAGGTCTTATTAAGGCTTCCTCTCTCAAAGCAGCTGATCATCTTTGAGTATTCGCTTATATTTCACATACTTAATTTGCCATTCTCGCAGTCCGTTGCGCAGTACCAAAAAAGTTTTTGAGATGGGCACAGTTTTAATAATTGTTGGCGTTCCACTGATCCTGTGTTTGATGGGCGCGGCTTGTGGCCTACCAACAATTTCAACCACCACACCAGAAACTCAAAAAATTGATTTGGGGAGTAATGCCACAACTAGAATAAGCCCTACTGACTCATCGACAGCTACAGAAATCACAACTCAGTCAGTTAAAACCACCACTGCAATATCAGATGGGAATGGTCAGTGCCAATCTGCATGGCAAAAGTTCCTGGTAAGCTTTGATTACGCATTTCCAGAAATGGATCGCTTAAGAAAGTCATTCGCTTTAGATCGATTTTAATGTACACTACGAGAACGATCTCGAGCGACAAAAGCGAAACATCATCTTCTGCAAAAATTGGAAAAATGTTCAGAACCACAATTCGCAATACGAATCAGGACTCGAGAGTTTTAGAAAGGGTATTAACCAGTGGAGTGATCTTACCATTGAAGAGTGGAAGGAGAAACAACGCCCCCAGCTCAAGCCGAAAATTTCCGAGACTGATCTCACCATAGAAGCCGGTGAAGATGTGAGAGACAATAAGAATTGTCAGGCTGCCTGGGACAAGTTCCTAGTAAGATATTGTAGAATTACAAAAAAATTTCGAACTAAGTAATATAATTTGCAGATTGAATTCGGAGCGAAATATTACGATGCTGCTGAGACCGAGAGACGCAAAGATATTTTTTGCGACAACTGGAAAGCGATTCAGGTGCACAATTTGCAATACGAACTGGGGGTCGAATCCTTTAAGAAGGGTATAAATCAGTGGAGTGATCTTACCATTGAAGAGTGGAAAAACAAACAGCGACCTAGTCTTGCTCCAGAATTTTCTAAAATTCAGTTCAGTACTGAAACGTCCAAGAATGATCAAGATAACACTAAATGCCAAGATGCCTGGGAAAAGTTCCTGGTAAGATATGGTATGCAATTTATAGCAATTAAAAATATAATCTTGTGAGTTACAGATTGACTTTGGAGCGAAATATGAAGATGCTGCTGAAGGAGAGAAACGCCAACAAATCTTTTGCGACAACTGGAAAGCTATTCAGAAACACAATGTGCAATACGATTTGTGGGTTGAATCCTTTAAGAAGGGTATAAATCAGTGGAGTGATCTGACCATTGCAGAGTCGAAAAACAAACAACAACCTAGTCTTGCTCCAGAATTTTCTAGAGAAAGAACAAAGTCTGGATGAGGACCCCTGGGAAAAGTTTTTGGTAACATATAGTAGAATGAGTTCTTGAATTTTAAATTGTGTAATCTATTACAGACCGATATGCGCGATGATTCAACTTTTTGACCTGAAACACCTAACAACTCGAACTTAACAGCAACTGCAGTAATTCCAGTATTTTTATCGAACTACTTATAAATAGAGTAACACGCCCAAAGAGATAACATTACTAATTTTGGGTTGGTTTTTAAAAATATGTATTTATTTTTATTTAAGGGGTTTTCAGTTGAAAATCTTGTTTGAGGAGTTTCTCTGTTACAATAGTGTTCGCAAATGTTCAAGCCGATTTAGGGCTGGGTTCCCTTTTTTTCGATCTTTATTATTTAAATGAGTCAATTGTTTTTTTCTTTCTACCATTTAACGCACACGAATTCTACATGATTAATTTATACTTGTATATTTGCTGAGATCCCCATCTCCTTGTTGCATTTAACAGGGCGCTTCGTATTACACATACAATCCGTAAATATATATAATATATATGTATATAGTATTTAAATTAACAAATACATTTGTAGGTTATCGCAACTTGCTGCACTAAGTGAACATTTATGTAATCAATATGTTTACATTCATTGATATTTGAGTATATCGAAGGAGCCATCTCGCCCAGTTGTATCTGTCAGTTGAGATCTCCCCTTTACAATGCATAATGGGTATTGTACACATAAGTAAATTTCCATTTGATTGGGTATTTATAGTTACTATACAATTTGTCGTTAATATTTGGGCAACAATAAGCCTTGAACAAGCCCCATACCATTTTCAGCGTGCTCGCGAACCATAACTATTCCTGCATTAATCTCCCGAATTCTTATTCCCTTACAACAATTTCTCGGTTTTAAGATCTCTTATGGCTTACAATGTACATATTGTTTGGCGGTTATTGTAGTGGTTGCTATTGCTGCTCATTTAACCAAGCTTTGACCCTGGCCGCAGGTCTATTTGTGGGGTTTTCCAGATGGATATTGGATATGTGGTTTGAGCAGTGGTTCGTCTGTCCTCCCGGTGGCCAAATTGCATCGTTTTCAACTATTTGCACTGCACGTGTGTAAATTTATCTAAAAAACATCATGTTTCCCTCTGTTGTAGGCTATTGCCATCGTTAACAAGCTGATCATTGGGGGACCAGGGTCTGACACAAATCAAAATCATATAGTACGTACACGTAAACACTAAATAACTAACAACGTTGAAAGCACGGGTAGGATGTATACATATGGGATATATAACTAGTTGTATATCTGTATAATATATTGCAACAAATTCCCACTACAAAACTGCACACTCAACTTAAGGGGCTAGCTTACGAGTTATTCAAACTACTCTGACATATCCGATATCGGAAATATCCCCTGACTCTCCCGGTAGATAAAGCGTGGATTGGGAGATTGGATCCAATGCGTGGATTGGTTTCTGCTGCTGCTTGCTTGTATCAACTGTTATTGTTTCGGTTACTCTTGTTATATGTTCGACATCGGTGTATATGGTAAAGCCAACATGTGTGTAGCTGTTTAGTCGTGTAAACCTTTGCCAGTTGCACTACAAAATCGAAGTAAGTGTGTGCGGACAACGGAGGAGCAAGTTTGGAAATTCCTTAGTAGGTGGGCTGCTGGTACTCCATTCCGGATTGCTGCTGCTCCATGCCTCCTGTGGAAAGTTTTAGATTCATCGTATGAGAGGTGGAAATATCATTAAAAACTAGTAACTGCGGGCTGTTAACCTTTCTTCAGTTTTAGTTGGTAAAATCAAAATACAAATAAGATTCAGGAGTCCCTCTTGTAGTTCCTATCTGTGAGAAGGCCGGTAAAACAATCTTGAAACTATACTTCAAGCATAAACATACTTAGCACCGCAATGTAATAATTATGAGTTATTTATCTGTATTAACTATATAATTTGAAAGACACCTATTAGATAGTTTTTCCCTACTTGGAAATTACTCTGCCAAAGTCTATGTGCAATTGTCAATCATCGGCTTAAAAAATTATATTACAAATTAGATTAAATAAAGTTGCACATAAAGCCAATCTTTAAATATTTAAAGGTCCTTAAACTTTGAACAGATATCGACAATGTCTTGCTTCAACATACTACAATCGAGTTAAATCTGTATCTATAAGTGGAGAATGGATGACCAATCCTTACTCCCTTACACAGGGAATGTTTTGGCTATGGACTTACCCTGTTGGGGCTGGCCAAATGGTGAGGCGCTATACTGGTCATTGTCGTTGTCCATTGAGTAACCGTAGGCTTGTTGATGGACCACGTTGGCCGGGTCCGTTTCGAAGGCCGAAGTGAACTCATCACCGGCGCCGATCAGGAAGCGCTTGTAGGCCATCAGAGCGCAGAGGGCCTAAGAAACGGAGTCGTTGTTGGAGAAAACTAATTGCAGCACAAGGACTAAAATCTACCCACCCAGCTGACAATCGAGAAGAGGCAGAACCAAATGGCGGTCTTCATGCTGCCAGCTCCGATTCCCAGTGGCGGCGGGGGCGATGAGCTCCATTGGGACCACAAGTAGAGGAAGGCCACGAAGTACATGAAGGTCCAGAAGGCTGCAATGAAGGATTGTCATTAGGGTTCAGTCGTAGTCAAAGGAATGTACTGAGTGTACCCGAGAACCCCATGTCAGCCATGACGTAACGCTTTCTGCTCTTCACCGACGACATCCGCTCGAAAAGGAACTCGCCGCCCATGAAGCCCATGGAGGCCAGGAACCCGAAGACGCCCACCATGTTTCCGTACTTGCAGGCCATGCCATCGCCATTGTAAAGGCAGTACTCCTTGCCATCCTTCTCCGTCCAACCCTCCGAGGATATGCAGCCGAAGACCACGACCGAGAAGAGCTGGATAATGAAGTAAATTCCTTATGAGTGAGGGCATACATTAACTTTTAATGATGCGGTAATGGGTAGAAAATAGGTGACCCATTTAACATATTACATGTGTTAGTGATATATGTTTTTATGAACTCAGTCCTATGTTTCTTCAAATCACAATTCACGATAAACTACCTCGATATTTACACACTTCCACTCGACTTACAATACGTATATATTTTAGTATCCAGTTATTATTTTTGAAGACCTTTGCACTGCATTTTTTATCAAATCAATCTTTGGTCTTTGGGGACAGTAAGGGCAACTAAGAAATTTGATACATTCTTACCCTTATTAAATATAAGCTTAGATCTGGAGTCTGGAGATACAGATATTAGTATATTATGCTGCTATAGAACTCACACTCCACTATTGATTTTTTAAGCAGGTGCAACAAACCAGAAGTTCAAGTACACAGACATCGGGCAGACACGTACTTATGCTTGTGACCCAATTCGCGAAATGAAGGCCAAGTTTAGTTTGTTTGGCCAGGAGGGAGGAAAAGGCTCTGCAATCGCAAGGCAGAGTCCTTGGTCAACAGAGTGGGTAAATATTACGTATACACAAATGGAAAGCAAACAGGCACAAACTACCGCCCCCTCGGTTGTAGCACTTTCCCACTTGGATGGTGACGCACATCAAATCGGTGGTAAAATAAAGTCCTAAGCCTAGTGGTCAATTGCCCGGGACCTTACGACATTTAATTATAAAGCTTTTATGGACGTGAGAGTTTCTATGGTCGCTTTGCAGCTGAACAGTACCCCCCTTCTTCGGCTCAAATCCCCAGCGCCCCTGCGCAGCGGGTGTAAACAAATCGGACATTTGGGTCCAACTACGTTTATGTGGTGACATTCACGGTTTGCTAAGATTCCAAAACACACGTACGGCTTATGCAACATTAAAAAGCCCATCATGTAACCGTACGAAAATTGGCACAATAAGGTCATTTTTTGACTCAAAATAATTATTTTCTTCCTTATAATTTTCGGTTTTTTTTAAATTTGTTTCCAAGCTGTAATCTTTTAATAATATATTTAAAACGACGAATTTGGTATATCCTTTTACTCTACGGATAACGGGCATAAAAAAAGAACGCAGAACATTTTGATAAGTTTGGGATTTTTCTTTTTCAATTAAAATTAATTTCATTTACAGTCCTTATAAAACATTTTACAAAAGAATAAGACTTAAGGATGTGGATTTTATAAACGCAATATTTATGGCTTGAAAACAGAATATTTTTCTTAAAGCTGAAAGTTCAAGTGTCTTTAAATAAATTAAGCCTATTAATACGCTAAATAATATTGAGTAATACAGCGAAATAGGCGGGCAAGTTTGGGGTGTAAGATACTTTTCCCATTTCTTCATGAATTATGTGTTGTGACAGTGTGACAATCGGGTCGTGTGAGTGGCGTGTGTGTCCACAAATCCCAGCGATTCCCAGGACGGCGCTCGTACGAACTCACCCAGCAGAGGGCCCTGATGACAACTTGGGGCTTCATGGCGAACGTGAGGGGGTCGAAGGCGCCACCAGCCTTCCCGCCCCCGTAGGCGCCGCCATTATTGATGCTGAGTATCTGGTTGAGCATGTCCATGGTGATAATGGGTCTCCGGTTCTCGTGTTTGTCGTGGTTCTCGGGCTCTCGGGGTTCCTCCGCTGGCGTTTTCACTGACTGTTGTGAAAAATCGAACGCTTCTTCTGTCCGTGGGGCCAAGGGCAAAGTGGGGGCGGCTCACCCACAACTGTGTGTATATACCGTGCGTGGTGTGGGTGGGTGCGCTCGAGTGCTTGCTCGCAATTATGGATTACGGCACAGAAGGGAAATTTACACTTTTGCCACTAGCTTTCAAATTCACTTTCCGTTAACCGCGCTCGCAAACAAATCACTGTACTCGTGGTAATCAATCCATAATTGATGAAGAAATTTCAAGGGCCTGATTTTCACTTTTACTTTTTGCCAGCTTCGCTCTCAACGGAAATTCGACTGTCAGCGCGCAGGACTCTTGCTAAATGTACATATGTCGGAGCAGCCGAACATAGCCGCGTTTTCTTACGGCTCTGCTAAGAAGCCGTTTACAGCGTGCTGTAAGGCGCAGCCAGTGTGGCCATCCTTGATTTTTAATTCAAGTTCTGACACACATTTCGGGAAACTACAACTGAGATTTTTTGTTTGTGGATACTTGCGTTTCAAACTTCTACTATGTCTGCGGTGTGCTGGTGTAAGCCAAGGCAAAATTCGTACAATGAGGTACGACGGAAGATACAAAATTACTGTGCGCCGAACCAGAAAAGTGGCTGGAGTATACCCAATCGTCAGGTGAATTTAAAGACACTCGGTTTATTATCGCCCTATGGGCCATTCTCTATTCAAGGTAAAAGAAAAAAGTTCCTAGACTCTTTTTTTGAACAGGGCTTAAACTAAAGCAATTGGTGAGGCCTGACTTTGAGATATTGTTCGTTTAGATTTAAAAAACAAGAAAGAACGCTATAGTGGAGTACCTCGACTATCAGATATCCGTTACTCAGCTAAAGGGACCAAAGGGAAATGGAGATATGCAAGCAGCAAAGCGAGATTGAAATACGCCACCTACCCGTGATCTCATTATATGGTTATGTGGGCGGTAGACTAATGTAAGCGTTTTGGGCGTTGGAGTGGGCGTTGCAATCTTTTTTTGGGTCATTCGATAGGTATTGAGGAGAGTAAAACATTTCAAATAAAACTTTTTTCTAGCATGAAATTTGTGGGCGCCACAGGATTGGGCGGTTTGTGGGCGTTAGAGTAGGCGTGGCATGTTCACGTAACGAACTTGCGCTACGTACAAGGCAACGGAATCCCAATTCTCTATCATTGATAGATTCCGAGATATCCGAGTTTATATTTACGATTTTTTGAAGTTTGGGCGTGGCATACTTATTTTTGAGTCAATCGATAGGTATTGATGAGATCAATACATTTCAGTTAAAATTTTTATTCTAGCATTAAAACTGCAGGAGACACAGTTTTGGGCGGTTTGTCGGCATTAGAGTCGGCGTGACACCCTGCTGAAACAATATTGCGCTGCGCAAGAAGCTCAGGAATCTGCATGCCAAATCCCAATAGCCTAGCTCTTATAGTGTTCAAAATCTTAGTGTTAGACAGACGGACATACGGACATACGCCCACTCTAACGTCCACAAACGCACATATCGCTTAAATCTGTCATGTGTACCACATATTGAAATCGCGGGTAGGTGGCGCTTTACAATCTCTTTTGCTGCTCCTATATCTCCATTTCTCTCTTGCTCCCTTTAGTGAAGTAACGGGTACATACATATATGGTAGTCGATGTACCCGACTATGGCGCTCTTTCTTGTTTAGTCTTTTAATCGATGATTTTTTCGGGTTAAAATATTTGTAGTGCTCCGATGTGGGAAAACAATTTGATTCCGTTGTTATTTTATTTTGTTTTTAATGATCGAGTATGCCCATTTTTTGCCTATGATTTTAAAATGGACCCCCGGCTAATTGTTTTGAATATTGGAATTAAAAACTCTTGATGTTTCTCAACTTTTGACATTATGTAAAAATTCCCGACAGAAAGTTGCTGAGCATTAGAAAAGGCAACAAATTTTCGAGCATTTTATTTCCTTAAAATAAATAAAACCTATGTAATTTTCATACCAAATTATGAGGAACAATAACGATGTCATTATGTTGTTTCTTTTTATTATCCTATCATTTCTATCTTATCTATACAATATAGTTGACCCAAAGGCCTTTTTGACTTACTAGAATCGTATGTTGATGTTGATCGAGAATATATATATATATTATTCTCCTTGTATGTGTCTAAAAATGATTGGGTTGATTTTGACACAGCGAGAAAGGCTGTCCCACCAGAAATTTCATAATATTTTAATTTATAATATTTTTATTGGCATATAGACGATATTTTCATACAGCCAATAGCAATGTGGAAACTGGTAATATGGAAATGTGTAAAAACTCTTTTTAAAAGCCTATTCACGCCGCCGCATAAAAAGAACCAGAGCCTCCTTGTTTTGTCTTTCTTGTAGCTTATTGACTTCTTTTACTACTATAAGCAAAAAGTAAGGTGAATTTGTTTGTAAATTGAAAAATCCTTATATATTCTCGTAAATCAATTTCATCCCCTTCAAAGTAATCTCCTCCCGATAAAATACTCTTATGCAAACGTTTTTTCCAATCCTCGAAACATGCCAAATAGTCCCTTTCTGGTATAGCCATCAGCGCCTTCTTTTATTCAGCTTGTATCTCCTCAATAGACTCAACGCGTTTTCCGGTGTGGACTCTTGAGTTTTGGGGATAGCCGGAAGTAACACGGAGATAAATCAGACGAATACGGGTGTTGCGGAACGATATGCGTCGAATTTTTGGCGAAATGGTCACGAAGAGTGAGTGCGGTGTAAGACGGTGCATTATCGTGATGCAAGAACCTTTTTAGACGATTGCTTTTCGCATATGATGCATAACGCTCAAATAATTATTAATTAAATGTTAAGAGTTTGGCCGGGTGGAAGGAATTCGTAGTACACCACACCACAAAAAGAACTGTCATCATGTACTAATTTTTGAACGACTTTGACGTGCTCTTTTCGGTCTAGCCTCGGCTTTAGCATCATATCTGCTTAGTTCCTCCGTCGTTTCATGGTCGTAAGTACAGATCCATGTCTCATCTCCCGTAATAATGCATTTCAGCTTATCCTCATAGTCAGAAAGCATTGTTTTTTTTTTAAATTAAAAATTCACCCTACTTTTTGCCCAAACCACTATCTTAATAATTTGACTTTTAGCTTAATTTTGTAGAGCCAATTGGTTTATAAAGGGCAAACGTCAACAAAAATCAGCGATAAAGTTGCATACGATATTTGCTGTCGTTGCAAACAAGGAAAACCAGAAAATCTCAAAGGGCAAAGAACACCTACGAAGATAGAAGAGCATTCTGTTTCGCCTGAAAAAATAGACCATCGGAACGCTGAACCCGCTTTAAAAGCCCAAACATCCTTAGCTCCACTCGCCCAACGTCCCATCATCGTTAGAAAAATAAAACCCAGCTGGCGCGAGGAGCACGAAAAAAAGGTCAAGGCAAGTGCCAAGGCTCAGGAATTAGAAAAGAAGAATATTTTGATACAAAATTTGAACAAAAAACGTGATGCTCTGAACAAGTTCCAGAAACATTTTGAGTTAAACAAGGCTCAGACCGTTCGTAGAAGCCAAATAAAGGATAGCCCATACTTTAACCCTTCGAAAGCAATGACGCCTGACCCTCGTCAAGAAAGTAAAAGTCCGTCTGCTGAATATTTCGAGCATGCTTTGCTTAAGCAGGTTTCCAAAGAAAGACTAACTAGCAAGGACCTGAAGAAAATCAAGCGAGTGCATACTACCTTTGGCATTTACCAAAAGAGAGAAGAGCAGGCAGGGAGCAAGGAGGCTCAAAGGGCCTCAGAACATTTCGGCCCAATGTTTGAGAAGACGACTACAGTGGTGCCCGGGCTGCATTCTGCTTTGAAGAGCATGCACAAACTGGAAGCTTTCAAACTCCCCACAAAATCAGCTCAGCACACAGATCTTTTTAATGGAATGCTTAAGGGTAAGGCCGTCAAGTTTTCCGAGCTTAATCCTCTTCTTAAATCGTCTCAACGTCTTAAAGTTGCATTACCGAAAGAAAATACAAAAATTAGTAAACAGCGTGAAGGGAAAACTACCAAGGTCGGAGCCAAGTTTTCATGGGGGTTTAGGAAAACGCTAGGAAACTGGCAAAATACCGGAAATAAGAGCTTTAAAGATTTAATAAAAGGCAACGATGTTGAGATGCCCGAACGCATTTCAGCATTGAAAAGCCGGACTCGATTGGGTTCTCAGATAAAGCAGGAAGGAAAAAAGGCAAAAACTAAGATGTCCCAGCTGAAAAAAAAGCTAGTACCAAATTTTGGAATTCGTACTTCCGAGAGCTACAGGCATATTAATATTACCAATACAAAAAAGGGTCCGACAAATCTATTCCTGGAAATGCTTAAGGGCAAAGAAACCTTAATGCCAGAACTCAATCGGGCATTAACAAGCAAGTACCGAATACAAGCTGATAGTAAAGCTCTTAAGAAATCAAATAGCGACCTAAATCCGGTATTGTTAAACAAGAAATCAGTATTAACCAAAGATCGAAAAGTTTCGGGATCTTTTGAAAAAATAGGGACGGCCAAAGAACCCGAAGCCTTACGACACTTTGAGAAAATTCTGGCTTCCAAAGTCTGTAGATTGCCAGACATTCGTGGAGTACTAAAACGCAAGGAAAGGGCTCGACCACAAAAATTCCAATCCAGTTCATCCAGTGATTTCGATAATTTCTCGCTTAAATCAAATCGGTCTTCAAGGCATCACCTTTCGTTTGCGTCTGGGAAGAAGATAAACCTTAAGAAATTTTATCAGTACATAAAGAATTCAATGCCAGATCGGAAAATATATTACCAGATGAACTCAAAGAATCCGATTTCCTACTTGACCAGCGAGAAAAGTTTTTTTTATCAAAAGACACCCAGTCTAACCTCATCGGATAAAAGCCAGCGAACTGTCGGATCGGTAATCAGCACAACGGATTTTGCCCAGTCCATGTTACCGAAACGGAAGAGGGAGGTAAATAAGGGGTTTGAAGTGATAGACACAGACGAAAACTTGTTTGACATTCTTCCGGAGGACCATGATATACATGATGGCTTAAAGAAAACAATGAACGACATCATAGCTGGCATTGCAAAAGTAGACAAAGCCCAAAAGAAATCCCAGTCAAAGCAGGAGAAGAAAAAATCAAAGCCGAGTGAAAGCACTCTGGAAGCCACGGACAACCGACAGAGCATCTTGTCCTTAAAATCGGTGGGCGAGGAGGTCAAGACCCGTGAGAGCTTGGCACTCAGGGATCTGGATTTGCGGGAACAGTGGCGGCAGACTTTCATCACTGAGGAGCGGGCCTCTGTGCAGGCACGCATCCAGGAGCTGATGGAGGAAGTGGCCATTCGCAAGGACTTTCGACCCTCGAAACCCGCAAGGGATTTTGTGACTGAGAACATTCTTACCGTTCGTAATAGTCGGCCGACCAAAAGATCACACTTAGTGGAGAAGGTGAAACCGCGAGGAAAGTTCGAAACCTTGAGTGAAGTTTTGACGGTGCCCGAAGACCCTGTAAATCTTTCAAGATTCTCTGAAGGAATCTACAACAAGTATTTCCAGGAGTGGCACGAGGAGTTTGCCTCTACGCGAAAGGATTCTCTGAAGCCCGTAAGAATACGTCGGTACTCTGACAAATTGTGGAAAGACCATATGGGTCCTTATCAAGCGGAGATTAAGAAATCCTCGGCAGAAGAAACACTTTGTATGTTAACTGAAAGAATAAAGCGAAACTGCTGCCCCTGAGGTTAGTTTCCAAAAAGTAATCCAATCACTGCTAATAAGGGTCCTCTTCTTTAGGCAAGGACCAACAGGACTCGGATTTTATTCGAAAAGCAGTGAACTTCGATCATATAGCCTTAAATTTCGGGCAAAAACATATAAACAGGAGATGTGTTTACCAAAGAGCTTGTAATATTTTAAATATAAGCTCTTAGTCGGTATATTTAAGATTGCTCTAGCACTAATATTACACTTCAAACCATTTTTGTGGGTCAATCAGCCCTTGCGAAACTAGGTTATTTTTCTAAAATATCAGTTTTAATACCACAAAATTTCGTTACCGTCATGAATATTTTTAGTGCTCTAAACACAAAAAAGCTGAACCTACAGAATACCTGCACCTCATATTATGACTTTTTGACCTGTGGGCAGACCTGTCTGGATTCCTCGAGATGTTCCACCCTCCTCAGCGATGCTCCTGTCCAGCAAGAATTAAGGGAGCCGCCAAGCCTAGCAAGGTGTGGACTAAAGTACTTCGATGTGGACGACAAGGCGGCGGAGTGGTATCTGGATACTCGACGATACACAGCCGAGAGGAAGCCTTGCAAGCGGAAGTTTTGCTTCCGGTTTCGCGTGCCCGTAAGACATGCCGTACGCCGGAAGGACAAGGCGTCGACGTACTCCCTTCCTGGTCGACGGGTGTCCCCAGAGTTCCTGTGCCTCCTTAAGCAACACCACGCCAGGATGCGGGGCTTGGAGCAGCCGCCGCGTAAATATCTATCCCGCAAGCCAAGTTTCTCCTATTACAAGTACGACGCGGCGGCCAAGAGACGACACATGCGTCCGGGCATCGACACTGCGGCTCCTGTGGAATTCCCCTGCACTAATTTGACATGTACACGTCACCATGAGCAGCTTTGCCCCTGTCCTCAGAAGAAGGAGTCCCTTTCCCCGGCACCCTTAAGTCGGGAAGACCCTCAGAAATCTGAAATCAAGTCCAGCAAGAAGCGCTTGTCCCTGTTTGCAAAAGATAGAAATCTGAGCGAAAAGAAAAGCAATCAAGTAGTTTCAGCGGAAAGAGTTGACGATGAGGCTATGGATGAGGGTAATCTGCAGCCAACGGAGAGCCAGCTGGAAGCGACTAGACTTCACAGAATGTATGCCAGCAATCCATCCTTAGTTACGCCGATGGTAATTCAAGATCAACCTAAGCCACCGGTTTCCAAGTCTCTAAACAGTTTGGAGGTTAGCTGTCCATCGAAACCCATTTTATCTAGATCACATTCCACGCATGTAACACCCATGGAAAGGATTAATAATTGTCCCTGCCCTATTGATCAGCCTAAATGTTTGCCAAGACCCTGCGACCAATCCATATGTCCCGGTAAAACTCCCAGATTTAGAAGAAGTCGAGACCCGCGCTGCGTCGAGTACGAGAATCGTCCTTTCTTCAAGGCCATTCAAGGAACAAGTAAAGTAAGCGGTACGCAAAGTAGAAGTATTAAACAGAAGAGGTGCACTCAGACTAAAACCACCAGTGACAATAGAACACATCCAACCGATCTTAGAGAGAAGGATTTGAACAACAGGACAGGTCAACATCATTGTAAGAATAAAGGTTTAGAAACAAAAGCTCCTTCAGAGAACAGTTTCTATGCATCCATCTCAAGTCGTCAGCAACATAGTGAGGAATGCCTTCATCGACCCGACTTCTATGATGTGAACGATATAGAAATTCCAGCTAATTGCAGGGAAGAAAGCATAGGTTACAAAGGATTTGTACGACGCTCAGAAAAACAGAAGATAATTGATCGATGCGGTGGTCCCATTCCGAAATGCACGAAGATAAAGCCTCCGCCTTATTGCTATCTGTGGTCCGCCGTGGATCCGGACATTCGGGAAGCGGAGAAGCGACGTCTGGCGGAGCACAAGTGCTACCAGCGGCAAATGTTTCCAGACAGTAAGCCATATTCATACTACTGGTCAAAAACGAAACAAGACATAAGAGGGCAGGTAAAGCGCAGATTGAAGAAGACCGATAGCAAGCGCAATTTTGGGGTGCTCCAACCACACAATTTCTGCCGAATATGTCCAGATCGAAATCAGGAAACGTGTTCCTGCAGTACATCCATAATAACACAGTTCGTTGAAAAAAGTAGTTGGGATTTGGATGATCACCACACCTACCTAACTTGTTCACATGGCAGGAAGCCAAAATCCTACGTCCCAGGGCACACTGGGAACCGAAAACAAGCTACATCCGATGAGAGTTACCCTGCGTGGGAAGAAAAAGAAAATTCTCCAACCGAAAGCCATCGAAAGTGGTCGGGACTCGTTTCGACCAAGTTGCACACAGATTCAGATAGACGCACCCCGAAAAAGCCACGCCTGCTGCCCAGACTACACGCCTTTGCCAAGCGATTCCTATTTTCCGGCACCAAAGGACTCCATTTAAAGTCAAACCAATCGGGAAGCGAAGGACCGACACATAGTACACGATCCAGATATTCCAGCGCAGGTGTTTCTAAAGAACGGGAATCTTATAAAACTAATCTTCAAGAGGATAAGAAAATGGAATTATGCAATGACACTTCTTCGGTGGAGAGAAAGATCACCTTTAGGGATCACGCCAGAACTCAGCATATGCAGGGACCAAGAGATCCTAAGTTATGGGCCAAACAAAGTCAAGAAAACTTGAGTCCAAAAGAATTTCGGCAACAACCTAAAACAAAAGGGAATAGACCGGAGACCCACTTAAACCGGCCTACCAAAACCTCATTTACGTCGAAAATAAGGCCAGGTTCTCACTCCAACTCTTGTTTTGAGCAACCATCATGTTCCACACGATCATCCAAATTCAGGAACCACCATATGTCCCAACCACAGAAGTCCCCCAGATGTACCAGAAGTCCGTCCCGTGGCAGCAGTAGCAACTGGAGCAGCCCTTCAAGTGACCATTGTGTAGGCCGCCATCCACCGCAGCAATCTTCCTGCCAAGCTCCTCAACCATTGGTATCCCGTGCCCAACGAGAGTGGGAAGAACATCTCGAGCGGAAAAGGGCCAGAAGACTTAGGGAGGAGTGCAGACCATGTACTGATTACTTATTGACCTCACGGACAAAGGAGCCCAGAAATCCGGACATACGTCGTGGAGTTGTAACGTATCGAAACTATGAGTTCTTAAAGGATCCCAGTGATCCCTGCCTGATTAAGCCAACGGGCAAATGTTTCCAGTTCACACAACATAGTCCTGTGCTCAGAGATAAAAACAACTACTCGCGATCACGAAGACGTCGACGTTCTGCTCAATGTTGCGATGACTCCGATACGTCAAAGCACGGCCAGAGTTCGAAAAGATCGGGAAGAATGCGGGGAGGATTAGATTTCCGGGAGGAAGTCTTGGGTTCTCGAAGGCATCGTTACACAGCACACACCTTTCCAACCAGCTTGCCTTGTAAGCTCAACACCAAAAAGAGGGTTCAACCCATCAAGCCGTCCAATTCGCCTATGCACTTATTTAGTTTCGATTAGGAGCAGAGCAATGTAGCTTGCCGCACGACTATCAAATGGATAAACCATATTTATAGGAATGGATTACCGCTTGACAGCCGAGCTAGCATGCCACAAATTGTTCCGACAAATTATCGTACGTTGTTCATTTCAAATTATCACGATTAAAGTTTTAATTGCGTACAAACAACTGATTTTGTTACAAGAATATAAATGCATTGCTGGCTGGGAGGGGTCGTACTACCATCGGGCCTTATTCGTTGGTGAACTTGGCCGGGCGCTTCTCGGCGAAGGCGGTCATGCCCTCCTTGCGATCGGCCTACAGGAAATCAAGGATATCAGATAGGGTAAAACATAGAAGGAATAAAGGACTCACTGTTGAGAACGTAGCATGGAAGGTGCGACGCTCAAACTTCAGACCCTCCTGGAGAGTGGTCTCGTAGGCCGTGTTTACGGCCTCCTTGCACAGCTGCACGATCAGATTCGAGTGGGAGCCGATCTTCTCGCCCAGCTTTACGGCCTCACCGAGCAGCTGGTCGGCGGGCACCACCTTGCTGGCCAGTCCAAGCTTCTCCGCCTCCTGGGCGCCAATCATGTTGCCGGTGAGGCACATTTCCATGGCCTTGGACTTGCCAACGACGCGGGTCAGACGCTGGGTGCCTCCGGCTCCGGGAATGGTGCCCAGGGCAATCTCCGGCTGGCCGAACTTGGCCTTGTCCCCAGCATAGATGATGTCGCACATCATGGCTAGCTCACAGCCACCGCCCAAGGCGTAGCCGTTCACGGCCGCAATGATAGGCTTCTGAGTGCGGGCCACCTCAGTCCAGTCGTTCAGGAAATTTCCCTGAATGCACTGCGAGTATGTGTTGCCCACCATCTCCTTGATATCGGCTCCAGCGGCGAAGGCCTTCTCGCTGCCCGTCAAGACGATGGCGGCGATGCTCTGATCCTTGCTAAACTGTTGCAGTGCGGTGGACAGCTCCTTCATCAGGCCGTTGCAGAGAGCATTCAAGGCCTTGGGACGGTTTAGGGTAATCACAGCCACGTTCTTGCCCTCGCCGGCCACTTCGGTCTTGATGTACTCCCAGCTGTTGGTGGCTGAAAAGAGACGGCGTTATGAGGTGATCGTTATCGTTACGCAACCAATGTTTGGCTGGAAAAGTACCAAGATCTAGGCAGAAACCGGCACTTGATATCTTGATATTCCAGCTTAGGGTGGAGCTGGCCACTGACCGCGTGGACTTTGATCTTCCTGAAATCCCACATATACTTACAGGAGCTGCTGAACCGGGTGGCCACCTGTGGCTGGCGAGCGGCTGCCTGCAGGACACCCTGGGCACGGGAGGCGAAGATCTTAGCAATGTTGGACATTTTCAAGGGGACTCTTAGCCGGCTGTAAGTGCAAATCGTTATCTAACCGAGAAATATCTAGCATGGAGCCACTTTGGTGCGGGGTACCTACGCTTCGGAGCACTGGAGCAATATTGGCGCTCTCGACGGGAAAGTGTGAACGCGTGTCTTCCCCGCAAAAATGCCACGATTTCCAGTCACAGTTTAGTAGAAGCAACAAGTGTTTTTCACATTAATAATATTATTTATAAATAATTAGCACTTACTGCTTACATAATAAATTGGACTCTTATGTAATCCCAAGAAAGAGTATATTAGCATTAAGTCCTTGACTCGATCTGTAATTCTACTAGATTAAAAAAAAACATTTTTTAGTATTTTAAACAGTGATTCTACTTTAAAGTATCATTTTTTTAGTCTTAAAAATAATACAAATAAAAGTTATCTATTCATAAAAATATATATGTTCAGTGTCTAACGATTTTAAAATTAACAGTGACTTTCAACAGCATCTCAACAGAGTTTGTCAGCACTTAAACGGTTACAATTTACACTTTATAAGCACTTAAGCATAATAGCTGATGTTCAGCTTATCCTTAGACCTTTGGCAAGTCAGTTGCTTTGGGATGCGTACTACTCGTCTCCACCAGCCAAATGTGCTCCTCACGTTGCCTTCTCTCGCCATTGTCTCGCCGAACCCGCCAAATTAGGAATATCAATACCACCATTAGGAAAGAGAATATGCATATTACCAGGCTAAAGATAAAGGCTTCGGGCGCTGAAAATAAGTTAATTGAAATTGATTGAATAAAGACGTTATTTGAGGATCATATTTACTTTCGCAGTATGGAAACTTCTTAGCCCACAATGAGTCTTCACAAATGTTCTGGTCCTCTCCCTTAAGTGAGTGCTCAGCGGGACACTCGTAGTATATACGAGTCCCATTGGCTACTCTGGATCCTGCAGTTAGGATCGCATCAGTGAAATGCTTCACAATCACGTTTGGCAACTGTGGAATCGCGCACTCCCCATTCCCCTCAATAAGATAGGGACGAGGTCGCTCTTTCACTGTGGGAGTCATCTCAGTAAGATCGACCTCCGCGGTCGCAGTAGTTGATCGGACTGTGGTTGGGCGGGCGACACCTTCGCAAAGAGACTCCAGCTCATCATCTCCGTCCCGGCAATCCCTGATCCCATCGCACAACTTGGAGTAGGGCATACACTGGCCGGAGGAGCAGTACATTTCCCAGTTGTCGCAGTTGGCCTGCTGCATCTGGGCCCGGCAAAGCCATCCCTCCTCGTCCGATCCATCCACACAGTCCCGCCCGCCATCGCAGACCACTGTGCTGGCTATGCATGCTCCGTAGCTGCAGCGGAATCCATATCCCGGACACCAGACCTTCTCACACATGGCGGCAGTCTCATCGGAGGCGTCCAAGCAGTTGGCGGTGCCGTCACAAAGCTGGTCCAGTCGGATGCAGTCGCCTCCTCCGCACCGATGACCGCAGCTCGAGGCGTTCGGCGATCCAGAGCAAATGGAGAACGCCAAGGAGAGGAGAACTACGAGCTGCAGGGATCGATTCTGATGCGCTTCGAACATTCCGAATGGGTTCCAATCAACAGACTGCCGCTTCCATGTCGAGGGTAAGGTTTTTACGGGAACTGTCCAATCCAAACCTGTTTAATGAAAATATGACGATAGCAGTGTAATATTCTGTCATGGGCTTTTCTGAGCGGCTCTGATTATTGCTTTGCATGTATCATTGACTGAGTTTGTTTTGCTTTTAGATAAACTTATCAGTTGGTCTTTCCATAATGTATACGTACGTAGTTGTAATTCTACTGTAATGGCAAATCCACACGAAATACCCCCCATTTCTGTGTATTAATAAGATTGTAAAAGGGTTAAATTCTCTTAACAGCGGAAATAGGTGACATATTTATGATAATCATAACAATTACGCCAATCATTCGGGGTCAAAAACCACTGGAAAGAAAAGTGTTACTCAAGAAATAGTATTAATTCTTGACAAACAAAAAATCACTAGTAGTACAGATTATGGAATAAAAATTGTTACATTATTATTATTTATTCATCTATTGGTTTATTTTTCTCATTGCTTTCATATGCATATTCTACTGTTTCTCAAAATGAGTATACTTTCGTTAGCATGAATTATGGGCTTAAGCTTATAATCGAACGCATTAATTATAAAGAAAAGCGGCTTGTGTTAGTTGGGTACAAATATAAATACAGCTCGGGGATGGCTGGCCCGAAACAAAAAACTGCAAATACTTGAAGTAAACTTAAGTAACACGTCAAATGCCTTCCAACGAGGAAAGGCTTATTATTTCTTGTGGGCAGATGCCGGCGGCGTGCCATAAAACTTTCGCTTCTTAATGGTGCCGCCTTTAAAGGGAGTTGCTGTGGAAAAAATAATCAGGAAAATAGACTATAATAATTCCGTAAGTCACTTACCATACAGCGACAGCAAGTCATGTTTGCTGCTGGGCACCCTCTTGATCACTGTTGCCGGCGTTCTTGTTGGATCTACAACGATGTATTGCTCCCAGAACGAAACGGGCAGCTCGAGCAGTGCCTTCATCACCTGTTTCTGGGTAAAGACCTCTGTGTAAATCGCATGCTGGTCGGGATCTGGCGTGGAGTAGCCCACGATTGTGGGACCAAAGATGAGCGAGATGTTATCGATCGGCATCAGCACAACTGGGCACTGGGCAATGCGCTGGAAATGCAGTATGAGGAAGGCCAACGTATCCCGATTGGCTTGAGGTAGCTGCTTCACCGATTTATACAGCATCTCCTGAGCGACATTGGTGTCTGGATTCTGCACAGCGTTGGCAAAATCCTTCCACTGGCTGGTCGGTATGAGAGGCTCGGTGAGAGACCTAAGGAAATCCTTAACACAGCAGCACAATACGTAGATGTCCGTGTTGCCCAGATGTGGAGTGGCCTTGCCTCGCAAGAACTGCTCCTTAAGAGCCTTGTACTCCCGCTCAGACGACGACAACCGGTAGAGGCCCACCTCAGTGAGGCCACGGGCTTCTATCTCGTTGACACAGTGCACAATCAGAGCCGGAATCATTGGGGCAATAGACGGGGCAAAGTCTGTGACGTAGCCGGTCATGGTCTTAGTTGTGGGCGTTCCCGTTTGGGGCACACAGCTAACGGTTAGCAGATACCGACAATCGATGTGGCAGCGAACCGGGCAATCCCGACATCTTAGACCAACAGCCCCAAACCGAATTCTGGAAAAAGTATAAAATTTAATGAATAAAGATTATACTGAGAGTTTTAGGATACCAACCGTTTTTGGCACTGCACGCAATTGTCCCCGCGCAAGAAAGTCTTCTGGCTAAAGGTGTGGTTCCTCATTAGCGGACGGTGCTGCAGAGGTGTTCCGGATTCGGTCACGTGCGTCGCCATCACGTTTACCGGTGTCAGCGGCGGAGCGGTAGCCTCATTCAGTACAGATCGTCGTGGCGTCGAGGACAGTCCGTCACCAATCCTCTCTTTTCCACCAATCACCGGTAGCGACTCAATGGTCGACTCTGCTCTAATCACGCCCTGCCCATCCTGGGGTATGGTTACCTTGGTAGTGGCACAAAAGCGCTCAGCGCCCTGACCCACATCCACCGTGTGCTGCTCCACTCCGATACCCACGCCTGAGCGCCGTGACTTACTGGTGGTTGGGGTGTTTCCGGTCATACTGCCGTTGAGGCCAGTACTCAGGCGCGATCTCTTGTTGCCGACACAGGGAATCGTGTTCTTGGGCAGCGAGGGTCGGTGCTCGCGCCAGGATTTCGATGTGCGCACATCAAGAAAGTCGTCCTCAGAGTGTGTAATAGACAGATCGGAAAGCAGAGAGCCGGTGGAGTTGATGTCGCCATAAGACTTATCCTCCCGCACAGCATTCAGCGATTTGCGCTTCCTTGAGGAGGGAAGTGTGTGCAGGAAGGCGAGCTTGTCGCGTGTCTCATTGTTCAGATTGCGCTCGTGACGCAGCAGATCCGCCACAGCCATGATCTTGCCCTCCATGGCATCGCGTTCGTGCTCCGCTTGACGACGCGCCTTGATCTCCATGTCAATAATGCGGCGCGCGTGGAAGAGCTTGCCCTCCAGGTCGCCCATCTTCGTTAGCGACTTATCCAACTCGCTTTGGATCCTGGCCGTCTCGGCCGCGTAACCAGCGCACTTTTCGTGGTATTGCTCGAACATGCGCAGGAACCGCAGGAATTCTGGATGAGAGATGAGGATGTGAGCATTCATTCACCTCGTTTGTAGCCATTTTTACTCACCCTCCTCGGCAGTTCCATCGGTTAACACATGCATGCAGCGTCTCAGATCATCAAAGGATGCCAGGGCCGAGAGCGCCATCTTCAGTTTTCTCCTTTTATCTGTGGATAGGTTTTCACTCGCAGGGACAACCTGCACACTGAATGTCTCGATTCAACACAAATTGTGATGAAAATCTGTATTATTTCCACAATAACGAACAAGAAAACGGAGCACGCTTAAAAGGACGCGATCAATTTTTCAAGTTCCGTTGTTTTCAAATTGACGCCATGAATACAGTGTGACCTTTTTCGAATTGAAACCCAGTTCTATTGTCAAACAAAAAATACCGATAATAAAGTCTGTTCAGACAGAAAATGTTGTGCTAAATAAATAAGGTAATTCATTAACCCTATTTCTCCAAAATAACAATTACACTGCGTTAAGACTGCGTTCAGCAGAACAAAGTTGATCACTGATGTTGCAAGAATGTTTGCATCATGATTAGTAATCATGTTCAGCTATCTATCTATCGTAAGAATTCCATCAGTGATCAGGTATCATGTTGTTCTGCTGAACGCGGCCAATAACAAAATTGACACAAAAACCATAAAGCATATATATGATATACGATTTTTCGGCGAACTATTTCGAGTTGCGCTCAAAATAAATTTTAAAAAATACATTTTGGGTATTCTCTAATCTGTTGAATGGTTGAAAGTTCAACAGAAAATTTTAGCGATCATGGAAACGACCATAAATGGTTTCTGTCGAATATTAAAGCAAAAAGCAAAAGCATTAAGCTTTTTTTTTATTATAAGTAAGTGCCTACATTTGAAAATGTAAGAAGAACTACTAATATAATTTCTAAGGTAAATAATGCATATTCAAGATACTAAAATATTACATTGCTGCCATGGTATTTTAATAAAGTAGGGTGAAAAATGGAGTTTGTATAAAACAGTTGATTAACAATTTACCAAGGTTTAACAATTCAGCGATTCAGTTAAGGGAATACCCTAATTATTTAAAACCAATCCCACTCAAGAGCTTCGTTAGATTTTGTGGTGTTCAATCGCCGACGATATAGCCTAGCACTCGAGTCTAGAGTGAGCGAGAGGAGAATCCCAGTGGGAAGGAACACGCCGAGTGGGACTTCGCTCCCTACATCGACATCCTGCCGGGAGTGTCCTTGCAGAGAAATTAAGTTCTGGCCAAAAGAATTTGGTTACCTTGTACTAATAATAGTATCTTTTTAGCAGAACCACCAGAACGATCCCCGACGAGCTACTTGGCAGCTTAAGCGGAGATGGATGAAGCGCTGGCTTCTGTAGGGAGGAGGAAAAAAGGGCGTCCACTTAGGGATAGCTGGAGAAGCTATTGCCAGGATGCTGTGTGACATCCTGCAGCATCAGGCGGAACAACCCCGTTCCCAATCCGGCTTCCACTTCCTCAAGTTCCAATATGCCTATTGCGATTCGGAGCTGGACTGCAGATGGGAAAGATCATCCGTGGGACGAGAATGAAGCTTTGAACTACTAATTTACATAAACAAAAACATTCGATGAAAATTCCATTTATTTATATTTTAATTTCTTTGTGCACCAGCATACTCTTCTATTTTAAATTGTTCCAATTGATTTGAAAGTAAGATTATGCATTGCCGGTGAACTTTGAAAACTTCCGTCACACTACAAAGTACACGATTTATCGGATAGTGAAACTCTTAGGCAATCTGAGTACTAGGCTTAAATCACAAAGTACCAAACTAATACAAAATGTGGCGCTGTAACTCCACTATAGTGTAAACAGGACCTTAGAGATGGGCATCAACTTTGCCTTCGATAGTCTCAAGTCGTGCATTACCTATCGAAAATAAATCCCATTGGCTAGCTGAATGTTTGAAATGTATAAACTTTACTTGATAAATGTAAATTAATATCTGTATGAATTTTATTTGTATTGGTTGTAAGGTATTAAAAATCGATATTAAAAAATATAATAATTTTAAACAACCATCTCTAATATTTGTTCCAACTCGACCAGTGTGGCTAAACGAATCGGAGTCTCGACTTTGTTTCAAAAATGTCTGTCCACTCGCCCAATCCTGCCCTGATCTTGCAGAGCAAGCGCTTCAATGGACTGCGGAATATCCTAGAGCGCGAGGGCCCCTTTTGCAAAGACGACTTCGCTTCCTCGCCGGAGAATCTGGAGTTCCTGCAGACTGAGTGCCAGGTTCTGATCATTGGAGCCGGCGGTCTGGGCTGCGAGCTGCTGAAGGATCTGGCTCTGATGGGCTTTGGCAACCTGCATGTCATCGACATGGACACCATTGAGCTGTCCAACCTGAACCGCCAATTCCTGTTCCGCCGCACGGACATTGGTGCCTCGAAGGCCGAGTGCGCGGCGCGCTTTATCAACGGACGAGTGCCAACCTGCCGGGTGACTCCTCACTTTAAAAAGATCCAGGACTTCGACGAGTCCTTCTACCAGCAGTTCCGCCTGATCGTCTGTGGACTGGACTCAATAGTGGCCCGGCGCTGGATAAACGGCATGCTGCTCTCCATGCTGCGCTACGAGGAAGACGGCACATTAGATACCAGCTCCATAGTGCCCATGATTGATGGCGGCACCGAGGGCTTCAAGGGCAATGCTCGCGTCATCCTGCCCGGATTGTCGGCCTGCATTGAGTGCACCCTGGACTTGTTCCCGCCGCAGGTAAACTATCCCCTGTGCACCATAGCAAATACTCCCAGGCTGCCGGAACACTGCATTGAGTACGTGAAGATCATACAATGGGAGAAACAGAATCCGTTTGGTATTCCCCTGGATGGCGACGATCCTCAGCACATTGGCTGGGTCTATGAAAGGGCCCTGGAGCGGGCCAACGAGTTCAACATCACCGGAGTCACCTATCGTTTGGTCCAGGGCGTGGTTAAGCACATAATCCCCGCCGTGGCCAGTACGAATGCAGCTATTGCCGCCGCCTGCGCCCTGGAGATCTTTAAGTTGGCTACAAGCTGCTATGATAGCATGGCCAACTATCTGAACTTTAACGACCTTGACGGGATCTACACTTATACCTACGAGGCTGAAAAGTCGGAGAACTGCTTGGCCTGCAGCAACACACCTCAGTCGCTGCCCGTTGAGGATCCCAACACCACCACGCTGGAGGACGTAATAAAGCTGCTGTGCGACTCTCCGCGGTTCCAGCTCAAAAGTCCGGCGCTTACCACTGTGATGAAAGATGGCAAGCGGCGGACTCTGTACATGTCCACGGTAAAGAGCATTGAGGAGGCGACGCGCAAGAACCTAACGCAGTCGCTGGGCGAATTAGGCCTACAGGATGGCCAGCAGCTGACGGTAACCGATGTTACCTCGCCCTCTGCCCTCACCCTGCAGTTAAAGTACCAGTCCAATGAGGTTGAGATGGTCTGAGTTGTATCACAGTATATAACATTTTTAATACACAATACAATATGTATGTAAATAAATCGGCAGGCACAGCCTCAAGTTACGCAACTAAACGTTCATGTCCAAGATGTACTTCTTGCCGGTGAATCCCTGGAAGTTCAAGGCTGCGGCTGCAGCGTCTTTAAAGTTATTTAAGGGCACCATCTCATGGTTCGGGGCCACGAACTTCCCTTGCTCCATCAGCTCAAAGATTTCCTGAAACATTTTCGACCGCTCCGGGGAACTGTAGTTCTCCTTTGACCAGCGTGTCATCCAGAAGCCTCTAAATGCAATGTCCTTGAAAATGAGCGGTCCGGTGGCCACGGTGACGGGCTCGCGGGACATTCCACCATAGGTGACCATCACTCCACCGTTGTCCAGATGCCGCGACACCTCCGTGGCACTTTTTCCGCCCACACAATTGAAGGCCAAGCGGGGCTTCTTCAGCTTGCCCGACTTGAAGATGTCGCTAGTGCGGATTTCAGCCTCGGTTAGCACTTCGGTAGCTCCAAGGCATTGCAGCATCTGCTTGAGCTCGGCAATCTCGGGGCGATCGCGAACGATGCCAATGCTATTAATACCCCAGGCGCGGCACAGCTGATGCACTGCCTGACCCACGGCGCTGTTGGCTCCGTTCTGAATGACGGTGTCACCCGGACAAAGCTGCACAAAGTCCTTAAGCATACGGTAGGCGGTGGTGGGATTTACCGTTGAGGTGGCGGCTTCAGCCAGTCCCACTTTTTTGGACACGACCATCAGTTGATCCTCCTTATAAACGGCGTGCGTAGTCCAGGTGCCCAGGCCGGTGGCCAGGGGAATGACATGCTGCCCCGCCTCCAAGCTCTTGACATTGTCGCCCACGCAGATGACCTCCGCCACACATTCATTGCCGCCAACGGCTGGAAACTTGGGCTTCACCGGGTATTTTCCTGTGCGATTAAGAGATGTCTATATATATATTCTGGATTCTTAAATGGAACATAGTTCAAAGTACAACGATTAACCGATAACTATCAGCAAACCCAAAAGCACTTTTTCAGGAATCCAGCTTCTTAGGTCAGAAGTGTATTTGGGTCAGTTAAAATCAAGTCTTAGTTTCATTAAGTCGATAGGACGTAACCCTTTTTGTATTACAGTGTTATTGGGTACAGGTTGTCGCATTGCTTTTTGAATATATTTATTATGCGTCTTACAACCCGGCATACCTTGAATAGTGTTAATGTCCGCCGGGTTGATAGGGGCCGCAAGGATCTTGACCAGCACTTGTTTATCCTTGGGATCAGGTAGCTTGTCCTCCACCAGTTGCAGTACGTCTTGCGGCTCGCCGTGTTGTGTGTATTTCAAGGACTTGGCCACTACTGACATGTGGCGGCTCCGCAAGGTGGGGCTGGTTCCAAATAAAAATCCCCGGCGCAACATTTGGAGATAATAGGATATGCGACTGTTAAAATAAGAAATGGAATTTGTTATGCACGCCGGTGTGACCGTTCCAGTTAAACAGCAACATCATTTTTAAGTGCGACCGAATTTTTAAGTATTTTAATTGATATTACATTCTTGGTATTTCCAGCAAATCAAAAAACTGCCGTCGTGTTTTCGCAGAATTTCAGGTGTCTCAAATCGATTTTTTAAACAAAACCCCAAGAAATACTCAAAAAAATAAATTAACCGGTGGCAAAATGGACGCGTAAGCATACGAATGTGGTAAATCGTACCTTTGGTTCATTACAAATTTGTGATCTTTGCAGTTTACAAGACGAGGTGGAGTCGCTGGAAGCCATCCTAATGGACGATGTTCGCATCAAACGCACGCCCAGGTAAGTGATAAAACCGATGTGTTTACGGTAGTACAACAGATATTGAAATCCCTATAAAGCGGCGATGTGGAGCAGATTGAGACCACGGTACTGCCTTTGACCGGCGAGGAAGAGGAGCAGCAGTACGTGTGCGTCACTTTGCAGGTGCAGCCGACACCCGGGTATCCGGAGGAGAGTCCCACATTTAAGCTGCTGCGTCCGCGGGGACTAGACGATGCCCGCTTGGAGGCCATTCGAAGCGCCTGCAATGCCAAGATCAAGGAGTCCCTTGGGTTTCCGGTGGTCTTCGACCTCATCGAGGTGGTGCGGGAGCACCTGAGCGGCAGCAATCTGCCCAGTGGTCAGTGTGTCGTATGTCTGTATGGATTCGCCGACGGCGACGAGTTCACCCGCACCGAGTGCTTCCACTATCTGCACAGCTACTGCCTGGCCCGCCATTTGAATGCCCTGCGCCGCAACTACCAGGAGGAGTTCGACAAGCTGCCCGCCTGGCTGCAGAAGACGGCGGATCCCTTCCAGGCCCTGTGTCCCGTCTGCCGTGAGCACATCGGAGACGAAACGGATAGCCTCAAGTGCGCCATGCCCCCGTCGGAGCTCCTTAATGCTCCGGACTTTAAGGTAACCGAGGAGCTGCGCCAGATGCAGCAGCGCATGTCAGAACTGTATTTGCAGCAGAAGAGTCGCGGAGCCATCATCGATGTGAAGGCCGAGGGATCTGCCGTGATTTCAATCGAGACGGAGGAGGACATCAGGCGAAGGCGTCGTCGCGAGGAGGCCGAGGCAGCCAAGAAACTGGAGGGACCGGCCAAGGAGGAGGCCATCAAGCCAACCACTAGTTCCACATTTGCGCCCGTCGTGCAGGAGACCCAGCGTATCATGCCAGAGCCGACCAACAATAACTATCACCACAATCGTCGCCACTATCGCGGGGGCAGGCGGCACCATCACCAACATCAGCATGGTCACCACCATCGGGTCGAAAGGGATCGAGAGCAGAATGCGGCTGCAGCTCCGGCCACCGCCGGCGGTTCTACGTCGAATTCGGGCAACGGCAAGCAGGCAAAGGCCCAGTCAGCCAGCTCCGGGCATGCCAGGTGACGATGGCTTCCGAAAGAGATGGGGATCCGGATACCCATTGCGTTGCCATGCTGCTAATACACAATGAAGCACCAACCCAAACGGCCCAGGTTTAATTTCGTGAGGCGCACTCGTTTCTGTGAATTCTTAAGTTCGTATATATTTATGTTTAGTTAGCTTTAGCGAGCCGGGTTAGCTAATTTGGATTATATTAATGATGATATTTAGTTGTACCTTAACTATAATGATATTTGTAATGATTTACAAAAGACTTGCGGCACCATGCCGATCCGATATTAGTAGGGCCTTTGATAGTTAGCGCTTAGAGCATGTATTTAGCAGAACCAACTGGCAGCGCTGGCGTTGACGAGATTACACCACAGCATTGAGAAGATCGAGGAGACGACGGTATTGATATCCACTTACGCATAATCTGCAACTGCACTTCGACGTTTAGTATAAATATTTCTATCTCTGGCAGCCTATAGCACAAAGAAAAGTAAGAACCCAGCTTGTTCTTGACTAAGTTGGGCGATTGAAGGCGGAGCGGCATTTCTAGTCAGTGAATGGAGGTCGGGAGGCAGCAGAGAAGGAGAAACCCGATACAGGGCATCTGCATTAGCATGCATGCATACATATTTGAATATCACAATTAATTGAGTGTTTGTAGGAATCCGAATAGTGATCAGCAGTGATCGACCATGGTATTATATCGAAATTCCAATTTCAATGTGTCAAATAAATACTACGATTGAGAACTTTAATGAATAAATCAAATTCGGAAATCAAATCCTGTGTTTTGAGTTTAACTTTCGTGGGATCCATTACTAAAAAGTCAAAAGACATTAGGTTATGTTGTTATTTTTTGTAAATGTTTATTTCGCATTTAAATTGTTTTAATTTTATAGAATTACAAAAAACGAGTTTTAATGCATTTCGTTCGTTTCGTACAACAAAATAATTTAGTATTAGTATTTTACAATATTTATATAAACGGGTTCGTTTTTGTTTCACCCATCTGCATCGTAATTCAATCGCTGGTATTGCATATAAAAAACAAAATAATTATGCAATACAAAATCTGTGTGTTTTTGTCTCTTAACAGTTAAATATTAATTAAACTTATAGTAATGACTTTTAGTATATAATTAAATATTTTCTTTATGCGGCTTACAATTTTCACTTTCCTATTAGTTTAATAACAAAACAAAATCAAATTTTATCCTTTAACGGGTTTAGTTATTTTTTTGGTCGTTTTGCTTCTGCCACTCCCCGTTCTTGGCTGGGTATCCACCGGACTGGCGATTCCAATGGAGTCCTTAAACTCAAGTTGGTTTGCAGCAGAGGCCCCGACTTTTCATTCGAATGTTGTATTTTTTTCTATATATTTTTTCGATATTTTTTTGTTTTTATTCTTTGTAGTTTTTAATTGCCTTAGAGCACTTGGAGTGTATTTTTCATTAATTTACGCTTGCTTTTCGCTTTATAAGTATATACAAATCATAATTTTGGAAACGTGTATAACTAGTGAATAAAGGTAGTAGGCATTACAAATTAGTAGTAGCAAAAGGTAGTATAAGTATTAGTAGTACTCGTAAGTAGGTTGCTTGTCTGATCAACTTTGTGTGCTAGCTATATGTCTGCATTACTTTCATCTTAACTGCGTGTCTTTTACAAAATATATATAGTATAAACAACTATAAATTGATTCGCTGTTCCACTTCACACTTTAAGGGTAGTCTCTTTAGAACTGTGTGCTGTTCCTGCTACATTCATTGTTAATGTAGACTCGGTTATTTCTGAGGAGGGTTTGGTTTAGTTTAGAACTTCAGTGCGTAGTTAGTTCGTTAATTTGTGTGTGTGGTTTAAATATTGGCATTCTCTGCTTCTCTATTGTCATCCCCATCTGTGAGGTCGCGTTCTTACAGGCGGAACGGTTCGCGCTTCTCCGTTGGTGTTGTTCCACGCGAAGTGCGCCGCATCGTCGAGCTGAAAGTGGGCTCCGCTGAACTCTTCCGCGGCGTCTGCATGCCAGAGGGCGTGGAACTACCGCTGATGTTTCGCCTGGGATCGAAAAGAATGGATTAGTTGCAACTCTTCAAAATGTCGTACACATTATAACACACAAAAATAACAATAATGTATTTTACTCTAATAATCGAACTTAAGCATTAGTCCAAAGCATTTTTGGTCGTGTTCCTGTTGTTTTCATGGCACGGACATGCACATTAACATTTACATGCTTGGAAAAGGTATAACAAACAAGGAAACTTAACAATAACTTTAGACGAGTGTAAATCATAATTACTTGATATAGACAGAGTTGAAAATTGACTAGGTAATGTCTTTGTTGTGAGCTTATTAACTTTACCCCAAGCTGGTTGGATTCGTAGTCGAGCTGGGCGATGTTGACTTGGAATCGAATGAGGGTATCTTAATCGGAATCCGTGATGGCCGGCTTTTCGTGTTTTAGGGGGTAGTAAGTACAACGATAGTTAGCAAAGGTAAACCATAACCGCTGCCTACGATAGTTGATCGGTCTTATATCTAGCCTAAACTTATGAGTATGTATTTATGGTAAGTGTTGCAAGGGCTGTATTACCTAATAGGTTTGAAGCCGAAGCCTGTTAGTGCTGGTATACTGGATGATCTACTCATGCCTCCGTTGCTGTTTCAGTATTTAATGTTTATTTTTGATTTTTGTGTTTTGGAAGGGGCAGGCACAAGTTTTAGTTGCGTTTTTTAGTTGCGTTCAAGCCAATTTCAAATGGTCAAATGCCAATTGTGTTGAGAGTTAGCGTTTCATGATGTTGATTGTTTGTGTGAGTGGTGTTGGTCAAGAGTTAATGCGGTACACCGAAATCAGTGTAAAAATAAAAATAATAAATTAATAAGAGTTTGAATAATTAATGTGGTTTGATCCCGCCCAACGTCCCCGCTATTACTGATTCGCCGAACTGACTAAATCATAGAATCCTACCTTGTGGGCGCTGGACTGGCCGATCCGGAGGCGGTCTTGCGGGTGATGGTGCTGGTGCCGTTGAGACGGCTTCCGGGAGTCGCAGTGGTGGTTACCGAAAGACGCGCCGGACGAGGCGTGGTGCCGCTGGCGGTGCTGGCCGTCGATGGTTTGCGTTGCGGAATGCGAGAGGGCGTGTGATCGTCTACAAAAATGCAACATATTAGCTTCTGCTCTTTGAGAAGTAGGCTCTAAGTGTACACAGGTTTATTATCATCCAACTTTTCCCCCAGAACGGGATCTTTCAAATCAAATAGTGGCTGCTGCGATCCACCGACTACTTACCGGTGCTATCCAACGACAGCGTGGAGCCATGTCGCGATGGCGGCTTCGATCCTTGTCTGCTGAGTGGCCGCGAGTTGGGCTTGGAGCCCGCACGAGAGCCTCCTGGCGTGAGACCCGTGCGCGTGCTCGTGTAGGTGACCTTGCGAGGTGTGTATCGGCCCGAAGGTCCTCCGTGGCTGCCCTCGTTGTCGCTCAGGGAGTCGGGGGTGCTGGCCGAGAGTGAGGAGCGCGATGGGCGCGACATGGGTATGGAGCGAACCGATCGCTCGCGTACCTGTGCGGAAGATAAACATACATTGTAACACTGATTCCATTCTAAATTCAGGACCCCGTGAAAATGGAACCAAACTCAAGCACTCCTCCTGGAGCGCAGCTTCTTCGTCTCGTGCTGTCTGCGAACTTACCCAGTGTGTTGTTGGATGACAATGCAGCACGTGTGGACTCAGCGGCACCGAGCGGCTGGTATTGCAACGGACGAATACCGTGCCGCCGGCACCCATGTGAATAGGAAAGGCGCATGGAACCTGGTCTTGAGCACGGATTTTCTCAAAGATTGGCATTAGCTCGGCCAAGTGCTCGTCGGCTAGGGAATTAGTTTCAATACGTTTAACCAACTATGGACAGACTTTATTAAGCTGGCAAACGGTTTATGATCATTTAAGCCGTGGACAACAACCTAACCTGGCCTAGTAATCAAATAACCTCAACATAAATAGCGTGGGGTGTACTGTACTCTAGCTTAAACTCAAAAAAGTCGCAAACACATATACAAAATATACTTCAGTACTTAAGAAAATTCGAGTTAAACAAATATATCGTTACGAAAGTATTCGGTTCTCATGCAGATATGTAAACAAATGAAATATAAAGAGTCGGCGGCGCAGCAGCGAGAGCTTTTCTTTGTCAACAACACACACAACGAACCCAAAATTGGACCAAGGAGCACTTACCTCGTGCCCTTGTAGGATGGGGACATGTTTGGACGGGCAAAGGATTGGGATCGGGACTGGAGAAAGGGTTTACCATTTTCTCCCTTTACATTTTCGTTCAAATTTGTCCATATCAGAATTGATGGCATTTTTACTCTTCAACGAAGCTAATATATTTCTGTAGAGCTATCTTTATACTGACATTTCAAAAACTAAAATTTATTAAATTCAATTTAGTCATATCGGATAAATAAGAACGTTATATTCTTGATTTTCGAACACTGAATTATTATACCAAATTCCATTTCATGGAAGTTTGCATAATAAGGTGTATATTAGCTTTTCTGAAGGATAAACATCGCATCAGTTCTGAACAAGGACAAACCTGATAGGAATGAAATAAGGAGAAGGACGCCTTAAGTTTCTGTTGCAGATTCTTTTGCTGATTGCTTTTTGATTTACCTTGATGATGGGACCCTGTCCACTCATATAAGGCGGCAAGTTGGAGCTGCCGCCATTCTGGGCATTGGGTGAGGAGGAGGCAGTGGCGGCCGCATTGGGCGTGGAACGTCTGGGCGTGAATGCGGCCATGCTCTGCGAGACGCCATCGGCCAATATGAATTGCTCGCGTAGCTCTATGTTAGTGCGTCCCTTGGCTGCTCCCGGGTAACATTGCATTGGTTTTGGTAGCGATTGCGATTGCAGTGGCAGATGCACGGATGCATTATACGCATTGGCATGGCATATGCACCCACATATAACATGTACACGGATAGGCAATGTTTTGTTGTAGGGCGAACATATAAACAACAACAATAACAACGAAAGTTCGTTACCGCAAAGTATTTGTCAGTTTGTTTTCAGTTTTCAGTTTTGTGGTTTTTGTTTTTTGGATTTGTTTGTTGTTTAGTGTTTGGTGTGGGCACAGGCGGGTGCATGTCGGGCGTGGGCGTGGTCGTGGGCGTGGCGAGCGGGCAGCGCAAGCGAAGAGTACACATACATGTATATTTTTCGGGTTCGATTAATCAATATTCAATCGAGTTTCGGTATAATAAAGGAAACCATTTTGAAAAAGAAAAAGGGGTAAACATAAAATTGGATTAGTAAAAAACGAAAAACAAATAACAAAAATTAATACACAAATTCAAATTTTCTAGAGGACGCACAGCGAATTCCGTGAGGCTTCAAACATAAAATGCGTGACATGAACTACAGTCTACAAAGCCCCTGTTAGTCTACAGAGGATGATTAGCTTTTTAAGAAATAATGCAGAATGTTAGTTCTAAAGTAGGATAAGGTTAACAAAAAGCGTTTTTAAATAATGGCTTAGAAGTACATATCTTTTTTGACTACAACTAGAAGTTGGGTGGAGAAACCTGGTTAGTATCACTAGTTTATAGGGAATAGTACAGTAGGTAGACAGGATAGTTTTTGGTAGGCGTTGGTGTGTGTTTTTATGGACTTATGGCAGCAGTTGTTACGAAGTTAGGTAAACGAAGCGACGAAAATGAGCATGAGTAAAGTAAATGGCCAACCCTCGGCTAGATTGTTTGGGCTTTGGGTTTCATTGGGTTCGGTTGTTGATTTTGTTGGCTGGGTTATTGTGTATGAAGTGGCTTTTGGCACTGGCTGGCAATTACATATATAATTCGCCTTGGGCACACTGTTAATTTTGTTTTAGCGTTGTTTAGGCAACTTAAGGACCAGAATTAATAATGAGGCTTAAACAAAGGTTTCTCTCTTTATTTCCGGGTTCTTTGGCTATTATTATTTTAGGCACAGTAGTTTATTGTTGGTAGGTTGTTTGTTGGTTGGTTAAATGACCATATCCGTTTGGTATTATTATTATTTGGCATTAAAGTATAATTAGTTGTTAAGCACAACTGTACCTAGGTGTGATATGAATGCGTTTAAATGAAATGAGCAAACGATGCACAGCATCTGGGTAGACAAAATGCATGAATTGGGTGAAATATTTAAAATGCGGGCTAAAAGATTACTCTAAAATATTATTGTAGATTATGATATATGTGACTGGTACTAATGTGGAATGGATGAAGTCCAACAAATTTTGAAAATGTGTGTACGCAACACAACTTAATAGGGTGTTTGGATAGCTTCGGATAGATGGTCCACTTACCGCGACAAGGATCGTTCTTCTGCAGGAATTCGTCCAGTGCCACCCAGCCGCCTCCCACGCGCACCATAACAGTACTGCGAAGAATGCGAACCAGGCGCAGTTTCTGGGAGTCTCCGAACTGGAAAAATAAATAACTAATTTAATATCGTTCAAGAAAAATATAGGCTCCAACTTACTCTGTACTTGCCCTCGCCAACTTGGAACACTCGGAACTTCTGCCGGCAGGTACACAGCATGACCAGTCGTTTGACCTCGTCGTGTATTTTATCCGAATCATTGGCCGGCTTCCTTTCTTGCCAATCGGGACGGAGGGCAGCGATGAACTCTTGCCAGTCGATGAGACCTTCGCCATTGCGATCAAACAGATCGGCTACAGCCTTCATTTCCAAGCCAGAGGTGTCGAATTCTATGGGAAGGTAGTGCCATTAGTTGAGCATTTTGTAAGGTTAAGGGAAGAGCCTCCAGGAACTTACTTGTGTTGAGTATGCCATCGATAAAAACATCGCGTGGAATCATGCCGTTGTTGTCCTTGTCCATTTTACGGAACAGATCCGTCAAGCGCGACTTCTTGTGGTTCATGTACTTCAGGAACTTTAAGTATATATCGAAATAAACATAAATATTCAGTTGCTAAGAAATTGTGGGTTAAAATACTTACGCGCTTGCGCCAATCATCCCAGCTGAAGTTGCGAGCACGCTCCACATCCTTCAGGTACAGGAGATGATCGTTAAGCAGACGCTGGCGCTCCCATGAGAGCATCCAGACATCGCGCCACTTGGTCCACAGAAGCTTGGCGCGTGGCGAACGGAATTCCAGTTCTGGCCCAGAGGTGCTAAATTCAAATTGAACATTTTAAATAAGAAGTCCTCGACAGTTGAGTATTTGATGAGCAAAACTACATATAGTACAAACATTTGTGCAAGAGTACTCGCCATGCACAGCATTAGATGATATTGGGGGTTTTTGAGGACTTACCTTGGCGAGAATCGGGGGCCGTAATGAGGCAGGCGATCTCTGTCGGGAGTGTCACGCGTGGGCGTGATACGGCTGCTCAGAGATATTGTTTTTGACATAGACAAAGGCAAAAAAGCGGCAAGATGCATAGTTTGATATTTGATATTCGAGCGGTATGATCAACGTTTACGGAGTAGCGTAGTGTGTAGACAAGATGAAAGTAGATTCAAAAAGAGACAAAACAAAATGATAAAGTAACGAACAGAATACGCAGAACATAATGGCCAGTAACATAGATAGAACAACATAAATTGATATTTTTATAAATATTTCGAACAGTTGTAGACGCAGCATTTCCAAAAATTGTTGAAAACAAAAGAATTTTGATTTTAGAATTTAGAAATACATGCGGAATCTATCTATTCTCGAATTATGGAAAAGTTAGTCCCGATGATAACTTACCTTCCTTTGCGGGCGTTGAGTCCTTGGTCACGAGATCCCTTGAAGCTATGAAAAGAGTGATAAATATAATTAGTTATACATATGTAGCAAGATTTCGGATCAAACAAGCAATGGTTTTAGCAGCAATGATTAAGCAGGGTGGTTTTTTGTGGAGTGCTAGATTGGTAGGATTTGTGCGTTAATAGCTACGGATTTTAGCGCTAGTTTGGGGCTTTTAACGAGTTTTTGGGGTGGTTTTGGAATATCGGATGTTAGGCAATTAACAAGTCCATTCGAGGGTGTATGGTGGGTAAGCACATTCGCCACTGGGCAAGTGGATGAAACGAGTAGCGGGCATTAGAGTATAAACTTGCGTCCAAACCTTTGACGCCTCAGGGTGCCGTCGGGTGACTGCTCACGCAGATCGTGACTGGAGCCACGACTGTCGGTCGGTAGTTGGTTCATTGGTTGGTGTGGTTTTTGGATAGGCAGAGAAATAGGTGTGCGAGACGTTGCAGGGTTTTTTGGATTTGGTTTTGGAATATTGTAGCAATAAGGTGGTGGATACAAAAGAAAGTATATAAAAAGAAATGGCAAAAATAAATACACAAAATAATAATATAGAGAGGATATATACAGCAAAGTTACAGTTTTGGCATCAGCCTGTAAAGGAATTGGTCTACTCACATTGGCGTCTTGCCGCTGCGAGACGGCTTTCGAGCTCCAGGAGGCAACTGTCTTGGCTTGCAGGCGCGGTCCACCTCGTTTTGGCGGCGAGCCGTGTTCTCCATAAACTCCTTGTGGTCCTCGATCAGTTTCTCCACAGGGGGAATCTCATCCGGAAGTTGTTCGTGCTTCAAGTCTGCAAAGGACTTCAAATAGAATCTTCTTTCTAGAATTTAATATAATTCCAATACATACTCAACAAAGTTCCCTCCAGTCCGCTGAGCCAAGCAAGGAGCTCCTCAATTGTGTCGTCCAAATCCTTGAGCGACTGCAGGTGCTGCTCCAGCTTTGACTCACGGTTAATGGCCCATTGGCGCACCTCCTCCCAGCGCTGCTGAATGATCGACAGCCAGTTCTTGATAATCGGGATGGCATCAGGATAGGCCTTATTGATGATGTCTTCAGCGTACTCGAACGTCTCGGTCTTTTCGCGCTCGCGCACCCGGAGGTCTTTCATAAACTCCATGTGGATATCCATCATTTCGCGCGACACCTTCTCATCATCAGGGGCATTCTTGGCGTATCGAAGCTTGTGCTCGGCATGATCCAACCAATCGAAGAGAGCCTGGACACGAGCGTTCAGCTTCTCGGCATCAACGAGCGCAACTTGGAGACGTTCGCCGCGATTGGCAACGGCGCTCTTGACCTCTTCCCAAATGGATTGCATCTCGTCGAGCTGACGTCCAACTTCAGGGTTGTTGCCAGATCGCTCTAGATCGCGTCCAGTTTTGAGAACACCCTGCATTTGTGCTGCGCGCTTCTGCAGATCCTGCTCAATGTGCTTGTGGTGCTCGCAAAGACCCTGAACCGTCTCTAGATCTCCGTGGACCGGTCCATTTTCGTTCAGGCGGCTCTTGGCCTTCTTCAGCCACTCAAGCAGCTCACCCAGAGCATCGCTGAACTGTCCGGAAAGAAGCAGAGCCTCTTCCAGCTTGCGTTGACGATCGATGCTCTTAGACCACACTCGGGTCCATTGTTCCTTCAGCTCGAGCAACATTTTGTCCAGCACTGGGCGATCGCCCTTCGGCGCCCGCTCTAAGAGATTCTTTCCAGTTCGCATGGTGGCATCGTAGACCGATTGCTTGGCACCTAGCTGCCGATGTGTCTCCTTCAGTTTGCCAATGTACTTTTTGATCTTCTGCGGTTCCTTGGAGGCAGTGGCCTCCTCTATGATCTGATCCAGCACCTGTTCGGTCTCCTGCAGATACTGCATCATGCCGCTCCAGGCATCGTTGAACTCACGGGCTTCTTTGTAACCGTGATCCAGAGCTCGAGTGCGTTCCGCTGCCTTGCTCACTACTCGTTCCCAGCGATGCTGCACAGACACGAGTAGATTCTTAATTAAGATCACGTCCTGCTTCTGACTGAAGTATTTGAGGTGAGTTCCCTTCTTGTCCAGCAGCAGCATGGCTTCGCGATGGGTGCTAACATCTTTCTGCAGCACCTTGTGCTCCTCCATCTGAGCCTGAATTGTTTCCAAAACGCGGGACACGGGTTCGGCGTTTGACAACAGCTTTTCGGCCTGGGTGAGCCATTCTACAAAGGCTTGAAGGGTATCATGGAATTCGGTGGCTTCCTTAAGCGCAATCTCTAGCTTAATCTTCTTGTCGGATGCACGTGATACCACTGCATCCCAGCGTTGCTTGAGCGTACGGAGTGTATGCTGCAAATTGCTGGACGATACCTTCATCTGGTTTTGCCGCTTGATGTACTCCTGGCCCTGGGCCTGAATCGTTTCAACCTTGGGCCTGTTTTCGTCCAACTCGTTGTACACCTCCATGAAGCGTTCCAGCTGCTCGGTGGCAGTTTCAGGCAGTCCCCCCACCGGTTTGCTTGCTCCGATCACAGCGTCGACATCGCCCAGCCAGCCCAGAATATCCTGGACCTCAGCGATATAGCCGTGAGCCTCGCGTAGAGCCTCCTCCAGTTCATGCTGTCGGTCACTGGCCTTTTGCAACAGTTGCTTCCACTCGTTGTTGAGTTTGCGCAGTTTCTCCTGCGTGGTGGATGCCTCCACAGATCCCTTCTCGGTTTCGATCAATTGTCTGCCCGCATCGTTCAATGTGTCCACTGAGTTCTGGTGGGCCTGAATGTCGTTGGCCAGCACCTTTAGCTTAGCCAACTCAACCTCGAGCAGTTGTGGGTCTCCAGGAATCTAGAAAATTGTAATCACATTCGAACTTGTATTTAACGAGCCGTGCTCCTTCTAAATTCTTTATCTTACCGGTTTCAGTTGGTCCAGAGTACCGTCGGTCTTGTTGATCCAGACCAACAGCTCGTTGAGCGCATGCTGGAATTGGCCCAAGTGCAAGAGTGCATGCTCCAATTGCTTCTGGCGTTCGACCATTCCACGGAGAAGGGCTTCCCAGCGTCGATTGACTACCGACAAGGGTTCGCGAATCGATGCTGCCTGCTCGGGTGAAGTGCGTTCCGTCAGTTCCACAGCTTGTCTGGAAGATGAAAAAAATAAATTAGACAGGGAAGTTAGGAAATCTCAAGAGTGCCAAACGCAAGCGCAAAAACAAGAGTAATTGGCAAGTGTATTCTTTTTTTTCGCTTTGCATGCAACAGGTCAAGCTGTGGCAATTAAAAAACATGCTCAGCTGAGAGTAGTTCAAAGATCTAAGCGAACCCGGATCTCTGCGGTAACAGGCAGTTAACAGTAATCAAATTCACAACAACAACAAATGAACGAACGAACTTGACTTTTTTGGAACTATCTTGCCTTTTGAGAACTCTGCCAATTCACAAGTTGATATAGACACCATGACAATGGAAATTAGATTTATAAATTTGAGTAGAGTCGATTGAATTCCAAAATATCTTAACCACATTACCTGTTTAATGCTTCTACTTCAACCATATGCGGATCGACTTCATCCTTGAACGACTTGAGCTGTTCAATCTGTCGCTTAACGGCATCAATGTCCGAGCCCACGGCACCCAGATGTGCGAACTTGTCCTCGGCCTTGGTCAGGAACTTGAGGAGGTTCTGCAGTGTCTCGTGGAACTCCATGGCCTTCTCCATTGCATCGATGAGGTTCTCCTCGCGCTTGGCATACAGCGCTGTGATATTGTCCCAAGCATTGTCCAGGTCTTCGATGTGCTTCTTCACCTCTGGCTTGTCGGGTTCGCCGCACATGTTCATTAGGTTGCTTCCGTGGCGACGCACCTGCTCCACCTCTGGTTTGGTCTGGTCAATCTCATGACGGATTTCCTGCAGCGCCACCTGTTGCTTCTTGATATCCTGTGGCTGAGCCGCTGGGGGCTCCTGGCAGGAAAGCGTCTCCTCCAGGTCCTTAAGGGTCTTCATGACGCTGTTTAATTGTTTCCAGAAGGGCTCGGCCACGCTCAGGATGTCGTCTAAAGAGCTTCCGCGTTTTTTGGTGGCATTTTGAACATCATTCCACAGATTGTTTAGCTTCTCCAGCTTGGCCTTAATGTCACGCACCGCGGGATCGGATTTGTTACCCGCCTTGGCGATCACATCGTTGGCCGCACGTTGTACTGCACTGAAGGCATCTTGACGCTTGTCTAGATCGTCCATTAAAGCATCATTATCCTCTATCTGCTCGCGAATCTTCTGCGGCAGGGCTGACAGGGGATCCAATTGATTGACCTGGTCCACGGTATTGGCAAGAGCTCGCAGCATGCCCTCCAGCTTATCGGAGAACTGGCTAGATTCCTGCAGAGCACTCTCTAGCGCCTGCTGGCGTTCACGCAGTTCCAAACGAAGTGCAGCATAACGGGCATTGTCCGTGTCCAAAATCTCGTTGATCTTGGCGCTATCATCATCGGCCACCAATGCACCCAAAGCCTCACCCGTCTTGTTCAGTTTGTCCAAAAGAGGTTTGTGCTCCGCAATTGATTGTAGCAGACGCTCGTTCTTGTCCTGCTGCAAGGTGATTTGATCGGGACGCAACGCCGGCATGCTCAACCGCGAGATCTGCTGCTCCATGTCATCCAGCCAGGCGGTAAGTCCTTGGTGGGAGTCGGCGAAATGCTCAGACAGGGGCAGAGCTTGCTCTAGAACTCCTAAACGCTCGCTGCACAGTTGAGCCACGGTATCGACGATCTCTTTGAGATCGTCCAATTTTTCACGAAGAGTAGCAGTATTCTCGCTCTGTGGCGATTCACGGAGCACCTTTTTGGAGGACGCCGTAACATCACGCACACGTCCTTTCTGACTGGAAATATCGTCGTTGATAGAACGATGCTCCTGCAACTGCGCACGAACCAATTTGGGCTCCATCGCTGGCAGATCCGCCTCACGCAGAGTTGTGTCCATTTCGCGGAACCACTCGAGCAGTTCATCAATATCACCGGTCACCTCCTTGGCACGTTGGTTGCTCAGATGCAGACGCTCCGCCTTGCGTTGAATTTGCTCTACAATGGAATCGAAGCGACGGTTGTCCCTTGTCACAATGCTTTCAATGGTGGCTGCGCCTTCTCCTGGTGAAAGCTGGCACAGCTGTGGTCCCACTTGGTTGACACTGTCTAGAATTGGGCGCATATCAGCCAATTCACCCTCCAGACGGAGCACATCCGCCTGACGAGGCTCACTGGGAGCCAGGGCCACCTCAGCACTTTGCATCCATTCCACCAAACGGTTGTGGGCTTCATGAAATTGTTGCACCAAAGGTAGTGCATTCTGTGCACTTTTCAGCAGATCTCCACCACGATTAGTCAAGTCTCCATAGCGACGTTGCAGAGAATCCAACTTATCCTTCAGTTGAATGGCTTCATCGTTGGAAATGTGCTTCATCAGCTCGGCTCCAGACTCTACCGTAGATTCCACATTCGAAGCATGACCGGCAATGTTCTCGTTCAGTTCCAGCAGATGATCCATCTGTTCCAGAAGCTTTTCAGCGTACACAGGAACGGACTTGAAGCGCTTCAGCTCCGCCTCCATGCTCTCCATCCAAGCCACAAGATCCTGATAACTCAAGACCAAGTGACGCAATCCCTGCCGAGATTCGGCGAGCAGAGCTCCAATGTTGTCGCTGGCATCGACCAATCCTGTGTACCTCTCAGTCACACCGCGCACCTTCTCGCCCAGATTAACGGCCTCCTCGTCGCTGACCAAATGCATCAGCTGGGCGGCCACATCTGCAAGATCGGTAAAGTCGGGCTTCTTACCAAGAATCTCATCATGCAAGCGATCGTGCTCGCGGATACGCTGCTGGATCTTCTCTTCGTCGGTAGGTATCAACTCCATGGCCTTGACCGACCGTTCCGTATTGTCCAGCCAAAGTTCCAGCGGACTGATCTTGTCGTGGAATCGCTTCGCCACTTCCATGGCTTCCTCCAAATCCAACTCACGTTGCTCGGCTCCGTCGGTCAGAGCATCGAATCGTTTCATCAGATCGTTCAGCTGTTTCTCAATGGAGGCACGTTCAGCGGGTTCACAGTGATTGGCAACCTCTTTGCCTAAGTTGGCCAGAGAACCCATCGAGTTTTGACGATCCAAAAGCATTTTCTTGAGGAACTTTTGCTCCTGCAGCTGTGCTTTCACTACCTTGTAATCGGAGCTTGGCGGCTTCTGATTAGCCACCATCTCCTCGGTGTCACTGAGCCATTTGGATAGACCAGCCAACGCTTCCTGGAACTTGCCCGATTGCAGCAGAGCCACATCCAAACGGCGATCTCGTTCGTTCATGCGTTCTTTCAGGTCGTTCCAGCGGTCATTAAGCTTTTCCAGGTCCTTTTCAATGGTCGACGTAGAGACACCACTGCCAGCCGAGCGCACTAAGTCCCTTCCAGCCACATTGACCTTGTCAACATTGATGGCCAGTGGTTCCACCTTGCGCTCCCTGAAGTTACGGAAGTCCTCTTGCTGGCGGCGAATCTGATCCAACTCCGAGCCCACGGGCTTCATGCGCTTAAACTCATCGCTTACGTCTTGAATGTCATCCAGAGTCTGAGATTGGTTGTCGTAGAACTCGCGCAGGGCCTTTATTGTGGCCTGGAGGTTTTCCTCATGATCGCGCAACCTGTTATCCAAGCGACCCAAAGTCTTTCGGAGAGTGGAGATTTGCTCACGGGTCTGGGTGGTATCTGCAGCGAATCCTGCATCCACCAAAACATCAGCGGCGCGTTCGGCATCCTCCAAACGTCCCACCAGACGATCCAATTTGTTCTGGATTTTGCCAACATCGTCGATTTGCACTTGAACAATCTTGATCTCACGGGCAGGTGGTGAAAGCTTCTCAATCTCCGTCTCCAGATCGTTCAGATCGATGCCTAAACTCTTCATTTGTTCATTAAACTGGGACACAGCGGTGGCCGCAGATTGCAGTTCACCACAGCGGTCATCCAGGCGTCCCTGCAGCTCTGCCAATCTATCGGCCAGTCCATCGACTTCACTGGTCAAATGGTCAGCATCGCCACCAGCAGCCCTTGCTTCAGCACTGATATCCTTGGCCAAAGCCTTGAGCGACTGCAACGGTTTGCTCAGGTTGGTAAGTTCTTCGCGAATGGCCTTAACACGCTCTAGAAGCTTGGGATCCTTGGCAGCTCCACCCAGAGCATCGTGTGCTGCAAGACGATCCTCGCAGCGTCCCAGCGAATGATCCAGGTTTCGCAACTCATCATTGAAATCACCCAAACGACGTGAGCAGTTTTCAATCTCATGAGCTCGGGCAATCAAATCATTGTTTAATCTCTCCCAGCGATCTCGAATGTCCTGCAGCTCCGCCTTAATAGGTTCCTTATCGATGTCACAGCTTGTGAGGAACGTCTCGCCCAAACCCTTTGTGTTCTCGAACTCTCCGGAATGCTTCCAAACCTCGCTACGGAAGGTCTGAAGGTCACGTAGACGCGTCTCCAGCTTTGCCTTGGATAATACACCGGGTGTCAGATCGGTCAACTTGTCCTCCGCGGTACGGAGCCAGGCCAAGAATGTCTCCGAAGTCTGAGAGTACTTTTTGCAGTGCTCCATGCAAGTCTGTAGACGTGTGTGGCGATCAACGGCTTCACGACGCAATTTCTCCCACTGCTGCTGGATGCGGTCCAAATCACGTTTTACTCCACGGTCCTGCTGGCGATCGGATATGTCCTTACCCTTGTTGATCAGCATGATTACCTCATGCTCACGGGCCATAACCTCTCGGTAAATCGGTTCATGAGTGTCGATCTGGTGCTGCAGTGTGGGTTTGTGAGCAGAAACTAGTAGCCTGTCTGTTAGGTTGGAAAGCTCTCCACCTAACCAACCAAGGGTCTTGGAGCAGTTCTCGGCAAAGTGGCGGCCATCGCGTAATGAAGCCTCCGTTTCTGCCTTCTTGGTGTCCAGTTTCTTCTGGAGCGCCAAATACTGTTTCTCCAGGGCGGCAACACGTGAGTTGACATCGGCACGCGAGGCGGGATCACCCAGAATGTTGCACAAGGTGGCGGCGGATTGCTCGACATCGGCCAGCAGCGGACGCTGTCCCTCCAGCTGACGCTCTAGGTTTTCGATTTTGCGTAGATTCTCTTGGTGATCGCCATCCGTGGGCAAAGCATCCAAGTTGTCGCTGATGTTCTGTAGAGCCTCACGAAGACGATTGACGGCTGCATCAAACTCCTTGGAACTATCAGCGGCGCCGCCCAAACTGTTGGCACGGTCGTCTAGCTTCCCAACCAGATCCTCCCACTTGCCAAGGATGTCCTTCAGTTTCAGTTCGACAGCTTGGGCATCGGGTGTGCCTGCCAAATGGTCGACCACATCGTGTCCCAGCTCCTGGAAGTGCTTCAATTGTGGTTGCTGAGTACGGAACTCCTCACGAAGCACTTGCACCTGCTGCACTTGGCTCTGTACCATACGGGGATCCGAAGAGATTGGTCCCAGCACGGTTAGCATACGCTCCTTGCTGTCCAACCAGCTCTTTAGATTTCCATGGGTATCCAAAAAGTCCCTCAGTTTCTCGGAGAAGGCAATACGGTTCTTGCAGATGTCGTTGAGATTCTTCCATTTCTCTTGAATGCTATCGTTCTCCTGGCGCAACTGTTCTGCGCCGGGCACGTCCGACTTGCGTCGGAGGATGTCCTTCACCTGAGCCTTTGTGGTGTCAAGAAGGCTCTGCTTCTCGTACATGTCCTCTAGAATCTTTCGCGCCTGCTTAATGCAGCGCTCGGCCTCGTCCTTGTTGGATACGGACTCCTTGGGTAGTTGGCGCTGAATGCGCTCCAGGAATTGAGCTAGCCCCTTAAGGTTCTCATACTGCTTGCGAAGCTCCTCATTCAGGTTGTCGAGCTCGTTTTGGCGATCGTTCAGCCGTACGCCAATAAGCCCGTATCGGTTGTTGATTTCGCTCAGCTGCTGCTGCACCGGAGACAATTCAGACAGCTGGAAACCGTCCTGGGAGGATCTGCGGCTACCGAATCCACTGGAACCAGTTGATAGTGGCGACAGGATGCCTCCCTTGGTGGGGCTAGGGCTTCTGGCGTCTCCGGACATGCGGCGAAGCGGACTAGCCCGCTTAATCGGACTGTACGTAGAACGTTTGCGAGCAGGACTCTCTGGTCTGATTAGCGCATCATACTGTGCTCCAATATCGTTGATCTTGTCAATAGTTGGAGCATAGTCGCGGTAATCTTTGCAGATTGGCTTTAGCTCATCATGCTGCTGCTTAATTCTTTCCAGATCGATAGCGACCGGGGGAAGGCCATTAACGCGTGCCTCTGTGCTGGCTAGCCATGAGAGAACCTGATCCTTCAGGCCTTCGTACGCCAGTTGCTGTTCGGCCTTTTGTTTGGACAACTTGGCGCGCTCATCAATGCTTATGTTAATGTTACGCCACTGAGATTCAAGTGCCTTAATGCGATCACGAAGTACTCCGGTGTCAGTAACATCACGCAGGCTGATGAGCTCCTTGCCATTACGCACACAATCCTCAAACTGCGGTGCCAGTTGATCTTTATCGCGGGATAGTTCGTGCATCCGGCGGGCCAGCTCCTCGGTGGGAAGCAGGCTTGTCTCACGACTATCGAGACCCTCCTGCAAACTGGCCATGCGCTGCTCCACAGTGCTGATTTCATCCAGATACCTGCTTAGCCGGTTGTAAACGTCGTCCAAGAACTCGCCACGCTTGTTGGCTTTCTCATACAGCTTCTCGAACTTGACGGTGACATCATTTAGATTCGACTCAACCTTCTTGGCAATGCGGGCATTCGAAGCGCTGGCTAGCAGATGCTTGGCCGAGATTTGAACGCTGTCAATGCTGGCCTGGTGGGATTGAAGATCGGCGAGGAGGACCTTGTGCTCGCGGATCTGCTCTTGTAGACGTTCCTTGATGAGCGAGGCAGGGCGCAGGTTTAGCTTGTACTTGTCTTCGGCCTGGTTGACCCATCCCACAAGACTGTCCAAGGCATCCTGCACGCCCTGCGATTGCACCAGAGTCTTGTCCAGCGTTTTGCAGTGCTCGCCGAGATTGTCTAACAGCTGCTGATAATTGTTCTTCAGATCAGCAATTGGCAGCTCCAACTGATTAATTTCCATGGGACTTAGTTGACCGCCAAGGCTTCGCAGTAGATTATCAAGGGCCTGCTGTGCGTTGTCCACCAAACGACCACTGGAGAGCAGCTCGTTGTGCAGAGCCTTTGCATCATTCATCTGATCCTGCACTGCCTTTGGGTCGCCGGCAATCGGCTCGGAGATAATGCGCGAAACACGTGGATGCACACTTCTTAGCCACTCGTTGGCCTTGTCCAAGGCATCCTGGTATTCACGCTGGCGTCCACCCAAGCCGGAGACACGATCTTGCAGAGCGTTGACCCGATTTAACAGATCCTTGTATTGCGCTGAGACCAAAGATACCTCTTGGCGGATTGGACTCTCTGCACTGGATAGCGGCTCGACGTGAGGCAAGCGTTCAGGCAGTGAAGTACGGAAGTCGTTAAGAATGGCTAAGAACTCCTTGCTCTCGTCCACAAACTTCTGGGCAGCCATTGTAATGAACCGCAGATCGGCCTGGTGGCCAATCACATCACTCACAAATTCCCGAACAGAATCCGCTTGCGAAGGCAGACGAGTCAAGTCGGACAGGGAACGTTCCTTGTCCTCCAGAGTGCGTCGGGCGACTTGCAACCAATCGGAAAAGACATCCAACTCGCTGCGTAGTTTTGTCAGCTCATCTCGACCAGCTTCCAAGCGGCGGAGCAAGCGCACGGTGCGATCGTTGACACGGTCCACACGGGAACGCAACTCCCGGCCAGAGTTCTCCAAAGTGGTCACTTCGGGGGCAGACAAAACATCGCCACCGGTGAGCACGATCTGTCGGATTTGCTCCAAACAAGTGGCTACCGGCCGCTGCTGAGACTCGATCTCATCCTTAATTTGCTGTAATAATCAAAATAACATATTATTAGATTTCATAAAGCGAAATAGGCCATACACCTCACCTTAAGAGCATTAATCTGGTTGCGCAACTCATCGATCTTTTCACGAGGTCCGCCGACACTTGAGATTTTCTGTTCCACAGTGGTGACCCATTTCAACAGATCGTTGACATTCTCTTCGCACATGTTGAACTTCTCGAATACTGCTTGCTGTATAGACCAATTATGGTTTGGGAGGGCGAAATATTTAAATCATTAGAATACTTTAAAAGCAGAATTAAATTCTTAGCTCGGTACAGGTCGCTATAAAAGGATTCATATAGAGATTTCAAAGATATCGTAAATATTTATATGTCGGTAGACAAATGGAACACAAAATATATATAAAACACAAACATAGCTGGAAAGAAAACATTTAGTTGCTGAAGCAGTTGCAAGGCAAAGACATAGGGCAAAGCGATTTTATAGCAAGCACTTCAGTATTATAAAATATAAAAGCAGGTAACATAAGCCAACATAATAATAAAGACATACAAACACCAAGGTTTACTACTTTGGGAAACGAGCACTACTGGGGACTAGCAACTACGAGTTGTTTTACTTTTAGTATGCACTAACTACGGTTTAATGGTTTTGTTTTTGGTTGGGTTTCGCTTTTTTAATATTTTATTTTGGTTAGTGTTAAATTTGGTTTTGGGTTTATTTTTCAAATTAAAACTGCAAACGAAAGAATATATAAAAAATATTTGTATGTATGCTGAAAATAGGTAGAAAATTGGTATTTAAACAAGATGTAAAAAATAAGAACTAAAGCCTGGGCTGGAAAAAATTTAACCTTTTTCCAAACGTAAGAGCAAAAGATAGAAACTACTTATGCATTGGGTATTTTGGGTATACCCCTTACATTTAGTCAGACCAGTCTGTAACCGCTGTATAGAGACAGTTAAAGTTTGGTCTGATCCTACATAAAATACTGCCTAGAATACAATGGGGAATAGGGAAGAGAAAGAACAAGGAGTTTATATGTGCAAGTTCGAATGGAAAAAGATTCGTATGCTAGTGTTATAGACAAATCGAGAGAGTATATATAGAGTATTGAATATGGTGTCCTATTGCCGACGTCATTTATGTAGAGGAGTATGAGACATAACGCATTGGTCTTCGGCCTGACAAAGCGCGATCGATGGAGAACGATTTTTATGGATGCATGTTTGTTGGATGTGATCTGTGATGTACTTGCTGACTCTGATTGCATTATTGTGGCTGCTGTCGCTTGAGAACTTAAAGCGATCTCAGCGAAAAATACGATATATAGAACATAAAAGTGAATGCCATGCGCTGCAATATAAGAGGTTTGCAAAATAAAAATAATTATGATTTGCAAATTAAAATTGCTGAATGCTTTCGTATTGGGGAAAGCTCACATCTTGGTTAGTCTGATGATATGGAGATTGAGATTTAAGTGGAGACAGAGATAGACAGAAAGATATAGAAAGACAGCGCGCTGATCAAAATGTCTTAAAAAATCGAAATCATATAATATCAATAGTAGAGTATATACCAAACATGCCACGAACAAAGCTTTAAATTTAGAATTAAATTAATTTTGCTGTAATTTCTTGCAGTGATTTGTTGCATTCGCAATTTCGGAATCGAGATCAGTTGTGATGAAAATTGATAGAGTTCAGCTGACGTGGACTGAGACTTACCCTCTGTTCTGCCGGCAGGAGTAAACCCTTCTCGGCGGCCTTCACCAGGTCGATGTTGTTCTTCGGGTCATTGGCGTCGGTCAGGCGACCATCGATGGCATTGATGAGCCCGCTGCTAATGGCAGCTGCCAGTGGTACAATGATCCCAGTGCTGGGGTCACGTACCACCGTCGATGACGGATCCACCAGACCCGAGCCAATGGCCTCGGCCAGCGTAAACTTGCGTCGGCGGATGATGTCGGGATGCATTTGGAAGGGATCAACTAGGCAGCCATTGGTTGGGTTGTACAGGTTAAAGGTGATGGCTTCTAGCAAACCGAATGAGCGCTTAGGCGTGCAGATCAGGCCACTCTCATAGGCCTCCTGCAGGGTGCAAAGCTTTGAGGTCTGAGTGTTGAGCACATTCGCCTTGTTCGCATCCATCAAACCCTTGCGGAATGCTTCCGGCAAACGGACGAGCTTGGCCTTAGCCAGATCCTTGACCAGCGCGGAGTCGGGATCCACAACGCCCGCACTGGCGGCTTCCTTTAGCGTGTATACCTTGGGCGTCTCGATGACAGTCAGAGAATCGTTTGCGCTGTCGTCGCCGGCTAATGCGGCTGGCGTGCAGGCAGATACACTTGCTGGCACATAGGTCAGCATTGCGGTCTGCAGGTCCAGACACTTGGACTCGGCCGCCTCTTCAAAGGTTATGGGTTTACGTACGTACACGATTAAAGTGGGATCGAAGGCAAAGTACAGCGCCTTTGGATCAACGAGTGTGCGCTTAGTGGTGTCCACGAGACCGCGTTCTACTGCTACCGAGTAAGGTACGAATTTAAAGCTATCGAAATCGCGAACAAGAGCGGTCTTGGGATCGATTATGTTGTAACGAATGGCCTCTTCGAGAGACATTTCACGCGGTTTGCTTATTACAACGCTTAGGGGCGTTTGACCTAACAATTCGACGCTATCCTGACGCCGCACCACATCGTTGCGATCGGTTAGTGGCCGGGTAACAGTCACCAAAATTCCGCGAGAGAGTGCCACGTCAAAGTTATAAGCTGACTTAGACTTGGGGTCAAATACTCTACCCTTCGACACGTCAATGTCACCATTCTCGATGGCTTCTGTGAGCGCCAACTCCTTTCCGGTGAGCTGGTTCTTAAACACTGTCGTCGCGGGATCTATGAAACCCGAATGAATGGATTCGATTAGGTCGAGATATTCCCCGGTGGTCGGATCACAGAACTTGCCAGTATCGGGCCGATAAAGCTGCTGGCGCAACACGAGTTCAAGGCTAAGAAGGCGACGATTGGAGACAATTAAACCTCTGGCCCTAGCTACCTGCAAGTCCAAGTGCTCGCCACCTATATTATAACAACCCCTTGAGTCATCTATCAATTGTTCCTTGATTGCATTAGCCAGACGAAGGTACTTTCCAGTCTCGTGGTGTTTGACCAAACTGGAAGATAAGCTAACCACATCCTCCACACATGCTTCGTTAAGATCAAGCTTGCGATTTGTAACCGGATGCAGAACCTTTCTCGTGAGAATGTCATAGAAGCCCATGGATAGTAGTTCGTACAGACCAAAGCCGGCGTTCTCAATGTCCACAATTAGACCCAGGCTCAATGCTTCGCCCAGAGGGACAAAGCTATTGCTTCCCGGCTCCCGAAAGACACCCTCCCTTCTATTAATGATACCATTACGACAAGTCTCACTCAGCGTGAACATCTGTTCCGTGTGCTCATCAAAGTAGCATGGCAGGTGAGGATTGATCACGAAACTGCGCATGCTCTCGAGCAGAGTGATCTGGCGACCAGTTCTGGGGTCACTGAGCTTTCCTGTCTTGTCGTCAAACAGTCCCTGATGGATTGCTCGCTGAATACTGATGGGCGCATTGACATCCATAAGGATTCCAATATCAAAGGCATGCTTGAGGGTCATTGTCTGGTTGTTATACAGTAGCTTAGAGTTCTGGGCATCAATGATGCCGGTGTCCTTGGCGTGTGTTAGGTTAAGCTGCTTAAAAAGACCCGTCTTGAAGTCCCTGATCTGCACACTATGCTCGTCTAGTAGATTGGTGCTTAAGGCCTCGGCAAAGCTAAGTTTTTCGCCCGACTTGGGGTCGACAAAGTGTCCATCTACCTCATCGTAAACATTTTTTACAACAGCTTCAATAAGGCGCAGTGGTTTTTTGGCTTCCACTAAAATACCTCTATCAAAAGCTTCCTTAAAGTCAATGGCATTGTCATCGACATCCCTCACCGTACCTTGTTTACTGTCCACTATTCCCGTCTCGGTGGCTACCCCAAATGGAATGATTTGGCCAGAACCCAGATTGACGACCGTCGAATCGGGATCGAGAATGCCCCTACGAATGGCACGTTCAGTTGTGAGCTTCTCGCGGGTCACCGTGTTGCTGAACTGGCCTGTCTTGGGATCGTAAAGACCACGGTAGACGGCATCCGGCAGGCTGCGCTTGCGCTTTGGCGGAATGAGAATGCGATTCTCGAGAGCTTCGTGGAGGGACAACTTAGTGGAAGCATATGGATTAACCACATATCCAGCAATAGGATCGAGGTAACCCTTTGCTATAGCTTCGGTAATCGAAATAATGGACTCTGTCCTTGGGTCGAGTAGCACAAGCTCCTCAGGATTGATAAGCTTTTGAGAAATGGCAGATTTCAGGTCCAGTTGCTTGTCGTCGATGGTGAATTTAGCTGTCGAAGGATCGTAGAGACCACGCAGTAGACAATCGACTAGAGACAGTGGCTTCTTGGTGCTAATGAGATAGCCCTTAACGAAGGCCTCATCGAGACTGATGTTGGGCGAGCTTAGGGTACCACGAACCGTGTCCAGAAGACCCACCTTTGCTGCCTCTTTGCCCGGCAAAATCTTGTCGTGATCGGCATCCTTGACCAACGTCGTCTCCAGCTCTACAAAGCCCATTTCAATGGCCTGCTGGAGAAGAATCTCCTCACCGGTGACAGGATTGAGAACCTTGCCAGTGCTGGGCGTGTAGTATTCACGCTGTAGCAACTCTGGCAGGCTCCAGGTGACACTGTCGGTTTTCAGCAAACGCTGTTGCACACCAACATCGAAGGGCACTAGTGTGTTATTCTTGTTGTCTTTGATTTGACCTGTGGCTGGCAGCACCAAATCATCTTCGATGGCGCAATCCAGCTTGACTTCCTTCTTTGTGACAGTATCCACAATTAATGAGATCTTTGGATCCACTAAACCAATTTCAATGGACTTTTGCACATCGACCTGGTTCTGACTCTCTGAGTCGAATAGTTTTCCTGTCTCGGGGTCGTAGAGGCCCTTGCGAACGGCGGCCTCCAGGGAAATGGGTTTGCGCGCACCGGGCACTAGGAAGCCCAGCTGGAAGGCCAGCTCCATAGGGATTTCTTTAAGCGTTTGGATGTCTATCACCGTGCCAGCCTGCATGTCTACAACCCCCAACTCAATTGCCATACGCAGTGGAATAACCTCACCGCTGACTGGGTCGCGCACCGATATCGACTGGATGTCCAGTTTGCCACTGTTGATGGCCTCAACAATGGAGCAAACTCGACCATCGTCAAGCACCACCTGTCCGGTTTGTGTGTCTATTGTTACGTTATCAATGCCTGGTTGTCGCTGCTCCTCGGGTTTCGCACGGATGATCCATTGGCGAGCAATGCATTCAAAGAATGGTATTTTCTTGCCTGTCTTGGGATCGACCATGTGACCAGTGTGCCTGTCCAGAAGAGGACGTTCCAAAGCTGCAGTGAGAGTCTCGTATTTGCCGGTACTAAAGTTTTTTACCAGAATGGTTTCTGGGTTGAAAACATTCATGTCAAATACTAACGTATGGAAGGAGATTTTCTGGCCAGTGCTCGGATCAATAAAGTACTGGTTCTCGGGATCGTAGATGTTAAGCTCGCCCAGATTTTCGGGCGTCAGTTCGGTGTCGGCGTCCACCAGGTAGGTGACCTGATGCAGTACAATCAGTTTGTCGTCAATGATCTGCACTTCGTCTAATGGACTCAGCTGCTCCTCCTTGAGCAGCGTGGAAACAGTTTGAGACTGTTGTTCTCCATCTACTATCACCTGACACTCATCGGGGCTAATCAGTTTTTGGGAAATGGCATCGCCAATGGGCAGTGTTCTGGGCACTTCTCGCTTGATAGTTGTTTCTGCAAACTCAGCAGGCAGTTCAACTACGTCATGGGACTCATCTAAGGGAGTGCTTTCAACGGTTGATGTTGTGGAGGTGGATGTTATAGTGGTGACTTTTGTTATTAATGTGGCGGGGATGGTGGAGATGTTATCCGTTGGCAATTCTTCCACTGTCTCAGGCCCCAATTGATTGGATTGTTGTGGTTTGAGTGTTTTTTCTGTGGTTAGAACATCTACCAAAGCCTTGCCAGCGAGGACGGGTGCTCCCACAATTGCAAGAGCCCCTAACTTAGCAGCATCCTTGACGTTCTGCAGAATGCTGGTGCTACTTTCCGACCCTTGTGGCCTTTTTTCCATCTCAATGAAATCAACTACTGATTGATGCTTGTCCGAAGCAGGCTGAGGTAGAACAGTACGCTCAAGATCACTTGAAAGTTGTGGATTTTCTTCACTAATGACAGTTGTCTTTGCGATCACTGATTTAATTGTCTGAGATGTCTCAATAGGTCGAGTTGGATCATCTTGTATTGGCTCCTTATCTGGCGACTCAGTGTCTGTGTGTTCTGACTTACTTTCTTCACCGCTAGTTTTCTGTGATGTCTCTGAGGGCTGAGCTGGGATAAGTTGTACTAGCTCCTCCGCAGCCGGTTTCTCCTCCGTAACTTTAAGCTCGTGGGGCGGGTTCGCCTCAGCGCCTGTGGTGGTTGTTCTAATAGTTGTTGTTGTTACTGTAGATTCTGTGATAATTGGGTCTTCAATAATAAAAGTGCTTTCATTGAGCACTGTTGTACTGGTGTGTTCAGGCTTAAAAGAATTCTTAGTGATATCACTTGGCTTATCCATGTTGGAAGGCTCTTGGACGGCTGGTTCCTTTACTTGCACATCAACAATCATGTCAGGTTTGCTAGTCACAGTACCTTCCTCAATCATTGGATGCTCCTCAATTGTTTTTACAGTTGTAATAGTTGTTATAGTTTGAGAACTAGCAACGGGTTTAATTTCGGTTTCTGTAATCGAGGTATCAGTGAGTTTATCAACAAATGGTGCAAGTGGTGCTGTGAAAGGCGGCTCGATATCGGGATGCATTTCTTTTTTACCAGTTCTTGGTTTGGGTTCTGGTTTTGTAGTGGTCTCTGGGGAAGGTTCTGTTTCAATGGCCGATGCACGATTAGTTTCTTTTTCTGTGATCTGGGCCGGCTCTGGAGTTTTCTCTTTTTTAACCACCTCGGAAGTCGAGTCCGTTTTATTTGCATCTGAAGATACTTCTCCTTGAGCTGAGTCGGGAGTTCGGTCTTTTTGAACAGGCTTCGGGGACTCCGGTTCTTTCATAACATTGGGTTCCTTCTTTGTTGGCTCTTCAGAAGTGAATTTAGTTGGAGATGGTTTTTCTGGCAAACAATCTGTCTCCTTAGTTGTAACTGTGGTAATGATTTCAGTTACCTTGGAAGCATTTGTTTTATCTTCCAACACTTGCTTAGGTTTCTCTGATACTTCATTTACCATTTCTACCATTGGACTCTCCTCGACAGTAATGCTAGCGGTGACATCTTCCACCACAACTGGCTCTAGATTTGCGATCTCTGATGATGTCTTTGAGGTAGTTACGGTCTTAACTGTTGTGGTGGTCAGTGTCCTTGTTGATTCAACTGTTAAAGGCCCCACTTCTTCATGTGGTAACTTTTTGGAATCCTGCTGATTTTCGTTGGCTATGAAGTTGGCAGTTGTGGAGCTAATAAAGTTATTCGTTTCGTCGAGAAGATAATCCACGTCACTTGGCACTTGTTGTGGCTGTAACATATTGCGGCGCTCCTGGTCAATGAAGCTGCTCTGAGGTTGCTCTGGTTTCGCATTGGACTTGGCATCTTCTGTGGGAGACTTCACAGACTTGATGAGGCTTTTAACGCCACTCACGATGGCTCCTCCGGCCAGTACAGGGGCTGCGATGACTCCGAGTGCCCCCATTTTGGCGGCATCTCTTACATTCTGTAACGTCTTTGATGGTTCCTTCTTTTCGGTTTCGCTCAATATTGAAACCGGTATTTCCTTGGTGGATTGCGTTGTGCTGACTACTTGCAATTCTTCTTTGCGTGTGTCCGAACTTACCACCACTGTCTGGGTGCGCTCCTCCACTACCACAGTTTGATCGCTGCTAGTGGCTAGTGCAGCAATCGATTCCGGACTTTCTCCTGCCGCCGCCTTGGTCTCTCGAGTTGTGGATTCTTCGCGCAGGATTCCGAGGTCTTTAGCCTCCTCCAAGGTGCATACTTCACCGGTGTTAACGTTCTGCACTTCGTTGTTAGAAATAAGAACGTAACCCTGCATCAGCTCAATGGTTTTGGTTGTCACCGTGTGAACCGCACGCACAGTCTCCATTACCTCCGTCTTGGGAATGGGTTTCTGGGTAACGACAAAATCGGAGAGATTCTTTACTACTAAAATTCCATTTTCCATAGCTTGACGCAGAGGTACACGTTCCCCAGTGGACGGGACTGTCAGCGTCTGCGCAGCCACATCGATTATATCTCGCTCCATCGCAGTAACCACCTCTATAGCATCTGGTTTCGGTGAGTAGGGAATCGACATAATGAAGTTCTCCTTAATGGCTTGCTTGATGGAAATGGCTTTCCTTGTAGTTGGGTGCAGAACCACACGCTTCGACGGTTCCACAAGGCCCTTTTCCACTGCCACTGGGAATATCATACCCACCGGAGGAATTTCGACTTTGGATTTCTGCTGATCGTAACTTGGGTCGAAAAGCTTCGCTTCAATGGCTTCTGTAATGTTGAGGCTTTTATTCTTATGGCTGAATGTAGAATCATCAGCGTTCACAATGCCCTTTGTGATTGCCTCCTCCAGGGTACACTTCTCCGGTTTAAGCAGTTTCGAATGCGGATCCAAGACTTCGCATACTATCGCCTCATGGATGCTCAGTGGATAACCGCTCTCCGGATGGACAATAGTCTGCGTTTGTGGATCAATTAACCCCTGCGCTGCCAGCCGTGGCACAGATAAGCTCTTGGCCAACGGCATTAGAATATGATTCGTCTGATCGGGTTCAAGAACTTTTTGTTCCACCGCTTGCCTCAAATTAAGAAAACGATTGCTTTGAGGATCAATGATTTGTCCACGGCGTCCATCAATCAGTCCCGTGTTTAGAGCCTCACTTATGTTAACCACCTCACCTTTAGGATTGGTGAAGTTGTTTGTATTCTCGAGTATCTCACATGTCTCCTCGTCGATAATTCCCTTTCGTAAAGCATCCTTTGGCTTCAGAATGACCTTTCGCATTCTTTGCAACACTACCACCTTCTCCTCAACTTTCGCCGGTTCACTATCAAAGGATCGCCCGCGATGCAGCTGATCACGTGAGACAATGCCTCTCTCGTAAGCCACCTCCACAGGTATTTGTTGACCGGTTCGCGGATCGGTGACGAAGCGTACGGTTCTAAGGGCTCCTTCGGCGGCAACCAATGGGGCACCCACGACACTCAATAGACCCAGTTTAGTTGCTGTGATCAGGTCCACAGGTTGTCCTTCAGAATCAAGTATAGTGGCGGTCTTGGGATCGTAAATAGAACGCGCTATCGCTTCAGTTATGGAAATCGCTTGCTTGGTTGTAGGATCTACAATCTTGATTAGCTGATCGTCTATCAGTCCCTGGCGGGCGGCATCAAGAATGTTTTCAGTCTCCCCGGTTTGCGTGAAGATTACCAGCGCTGTTGAGGGATCATAGATGGCGCCCGGGGCGATTTGCAGAGGCTCCGGAGAGGCGAGCTCCCGCTGGCAGGTAAGAACTTCTACAAACTTGGGCGGCGCATCTTTTAGGAGTGTCGACACCTCCAGCACATCCGGACTGTTGTTTACCCTAGTGATGCGAAGAATTGTCTTTTGGTTGGTGCCCCTCGTGGCTGGGACTGTCTCCAGGATGATTTTACTCTCGTCGATGGCACTGCGCATGCCCTGCACTTGTTTCCTGCTATTGGTGTAGTTTCCATAACTGTCCAGTATATCACGTTCAAAGGCTGACTGCACAGAGATCTTGTCGCCGGTGCTGGGATCAATTACTGAAACTGATAGATTGTTTATAATCTGCTTGTTGATGCACTCCTCAAAGTTGACTAAGCGATCCGTGCCATGCACATGGAATACTCCTGTATCTGGGTTAAACAACCGCTGCTCGATGGCGTCTTTCAGCCGCCAACCTCCTGGAGGCAGCTCCATGATCTGCCGCTCCGTCACGTTTTGTTCGATATAGCTGCTCTTTTCCATATTTATAAATTCGGACACTACACGCTGTGGCTTCACTAGTTCCTGGGAAATGGGAATCTCCACCGACTTCTCCACGTATTTGGTGTGCTGTGTGTTTAGCTTAATGGGCTCTGCTTCTGGTATGATCTGCTTGGTCACAATGGTAATAGTGGACTTTGTTTTTTTTCTATTAGTTGGCTCTGGCACCGTTTGGTTGCTGTCGGGAACTAACAAGCCGTAGTTAAGAGCCTGCTGCACCGAGTAAACATTGCCGGTTTTAGGATCTTTGAAGAGCTGTCTTTCCTCGTCAATAAAGCCTTGACGCACTGCCTCCGTAAAGGTGAGCAGCACAGTGTCGCCCGGCTCCTGGGAACCAGCCCTGATTGTCACATAACGATTAATCGTCCGCGTCACCGTCTCCGTAGTCAAAGTGATGTTAAGCAAACTGCTTAAAAGAAGAGCACCCTCTGGAGTAATAAACTTCCGCTCGATCGCGGTATCTAGAGGCACTGTCTCCCCGCTCTTGGGATCCAACAGATATCCCGTCTTCGGGTCAATCAAATTGTGATAGACCAAATCAAAGACACTAAGCTCCTTGCCACTGGCGTTTTGAACCCCGATGCCGCGGCTGAACATCTCGTACACCTCCTGGCGTACCAAACCCTCACTTACTGCCACCTCAAGTGGAACTAGACTATCCCTACCAGTCTCTAAGGCAAAGCCCGTGCTCTTGCGACGCAAAAGATCGCGCGAGAGGGCCACATTAAAGCTAACATAGTCATTGCTTCTCAGATCCTTGAACCCGTCAATGTCAAAGATCGATCGCTGCGCCACCGAGCTGATCAGGCCGCGTTCCACCGCCTCCGGAATGCTGATCAACTCTCCTGTCATAAAATCGCGGTACTTGCACTCTGCCGGCAGCACGATGCCGTCCGCGATGGCCTCCTGAAGGGTGACCAGTTCACCCTTACGCTTGGTGATGCACTTGAGCAGATTTCCGTCCAGCACACCAGCCTCGATGGCCTGCATGATGCTTAACTTTTCGCGGCGCATGGGACTCGTGATCTGGGCCTGTTTGTCGAGCAGGTTCAGGTCGCAGATGTCCTTCAGCGTGTACGGTTTTACGATCAACTGACGGTTGCGCGCCTCCGCGAAGGTTAGCTTCTCCTTGGTCACCTCGTTTACGTACCGACCCGTTTTCGCATTTAGAACACCCGACTGCAGTGCCTCCTGCAGTGTTATCTTCGCATCGCGTTTCGCGTCCACCACTTCCCGAACACTCGCGTCAATTAGTTGGTTGGCAATGGCCGAGTCCAGACGGAACTTGTCGCCGGAATTGCGATCCGCTATCCAGCCGGCGCCATCGACCAGGCCATGCGCAATCGCATCGCTCAGGCACAGCGCATTCGACTTGATTGTCACCGACTCGTGCCTGATGAGGTAGCCGCGCTCGTAGGCCTCCGCCAGGCTGATCGTCTGGCCCGATTTAACGCGATACAGGCCGGTCTTGGTGTCCACACTCCCCGCGGTAATGGCGTCGGCAATGTTTCGGGGATTTTCGGGAGAACCCAGCTCCCCGGATGATTGCTCTACGGTGACAGTGTTGTTTACCTTGATCCGCTTCTCGGCCGTCTCGTAGCCAGATTCCGCTTCGCTAATCTCGCGCTGAATAACCTCCAGGAGCGAAAGCTCCCGTCCGGTGGTATCCCGACCGGCTCCAGGCTGAAGTAACTGCCCGGCCAGCTGCGCATCGATTAGCCCCTGGTCGGCTGCTTGTTCCAGCGTGATGCGGCGGTCAGCCACCAACATCTCGCCGGTTCGCACGTCCAGGATGCGTAGCTGAATCGCTTCGCCGATGGTTAAAACGCGACCTGTACGCGGATCTCGAATTCCGGCTATATCGAGCACGGAATGGCTTCCCAGCTGTTGGGAGCGCTTAAGCGTCCGGATTTCGTTAAACTGAATCTGGGACTGGGGCAGGTTAGTGGTGCTACCCTCCTGATTAGCAGCATCCAAGCCATCGCTGCTGTAAACGCTCTTCGTAGAGCTTTTCGTTGTCTTCGTTGAGCTGAACCTGCAAGAGAACGTAAGAAATTCATTAGCAGGCTTATTTGGCACGTTCAAATTGGAGCATAATTTGGGACTTTCCATTTTGTCTCTTAGTGGGACTTGGCTTTTTGAACTCTTTAAATATTCATATTTGATTGTAATGAATTTTCTTTTGAAACGAATAAAAACTCACGATAAAGGATATGACTTTGGTCAAAAGTTTTTATTTGTGGTTAACATTAAAACAACAATTAACGATAAAGAAATCTTGATTCACGCCTCTACTCATTATTTGCAAGTGTATTTCTAAATATTTATAAAAATTCATTTTAATGTTATTTTGTTATTTTTAATACTGAAATATATTTTTAGGCTACATTTTTAATGACTTTAATTAAAGTATTGAAGTATAAATAAGTGATTTGAATTTAAAACATTTAGATAACTATGCTAAATACTGTTTCATTTAGAGTCTATATGGAAAATACCCTACATTTTATTTTAAGTACTCACTGTGTGGTGCTGTAGGTGGTGGTGTACAGATCTTCCTGGCGCGCAGCGTAACCATCGCCAGTTGGCACGCTGCCCGCACTGAAGTCAACCCTAAAGGTCTTGAGCGGTTTCTGTAGACTCTCAGCGTATTGCTAAATGCCAAATGAAAGCGATTTCGGTTAGTAAAAGTTAACAACTGTGGAGGCAAATTAAATTTAAATCGTTGGAGGCTTTGCGAGGATGGCAACAGGGGGGAGGGGGGAGGGAGGATAGATGGAGCATTACCTGAAACTCGAACGCAAAGTCGTAGTCACTTTCCTCTGCCACTTGGACAGTCGTGGTTTGGGTTTTGGATTTGGTCGCCTTGCGACCCGATCTATGCTGAGGCATGTCTAAGGCTTTCGATTGGTTCAGTTCGACAAAGTCATAGTCAGCAATTGGGATTTGTTTCGTTGGCTTAGGGGCTTCTTGAACACACTGCGCGAGATTTAATTGTGACAAAAGCAATTAGATATTTACGAGTTACGAATTTTAGGTAGACGCGTCACTTTGAAGTTGCCCGTGGAGTCTTAGACTTGTGTGGAATGTTTATGTGATTTGATATGGCTGCGAGATAAAGTCACCGGCGATAAAGCAACTAAAAATAAGTTGAAGAGCCTTGTAAGCTATAAAACAACGATTTACGGTAGGCGTCACTAGACTTTTAGTGTCCATCGGTCCAACTTTACTCTACTACTATTTTTGTTGATTCACTTAATCCATTCATCGGATTCTATTCTCTGGCCCTCACACAGGGATAGATTATTATCAGCCCCGTACCAAAGCACACAAATCACACGAAACACATACAGTAAAGTAAGAAATAAAAAAGCGCACACAAAAAGCAAGCCCGAAGCCTTTATGAAAATAGAAATGACGATATATAGGGAGAGGCCTCAATCGCTCTGCAAATACGTAGTGCAAACTCTCTCAAGAGGCCCCAACCATAATACAAGAATTGGGTGATTACCCGGAAAGAGTTCTTTGATTGTACTGGAATCCGGAGTGGGCTTTATCGGAGGCATCTGGTAATTTAATTTTTATCTTTATTGGCCATTTTGTAGAGGCCGTGATTCAAAGGAAAATGACTGACATATGGCTGCAGGTCGTAGCCCCAACTTGAAGTTGCATTGACGTCATGAACAACTTTATAGGAAGGCTGCAGATGAAGTCATTGAGTGGCGACTCTATAAAACGATCAACGTTCATGATTTGCATTTTCAAAATAAACAACTAGTCTGATATTCCTGTTGCTGCTTTTCAAGGTTGCCCTAGAGTTGGTGAAAGCAACAAATAAATTATAATTAACAAAACATACACCGACACACATTGAGACAGTAAACACGAGTACGAGAACAATGATGTCATCAGAGAGGCGAATATTTGATTATAAATGAAACAAGTTTGTCGGGCGCCCGCACAACGAAAAATAAAGCAGAACTCAGGCAGAAAAAAAGTCTGAATAGTTTCTAGTTAGGGGCTTCAGAAGCAAGCGGATTAAACTGATTCTTGGCCCTAATCGACTGTGATGCGCTTGACACTGATAACATGACTAATACGCCACGTTGTGCCGGCTCGAAGTGAGGGTAAGAGAGCACAAAATAGCCAGAGGAAAAGCTCCAACGAGAGCGTGCAGCATGCAGACTGCAGTTGGACCTCGCCTATGCGGCATCACGAAAATAGGCGCCTCCCTTTTGCTTCAGTGGAGGCAAAGACCTCGAAACGCTCGCTTTCATTCCTGATTTATCGTTAGAATGCCGCTAAAAATATATATATATGAACGTGCATATATACAGCAGGCAAGCAGAATCGGGTAGTTTAATCGATAAAATCATAGGGAAAGTGCTGGGTTTTCAGGCATATACACACTCCCACAGTTCGAAGTGTTTCCCGGGAAACCGATCGCTCAATCCAAGGTATCGCATCATGCCTAATGGCTTGCATCTCATAGATTAGATTAGCGCCAGCCCTGACACTCCCGCGATCTCGGTTGTTGATAGGAAGTAATAGTTCACGCTAGTCACTAAGTAATGGACCTAGAGAATTTCCACATTATATTGGTCTTTTGTTTTAACTGCAGATTTTAGTGGTTTATGCAACTTTTAATGACCCTAACTCGCTGAGTCACTACGTAATTTCAGTCATAGGTTTTTTTTTTCTTGCTTTTTGTGTGTGAGTGCTTATTAACACCAAACAGACTTCCGAAAATATCAACATTCCGATTCTTGCGACATGTTCAAGGCTATATTAATAATGTGTTTCTTTTATTTTCGATTGCACACTCTTCTGTTTGCGTTTCTGTTATGTTTGAGTTGTTGCGGAGCCGCAAGTGACTTCATTCTGGGCTACAATAGAACTCATTGCGACAAAACTTGGAACGCGGGTCGGCGGCAACAAATTTAAATGTCTTTTAACAAAATAATAGCGATCCGATGCGACACGGTTCGCGTTTAATTGAAATTTAAGGCACCAAGACAGCGACACGGACACACTTTCTATCCGGCCGTGTATGTGACATCACGTCGGCCCATGCGGCGGATGAGCAATGTTCTGTACTTGCGTCTGTTTGCACATTTATTTATCACAACTATTCACTCATAACTACACGGTCGATTCGTATTCGAATTCAAATTCCACAGACCTCGCCTCCCAACAAAACCTGAGGTTTAAAAGGTTTTGGCCTTTGTTAAGTTTCGTTCACCGGCAGCAGGCGGCACACAGAGCGGATACGCGACGTTACACAACCACGTCGCTTTTGGAACTGAGTGGAGCAGCCCAACTGCGAGAGCCACTTGGCCAAGTGGAGAGCGAGCTTTTGGGGTTCAGAGGCACAACTACCACCGGGAGCGAGCTTTCAAATGCCGGCTAGTTCTCAGCGAGCATTCCCCAGCTGTTGCGCCAAAAAGTATAAACAGTCCATTTACAATAGGCTCAAAAGATGAAAACGGGCACGGGCAGGGAGTACGCGGAGTTGGATCCACATTAAACTCGAAAACAATACACGGAAGTCGAGAGTAAAGTATCAGAAGAAAAGATAAAACCAGTTTGTGCCGCCACCTAACCTTCTAAATAACATATTTTGCTTTTCAATCTAGTTAAGCCAGCGGAGCTTCTACGTCCGCCCCTGCTATGCATATCAAGTTGGGTTGAAGGCGAAGTGGTAATGGAGCAGTTATGATGTCACTCCATCGCCCGAGGCGAAGGTAACGCCTTCGAGCACCAAAACAACAATTTCGGATTGTTTTAAATTGGATTAACTGATCAGAATCAAGGAGGTGCTTTTTTTTTGAATTGGACTGGGATGTGAGACGAAAAACCTTCTACATCTTAAGTGTTTTTTTTAAAAGTAGACTTTAATGCTTTTTTAAATCTAAATTTTATTTTAAAAACAAACAAACTTTAACTACTTTCTCAGTATAGTACTTAAAGTGCTATGGCTCTCAAAATTAGAAAAATGCTTGAGTTTATTGAACTTAAGGTTACGCCATGTCCGGTGATCTCTTATACGTTTCTATAATTGTCTTCTAAATATTTACAAACAAATATTTTACCACCGGGTAAAAAAAACTGGTTGGTTAATAAAATTATTAATTGAATTTCTAAGATGGTGCGATCCAAAAAAAAACAAATTTCAAACCTGTTGAACAAAAATAGTCAAATGGTGAGGAGACAGGAATTAAAAAAAAAATAAGTTGACAGATGGCGACAAAGACGTTGATGACGTCCCCTGGCATTGAATTTCGAGAATATATAAGCCCCTATGAATGCTGGGGCTTCATTAATATTTATAGATTTCGCCGTCGTCATTATTAATTTCGAATCTGTCTCCAATTTGCCTAATTGGCCAGGCACATGACAATATCTGTCGTTTTTGTTTTCTTTTCATTGAAACTCCTGACATAATGCAGTATTTATAAATACATTTGATACATTAAACAAATTACTGCATCAATTGACAGCGCAGACAAACAACGGTCACGATGACAGAAAAAATAGTTTAAATTTTTATAAATTAATCAAGCCGTGATTTATGGCGGCAACATTTCAAGCCATTGACGGAATTTTTGGTCAATTCGCATTTGACGTGATGTCATTATATGGCTGCTTCTGCCGTCAGTGTGCACCGATTCTGAAGGTTAATTTAATGATAACAACCGCCGGGCAATCGGAGCGGTAACAGATACAGATACAGATAGACAGGCACAGATGGAGGAGACACAATGATACCAGAGAGAGACGTACGTATTTGCATTTGAAAACTTGACTTGACTTTCGTGTAGAAAACGAAAGCACAGAACTCGTTTGCTGAACTTGAACCCCGTTTTATGGTTGCGAAACAATTGAATACTTTGAGCCTATTCTTTGAACCCTGACGTCACCTCGCAAAGATCCTTCCAAAGGGAAAGGGTTTAGGATGAGGTCACCTGGATTACTCACCAGACCATCGCTGCCATTGACTTCGATTGCCGTTTTAAGCCTCTGCGACAGTTGTTCCAGCAATCTGTCGTATTTCGTATTAAGGTTGTCCAGTCGTTGGCTGTAATACTGTGTGGCACCCGGATCGCTGTCCGCCGGCCGGAGATCCCGGCGAGGCGGCGAAAACGACGGACGGGCCTCGAGCAACCAGTCCACAAAGCGTAGGCATTTGCTATCGTAGATCTTCTCCCCGAATTCGAGGTCCCACGTTGACATTGTTGTTTGGTTGGTTGGTTAATTTCGGTTAAATGTTAGTAATTTTTTGTGTTATACAAATTCGTTTGTTTTTCAGGAGGTAAGGGTAGATATATTTAGTGCTTTTTATTTTATTGATTAATCAATACGAAATTACTTTATGTAAAAATTGCGTTTTAATTGGTTTGTTTTGTAAGTTTGGAATTTGGTTTGTTTGTGTTTGAGTTTGTTTGTCAGGCTGTTTTTGTTCCACCCAAGTGTTATTGACGCACCTTTTACCCACAAGATAGCTAGGAACTGCAGCTTAGAGTCCGGCAAATGTTTTAAAAAGCATTAAATATATTGAAGGTTCGATAGAGAAACAGCTAAGAGGTGTATAGAGCTACAAAGGTTTTCTTTTCGGAATTGGAGGGATTTCGGTGTTCGGTCAAAATATCCACAATCACTCACGCAATCATACTTAAAGAGTTGGCACTCGGCCACCAACTGACCTATCGCAACCCAACTTTTGAACTTTCGAATCCTACGAAAAACAACCGAGTTTCACATGTCCGGATCCAAAGGCTGCTGGGTTACGATGGGTCAGCCATTATCAGATCAATCACTCCTCCACAAGCATACAAATTTTTACCTTGGCTTCGCGTATAAGTCGTCCTCCAGCCACGTTGACATTTTCGATTTTTGGTTTTCGTTCGATTGCAGCTCCGAGCAGTTTCTATAGGTTTCGAGGGGTATTTTTTGGTTTTCGATATTTTCAGGATTTTTAATTCGTTTTGTTTTTTTATAATTTGATCATTTTGGGTTGGTTTATAGTGTGTGATAATTTGATTGTTGTGTGAAAAAGTTTACATTTTTTTGTTTGGTAAAAATACAAAAAATTAGACAAAAATACATATACAATTAGTTTTCAACTACAAATACGATAATACTGGGTGAATAAATATATATGTATGTGATATAGAAGCCAATATCGTAAGATATAGGCATATGTAAAGGTGCAGCTTACATTTCTAAGGGGACAAAGCTACAAACATAAAAGTAGTGAAGTTTCTAGACTACTACACAAATTTGGGATCAATTTACTGTGTGGTGGGACGAGGGGATATCACTAGAGATTACGTATATGGGTGTTGTTGTGTAGGTGGTCGAATTGACCACATTTGGAGGTCTGTCTGCTGTGTATATATATGTACATGTGGTATGCTTATGTGGGTGGTGGCCAGCACTACATGTCAAAGATTGCTGTTGGATTAGACAAAAACTACTGCTAGAATTTCGGACAAGGGACTGGAGATTGTTTCACTTTTGTCGGGGACAGTTTACAAATGGAAATGCAGTACAAAAACAAAAAACAAAATAGATTTACACGTATAAAATATAAATATAGGAATACTGAGGCATGTCCAACACCGGAAGGTTTTATCCCAACAAAAAATAGGAGCAACAACTGTGGGAGCAAACTACTTTGGACGCGAGTCAATGGCTACTACGGTTTCCATTTACGGGCTAGGTATATATACTTTGTGTTTTGTCTCCGAAAGAGACCCACTGGAGCGGCTAAAACTGAGCAAATCTGTACAAGGATCTAGGTAGATCTAGGGCTAGAGACTACCGCTTATCGGAATGGCAGTTTGGTTATTACAGGGGCAGTTTCTCTCTACTCACGTCTAGTTCGTACGCCGAAGTGGCAGTGGGCATGGCAGACAGTCGCTCCGTGGTGCCATCCACCCATGATTCCTCCACTTGCACGCTCGACTGGAGATTCTTCATCAGCCCGATAGCCGTCTCGCATGAGCGCATTCTGAAAAAGCATTGTGACACGGTGTTAGAAAGTCAGGTTTGTCTCCATATGTGGCCGCCAATGAGGCGACACCAACGCACGAACAGAGCAGGTGGCGCCTGTGAACTTACCTTTCGCCCAGTTGGTTGCACACCGCACTCCAGCGCGTGTTGAGACGCTCCACATTCGAGTGCAGTCGCTTGAGGTCGCCGAGCACCTTGGTGGGCACACCCATGCGCCCCAGCTGATCGGCTGCATCGTTCATCTTGTCCATCTGCGGCTGCTGTTGTGTGATGATGTCCTGCATGTGGTTCAGTTGCTTGAACACCTGCTGCAGTCCCTCGGCCGTCGAAGGCAAATCCTGGTGTCTGGCCAGCTCGTTCTCCAGCTCGGAAATCACATGCTCATTGTCCTCCAGGCCAGCCAGAGAGGCTTCAAGCAGCTTCAGGCGGTCCTTGTGCAGACCGCTCTGGGTGTTCAGCTCCTTCCACAGCTCCATCAGGTTGTCAAGGCTCTTCTTTAGCACGGGCGTCTTTAGGGCAATCGTACGGAAAGTCTCTTGCAGATGCTTCAGCTCTGGCTCCAAAAGGTTCAACCTGCGCTCATAGTCCGAGTGAATCTCAAGCACATGTTCCAAAGAGTCCAGATCGCGTGGCAATGGAGCCAATATAATCTGATCCAGCTCACGGGCCATATCCTCCAGTTTGCTCTTAATAGCAATGCATTCCTCGGTGAAAATGCGACTGGCTTGTTTGCTCTCCTCTGCGAAGAAGAGAATGAAATTAACATTAGTAGGATAAGAGGCTGTTAAGGTAAACTGCCAGGACTACCCCTTGTTTTGACACTCGCAAAAAGCTTCTTCATGGTTGACTATGCTTGACAAGACTAAGTCGCGTTCCGGCTTCCTGATTGCCACTTTTCTCAAATAAAACCCGCCAGCAGTAAATTTAATTAGCCTCCATCAATTAATCGTTTTGGACAGCTGGCGAGCGCCGTTAATTGAAAAGCGAGGCAAAAACTATATTCTACCCGTCGATGATACTCCCACACTCACCTTCGGCGCGGGCTCGCTTCTCGAACTCATCGAACAAGCGATTAACCTCGTCCATTTCGCGGCGCAAGCGTCGCAGCTGCGGATCGTTGGGGTCGCCCTCGCTCAGCAACTTGTCGGCATCGTCGTTGAGGGCACGCCGGATGGCCGTGCGCTGCTCGGGACCCATAGCCAAGAACTGGTCAAAGTCCCAGCCCTTAACCACACGAATGGTTGCGAAGATCATGTTCTGGCGTAGGCGTAGGTGCTTTTTCTGCCAGAGAGCTACGGATCGATCGAAAAGTCGCTTCAGACGCTCGGCGGCATCGATGGCTTCCTGATCAGGAGGCGGAAGCAGCAGGCAGGCACCGGGTATTGGTCCTTCTTGACCCTTGGCCGTGCGCACGCGCCACTTCACTCGGCCCGAGTTGTCCAGGAGAGTTACAGTCTCACCCTTTTCGATCTGCAGCTGACCCTGCTGTTTGTAGGCACAGATGGCCTGCACGGGTCCCTGACGGTTAACCGGCTGGCGGCGCTTGTTTAGAGGCACCACTGTCTGAGCCCTTCGCTGCAATGTAGCCACTGTCTCGCCAAAGGCATTCAGCTCCTCGCGCAAATCCTGCATTCCCCTTAGCAAAGTTTCACCCTGGTCCAAGCCAAAGTCCGACTGCGAAAACTTGCTGTTGAGTATTTCGTCACGCTTGGCTAGCCATTGCTCGGCATCCTTGATCTCCCCAAAGAACTGATGGTACTCCGTGGCGTGCTTCAGATGGACCTCCAAGCAAAGAGTAAGCTGCAGCAGCCAGGCCCACTGCTGTTGCAAGGCAGTCAGATGGGCTTCGATGCACTTGGACGCCGGATGCTGTTGGTTCAGCAGCGCCTCTCCACGATCCAGGATGGTTGCAAAGTGCATCTCACGCTTCTCCAGTTCGGACATAAGGTTCTGCGGGAGTCAAACCAATTTGGATTAGTTAATTATATTAAACGTATTCGAGTAGTGCACTTGGTTGGTTGCTCTTTTTGAAATATACATTTTACAATGGTACTTGTGAACCAATCGGGATCTTACCTCGTCGCCATTACCAAATGCACGCTTGTAGTCGGATAGAAGCACAACACATATATAATACTAGCTCTTAAAGGGTTCTACTGGGCGAACGCCACTACTTACCTCGTAGTATCTGTGCACGGAGGGCAGATCGAGTTGTTTGTCCGCCCAGTCGCGCGTGATCTCCACCTGTTCTTTTTCGTTGAGCCACTGCAATTCCGCCGAGGCCTGTCCCAGGAAGTGCTGCAAAGAGTCCAGATCGGAAAGGCGTTTCGTCGAGGTGCTGAGCAACTCGGCGTACACCTTCTGCAGCTGATTGAGACGCTGCTGGTACAAGGCCAGTTCATCTCCGGAAAACTTGGTCTGTTGACGCTCATCGTTGAGTATTTTAGTATGGAATTGGTCAATAATCTTGTGCTCGTGCTGTTGACGATCCAGTTCCTCCTTGACCGATGGCAGGTCACTGCCATAGTCAGCGGCAAGCAATTGTTTCTTCAAGAAAGCATTGATTAATATATTGGCAAGAGGGAGCATAAGCAATATGTACTTACCAACTTATTCTGGCACCATTCAATGTGCTCCTGCAGATCGCGGAAATGGGGGTTCGTGTCGATCTGACGGGACTCGACCACCATGCGCGTTTGACGCGTCACCGTGGTCTCGTGGACGGGATACTTCAAACCGGACAGCTTCTGTACCAGGTTCGTGTGGAAATTGGTGCGCAGTTGAGCCCAGCGCTGGTGCAACTTATTAACCTTCTTGTGCAGCTCGCTGACATGGGGATAGCGTCCCTCATTCAGCACGTGGCAGTCCTGGTTCATGTCCTGGATGGGTTCTTCCAGGTGCCGAATCTCGGTTTCAAGGGCCTCGACAATGCTCTTCGCGTCCACGGGATGCAGTCGCTCGATGCGACGACCCTCCTCACCGATACGCGTCTCCAGATCAGTCAGTTTCTGATCCACATGTTTAATCTCTCGCTGAACCTTGTCGGCCAGTCGTTGCAGCCGTTCCAACCGCTCAATCTCCTGCTGAAGGATCACCTCGCGATCTTGGAGTGCAGTGTTCATTCTGTACCATGCTTTCTCGATGGCATCTGGGCGCAGTTCGGCCTCCACGTCCACTTCACCTACGGTTTCAAAATAGCGCTCCAGCTCCTTGTAGATCTGGATGAGCTTGGACTTCTCGCGCTTGCGGGCGCTCACCTCCTCGCTGCGGAAACGCTGCAGATCACTCAGCAGACGCTTCATCTCAATGAGAGTGGGCGGGAAGGAGCGCTCCTGCAAATAGGCTGTCTTCTCACGGCACCAGTAGATAAACTGCTGGGCCAGGTCGCGGTATTCGTGCACGCGACGCTGTGACTCCATGTCAAACAGTGGATGGATCGAGGGTGGCTCCGGGAACACATCGTACAGCGATGAGATGTACGTGATAAGGGACTTTTCGTCCGGTTCGTTTGTGTCCACATCTGAAATGGTATGCTTCGAATTAGATTCTCATCTTCAAGTACGGACTAGGTAGTTGACTCACCCTCGGGATCCAGCAGACGCGTCACTCCGTACTCCTTCTCCACAATGTGGAAGGCCGTCTCCAGGCGATCGCGTGGCCGATCGTTCCTTGCCTTTCGCCAGTCAAGCAAGTCCGGTCGGTTGCGGTGCACCAACGCCGAGAAGGCCAATCCATCTCGCCACGACGACGTGAAGTCGTTGACACGAACACCCGGATACCGAGCAGTCGAGCGACGCGCCCAGCGCAGCAGGGCCTCCCGAGCGGATACGTTGTCCTCCTTGCCCACAACAATATCGGAGATCTGCGTGTAATTAAGTTAAGCATTAAGTAACTGCGGTACAAGTTCTACTGGAAACGAAATCAATAATATATTTGAGGTGAGCAAAACTGTGGTCGCCCTATTTTAAAATGGGAAAACATTAGTGGTCCTTATTCTGGATATCCATTCCGGAGCACTCTCTTTACCTCTCTGCGCTGCGTGGACGACTCTATAGCAGGCGGCAAGGCACGACGGTATTCCAACTCCGAGCTGCGAATCATTTTAGCTGGAGGCAGCAAGTCCTCGGCAGGCTGAGCATTTTCCTCCGCCCGACTCAAAGTGGTCACTTTCCGAACAATATGCGTGGTAACCCGTCGATGGCCATTCGGGGCCCTTTGCGATGTCTTCGTGCTCTCCACACTAGACCCCAACACCTCCGTGGATATGCGTTTATTCCGCGTCACCTGTTGGTAATGGGCGGAGGATGAAGCACTTCCGCTGGACGGGACCAGGGCCCGGGTCTCTGAGACGCGACGTGAATTGCCAGCTGGATCTTGGAAGGTCACTGTGCGCTCAAAGTTGGTTCGTTCATGGGGAACGCTTCCTAATGGAGACACCCCCGGATAGTCCGTGATCACCGCTTCCACGGTGCGCTCCCTTTTCGTCTCATGACGATACCGCAGACTGGAGTCATCGATATTGGTGGTTATCGCCGGACCTCGGGAGGAGTGTACCACCTCGGATCCACTGCTCAGGACATCGCCCCTGCCGCCGTTCGTTTGCCGCACTAGTTGTTGTGTGCGCTTCAGCGTCGATTGCGAGCTGGAGTGCATATTATCGCAATAATCGAACTGCTTTCGCAGTTATCGTTGCGCTATCGTTGTTTTCGATTGTATCACTTTGTTTCGTTTCGTTTTTGGGTTCGTTAGAAAATCGTTTCGCTTTGCCGCTTTACTTTTACGCCGATTTTCGTAAATCTGCGTGATTTTCAAAATAAGTTTAATTATTTGCCGGTCCTCACAATTTGAGTTTAATTAAGCCAAACCTAAAGCCAAAGTCAAATCCCAAACCGGCACCGGATGTCTTGTTCTATGTGGCATTGCCCTAGACATTGTCAGAAACCCCATCGAGAACTGAAGCGGGGAAAAATTAACCGAACGGAGCCAAAGTGGAGTGAAGCTTTATAGTATGTGGAGGGCCCATTGTTGTTGCGAATTATTTATTGTGTTGTACGTACACATAATTATCCCAACTGTCTGTTTGCCTCGCTCTCGGCGCTATTTGTTGCTTCTTTTCCTGCCGTCATTTTTTCTCTTTTTTTGCAAACAATACACACATATTCACGGCAAAAAGTTAATTTACACCGCTGATTCATGGGCAGAGATTCATTAGTTTCGGAACACGCAAGCCTATTTTGCATAGGAAAATGGAGAGAGGAACGATATGGCAGTGGAACAGGGAATACCGTTTGATTATTTTCCCTATGGGAAGTTATCTTTCACTTCCCAAAAGGAATATGTGGTAAAACTAGTGTAAGTCGAACCAATCAAAAGCCAGTAGTACCCAGAAATTCTAATGTATATTCTTATATATAAGAACATTGTCGCACTACTTTTGTTTTACGATTGAAACATAATTCGCACAAAGAACAAATTATGGAATGGAACGGCAATTGAAAATGCATTCCTTAAACTGACGTCATAGGGTTACAAAACCCAAATTGTATAACTAATATTTTTGATCAATATAATAAAAGCAAACATCACTAACTGCTCCAATGTAGTGGAAAATCATTTGCAAGTGTGATGGCAATGGAACAGAGTACACTTTCTTAAATGCTGTTATTATGCACTGGATGGAGTAAATAGGAATTCAGCGATAGCTTGAATATATTTAGGGTGTCAAACCATCAAAAAAAGTGCCTTGATACACCTCTCTCAAATCTCTAGACTAATCTATATGGCTCATGATCAATAAACAGACCAATGTAATCGCCCACCTAACGAAAAGCACGACAAATGTTTGTTTAACTGGAGGTTGTAGCTGCGTTTTACGCCTGCGCAGCACCATGATATTCGAATACACATATCCATTCACGTCGCCACACTACCAAAAATGCTAATTGCAGCGTTTTAAGCACACTATAAACGATCTGCGTTGTTTTTATGTGATTATGCCAAAAGCAAAATGATAGAGAAATAAGAAAAATACCTTGTGACCGAACAGCTCGAAAAAAGTGTCTGTGGAGGCGTCTCTAAGAGGCGTTAATGGCTTGACATTCTCATTGAGTCTTTTGAAAGGCGGCAGAGCTCCATCTGGTCGTTGCCTATTTGGGGATTTTGGCTACTGTTCGATGTTTGAGATGGTTGACTCTTAGAGGTGCCTGCCAATTTGCATTGCCTAACGACAGAAACATTAATTCCTAACATCATTGGAGCTCGGGGCTACAAATTAAATTTGAAATTGGATAACAAACTTTGAGTTTCATTCCGAAACGGTAATAATTTATATTTTTTAACTCCATATTTATATAAGTGATAAAGAACCAACGTTAAAAAATACGTTGTAGCACAAAATCTTTTCCAATTGTTCGGATTTTGGGTATCTGTGCCCATGTTAATTAAAATAAATAAAGCCTCGTAAGACAATAAGATAAATAAAATCCACTTGAGAGGAGCGTTGAAAATTACGAAATAAAATACGAGACACGCACACAAAAAAACGTTTTTCAAAGCTACGAACTGGAACATCGTCGAATAAACCGAGACCGAAACGAGATGAAATCGGGGCCCCGAGATCGGCAGGGGTGTACGTCATTATTTACAGCTACTTGGCTCCATTCGCGGGGCATTTTGTTTGCAAACAAACGATCGAATTGAAGCAAACCGTGCCGCACTTTGGTAATAAACTCGTCATAAAAATAATTGAAATAGAACTCAATTGCGAGAGATTGAAATCAATTGAAATTGGCGGCATTTAATAAATCAGAAACCAGAGCGATTATACTACAAGATTCTGACATCATGGCAAGCCGAATTAATTGATTGAAATCACTTTGGCTGGGGGCTAGGACTTTGACTCAAAGGCTTTCTAAACACACACTTTGTAAATATTTTCTGGGGTTTTAAAGCCCGTTCCCGTAGGTTTGGAATTCCGGGGTTCCTAGGAAACGCATGCGGTTTTTAGCTAATACTTTATGGAGAGGGATCGTGAATGGAATCGGCGGCGTCTCGACAACAACTAAAAGCGATCGGGCCAAGTTAAAACGCTTAAAGTGTGGCTTTGACCAGGTGTTGACGCCTCTGCCGGCGTCGACGTGGCTGCGCTGCTTTGTTTTTTGTTACAGGCAAGAATAGAAGCGAAGCTGAAACAAAGTGGAATTGGCACATGGTGAGCGCTGTCTGCGTTGGCGTTGACGTCAACGTCGGCGTCAAAAGTCGGTCTTTATGCCGTGGAATATATGGAATCGCGATCGTGCTGACAGCTGTGCGTGTGTGGTTGTGTTGGAGGCACTGCCTCTGCCTCCGCCTCTGCCTTCCCCGTTATGGCCCGCTAGCTCCGCTGCCGCCTTCGCTGCCTCTGCCGCCGTTCCACCTGATTCTGCCACCACTGCTCTGCGCCTCGATGACGTATTTGCAACCAACACCAGTGCCTTTGCCGCCGCAACCATGGCAACGTAAACGCCGACGCCAGCCGAGACGCCTACGCCAACGCATATGTATGTGTGTAACACTGCAGGAGCAACAACAACAAAAGCACAACAAGGGCGGCGATGCTTGAAATACCCTTACAAGCCCATAATTCCAAAAGCAGATATACATATCATTCCGGGGTTCCCATAACAATCCAAACACCTACGGCGACAAATTAATATTTTTTATCGAAGCCTTCCCATTACAAACTATAAACTACGCTCTATTGGAGCTGTGATAACACATAGAAAAAACCTTTTAGGCCTGTAATTACATTGGCAATTAGAAAAATATGTGTTTAGTGTGTAAGGATGCTTATAAGGTTGGTATCCCAAAGGTTTATTTCATTGCGTTCAACGTACTGTGTACTTTGCGTTAGAGAAAGCTCAAATGGATTTGTCTGAAAATTAGTTCCGAATCTTGGTTCTTAATTGGATCTAAACTAATGTTAGATATATATAGGCGGGTATAAATATTGTCATATTCTTTTATTAGTTCGAGACGATTTTATGAGCTGAACTTATCACTTTCCCTACATTACTAGATTCAAGAATATTCAAATGGAATCCAGGCAGAGAGTTTGTTACACAACACGGGCTCGAGTTGGCCCTCTCTCTTTCGTAATTTTGTTGTGGTAGCCGCCACTCACTCAGCGGATCAGCCGCCCCACGGCAGGTAATACGTCATTCCAGGTACTCAAAAGTACAAGAACACAAAGTCAAAGAATAATTATAATGATGGAAACAAGACTGAGAACCTGACGATGGCAAGGAACAACGCAAAAGGCAGAATATAAATGAAGAAACAGTCGAAACGGTGGTGGAATGTGAACAACGAGTTTCGATTAAAAACTTAACTAACTGAAAATACGAATATAACGAAGACAACATCGGTTCACTTTGACCCCATGGTATTTTGGCTCTTCGCAAATTAATTTTAAATCTCATAACACATCACGACCGACTCATTACTTTGCAGGGTGACCCAAAAACATGGCAAAACAGAAACATCCAATGATGTTAACAGGTTTAACTCAGAGCAGATAATAAAAGACAGTCGGAAAAAGTGGACAACAAGAAAACTAAGCAATGAGGTAATGCGGAAAAGACACTTTTGGGAAAATGAAAAGGTTTTGGCCCTAGTTAGTTTGTCCTGTTTTTGAGGAATTTAAATCAGAACAGATATATAAAATTATTTTCTATGAAATGAGTTAGCAAGTATATATTCCCTAATCAATGTGTTGCAAGTGTATCTCTTAATATTAACATAAAATTGTAAAAGATGTTCTAAAATGAAAGGTATTTTTTCTAGTGTAAGCTTTTCGAACCCCGAAGAAAAAGTACACTTACGTAATAATGTAAGGGAAGCACTAGATTATAATTAATGCAAATTAGCAGCAATTACTGACACATTGCATGCATTTCCCCTATCAATCTGCAGCCAAATATGGTAACTCAGAACTATTGCAATAGTCTTGCACCTAGAAAGTCCAACGGATTAAAGTGGGTGTCGAAATCCGAGGCTGAGATAGCCAGACGGAAGTGCCTTATGTTCGTGTTTGCCCAAGATACACTCGACACATTCGCTCTCGTACGGCCAACATGGGTTAATTAGCATGTTACATGGCTTAAGCCCCGATGGCGATGCCCTATATGGAGTAAAAGGCAGTGACTGCGACTACTACAGCTGTTGGCCCGGCATATTTGCTGGCCATATTTATGTATGGGTATTAAATACTCTTAACTGCTGTCAGTTGTTTTTCGATTCACACACACTCTCGAATCGCCACAGTCAATATAGTCAATACAGTCAGTACAGGCAGACGTAGACCCCACACCTTGAGTCCCCGAGTCTCTGAAACTGTGCAGCTGAATTGCAAATCTAATTAGCTGCCGAAGGAATGCACCGCAGAGAGTGGGGTGGAATTACGGGCCAGTACTCGCACTGGCATATGCTTATTAATACTGATATGATGCAACCCAGTAAACAAATGCGGCTTTATGTTTGGCACTATTCGTAATTTGAGCAGTGTTTTGCACTTGAATTGTGTTGTTTGTGGTGGGAAAACAAAGCGAAATCAGTAGCTGCTAATGTTCTTTCACCCCGCTCCTAGATTCCCATTCCCCTAGTAAATTTAACTTATGGAAAAAAATACTATTTTAGTCTTCACTGCTGTTATTTTCCTCCCAAATGTAATACCAAGCATTTATATACAAAAAGATGAACTATTTTTTCCTGTGCACCATCATGTTCTAGTTATTACCCTTAGCCCCGGACGGAACTTGTGGGTGTGTAGTGAGGTGTAGGTGTCGCACCAAATTCGTCTGACATTCCTAGGGATATCACCGTGTGGGCTCATCATCATTGGCAAATCAAATCATTTACGTAGCCGCTTGTAATTCCATCTACACACTTGAAATGTATCCAGCGGTGAGATTTCAAATTAATTACAAGTCATGAACACACTTACACTGCTAAATGCTTCTCGATTGCAAACAACTATTCTAGACAGCTTGACATTTGCATACCAGGCAGAAAGAGATGGCAAATCATATTTAGAAAGAGAGAGGTTGTCAGGCATCTTGTTTCCTTATTTGACCAAAAGCAAGTTGTCGATTTATTAATGAAAACTTTGTTTGCTTTATCTGCGATGGCTATAGATAGATTTCGAGATCGAGATCGAGATCGAGATTGAGATTGAACCCACACACCAAGCTATTCAAAAATTCAGTCATCGATGTCATAAATTAAGACGAGTAAGTGCATCTGTTGCTGGTATTGATGGCATTTTGTTTTGGCCATTTCGTATACTTCACAGCCAGCTGGTCGAGAGTTCGAGTTCGCCGCCTGCGTTGAAGTCTTTCGATTGGCAAGAACCGAGGAACGCTGATGTCATGGGCAGGGCGCAAAGAAAAAACCGCCTTTACCCCACCTGATTTTTTTCAAGTAATTCTTGTTATTGTCTGCTGCTGTTCCCCAACTGGCATTGACTTTATTGTAACACATACCTTGGCGTATTATAATAAATCAAATGCCACACACAATAATCCAAAAAATAAAAGATAATAATAATCTTTTCAAATTCGAACGATGACGTAAGAACGTCTGGGTTCCGAAGGCTTTCTAGCTATTGTATTTCGGCTTTCTTTCGAGGCGTTATTTTTCATGGCTGGGCGCCCTGACTAAACATTGGCCACGGCATTTTGACGAAATATAAATGCCTGGCACACATGCCCGCACTTACTCCCCAACTAACAAGCAATGCAAAATGGCAAATTGCTGGGGAAATTATCAGATGCTCATAATGAAAACGTTTGTCAGAACAATTCGACACAGATCTCGGCGATTTGGCACACACCGTCGCCTGGGGATCACGGCAATTTATTATTTAAATTCAGCAATTGAGCGGCTTAGGAAGTTTACGTGGCAGCTGCAAGGTTAGCCTTAGATTTGTGGCTCTCGATATGGCGCTATAGGGGAACCAAATGTTACCCTAAACCGTACATCGCGTATTACTGCCCGCAACAACTTTTCGTTCGGATCCAAATGGAGCTGAATTATAATTCATCAAGCTGGGGAATAATGTTGTTAGGGCCAATTTAATTTTCGACCAAAAATACAACGTTTAGGGATATTCCTAAATGAAGTTATAATATTACATTTTTGTAGCCAAGCGATCATCGTTTATCTAGAGCGTGTTAAAACCTGTAATAATTAAGCTAAAAGCGGCCATAAATATGCACTAATATGTACGACGATCATTGAAAGCACGTGTAAAGCACTAGAAAACTCTACAAAGCTCAACAGGTTTTATGTCTCAGGTAAAGGTAAAGTCTCTGATTGATTGTTTTGTTTTTGCTGTTGTTGTGGGTGGTTCATAGATCAAATCGATTCGCTTGCACAATTTATAACTTAATTACAAGCCAAGCAGCGTTACAAACTGCCAGCGGCTGCTGTTTAGAAAATTGTTCCGGCGCTTATTATTATTTTGTTCGCCTTTAACAATATATTTTCTCAACGTTGACCCACAAAACACCGATCATTAATTGAATATACAAAGCAGCTTCGCTTTTCGCTCACGAATGGAAATAGGAATTATGTCATAACTGCAAGATGTCGATTGCGATTTGGATTTGGACATGGATTTGAATTTGGATAACTTAAAATTAAATGAGACTGAGAACGCTGTAAGGAAAATAGTTTGGTATGCAAAACAAGATATATCCTTTTAAGTCGATCGTATTGAATTTGCATATTTTTTCCGAGCCAGATCGGATGACATCAGGCACCCGCAATAGCATAAACAATATACATAAATCCTTGGCGGCAAGCAGACAAGAAATAATGAATAAGACAGAAAACAGTAAGCAGTAAATGACGCGCGATTGAGTTTCACATTGTCAAGTGATTTACAATTCGTTCGCCTCAATTGAATGAGCGCCATTTGGCGGCCTGAGCTGCGTGTTGCTGCTGTCGTTGACGTTGCTGCTGCTGTTGCTGTTGCTAGTTGCTGTTGCTGTTGCCTCATGGTCGCTGAACTGGCAGCATCATTGAGCATTTATGCGCGCCATCGATCAAGTCGGAGCCAAGCCGCAGCCACATCGACATCCAACGACGACTTGAAAAATGCATCTGCGTTCGTCGGCAGTTACGAAATATCCAAGTTTTGTTTGCAGCCAGTTGACACACATACTGCGGAAATGTATCTCACCGATGAGTCAGTGTCGAAAAACACTTATTGGCGTTTTCTACAATCATTTCAACTCGAATTCTTACGACTCCCTAATGAAAGTTCATAATTTTTCGTTTTTAAGTACGTATTTCATACAGATTTGACATTTAACATTGCTTGTTAAAACATCTTAAACTTTTTTATTTGACTAATCTTCAATTTTTTCATTTACTATTCTTAGAGAAAAGAATTACTCTATTAATTGTTTAAATATTTATTTCTTGGATGAAGGTCCAATTAGTATTTGAGCCTTGTTGGTCCTATTTATGAGGAAAAATCTGGATTCAAGTTATGATCATATGATTTTGATCTGATTATTTTGTATTGTTACTAGTTGATTGCATGATTTGTTGTATACATCTAATGCATTCATACCTCATAAAAAATACGTTTCTTTTATATTATTTCAAAACTGCAACCGTTTTGCTGTGTAGGTGGCCCAAACACCCCCAAACTCCCTCGGCTTCAAAGCCAACTCACGGCCTTGCTGCTGACGAACTGTAGCAGCAGCATCATCGTATGTGTGTCAGTCGGCGGCGGTGGCAAAGAGAAGGCAATCGGGTTGCCTTAAAAGGCTGGGCCGCGTTCGCCAAAAACATAACTTTGGGTGGATCGCGCGTAGCTCGTAGCGTGTCAAGACTGTACCTATCTGGTGATGTGTGGGCTGCTGCCAAGTCGGCTCAATGAATCGATCCAAACGCCCAAATGAAAACAAACTCTAGACCGGGGTCACCTTCAGTTAGTCGCAAGAGCGGTTCGTGGGCGTTTGCTGACTCGCTGACTTTGAATCGCTGCCCACCAAAGCGGCGCCCACGGTTTTGCTCCAATTGCTCAATCAATGAAAACATATACCTATTGAATGTGCTCGACAACTCACCTGGAAGTGCAGTATAATGGTCCAGATCAGGCCCAGGGTCAGCTTTGGATTGCCGTCCACAATGTCCTCGGCGCGTATGTTGACCAGCTTGATCTTCTTGTAGCGCAAGAAGTCCAGAGCCATTTGTGCATTCTGCAGCATATGGAATCGCATTTTACCCTTCTCGCGTGGCTGAAGTACATGAAAATGCGAACAAAGATACGTTGGCGAGAGCGTGACAAAAATGCTGAGAAACCAATTGAATAACGCTTACCAGGTGTTCGCCAGATAGCACCTCCAGGAGTGAAAGTAAATTGTGTCCATCGCGCAGATCTTCGAACAAGTCCACCACACGACGATTGGCCTGCAGGTGGGGGAGGTGGTTGCAAAATACCAGTAAAAGGTGAATTCAAACAAACTAGAGAGTAACCCGAAGCAACGACATGCAAACAAAACAACTCAAAATTGCTGGGACTGAACAGCAAAACTAATCGCAAGGTAATATTTAACATATTGAAAAAGCAGCAAGTAAAAAATAAGGAAAAAGTATCAACCAAAAGTTTATATGCCCTTGCAAATAAAAATACAATTGAATGGTCAGGTCAATGAAGCTAACAACTTTTCTCAAAATTATAATACTTTCTGCAAGGCAATAGCAACTTAAAAAGACAACATCAACGAATATTTGGGTTTAGCTTCAGTTAATCCCCTCAAACTCGACTTACTGATTGAGAACAACAGGGTATGCCATTTGTGGTTACACAAACATGTAGCATAGTATAGGTCTGAAAATCGTACGAAAATCAGTATTTATCTTTGTAAAAAAACTAAAGAGTTTAAGTGATAACTGGGTAATACCTTAGCATACTTCCAATGCTGCATTTTTGATTAAATCAGTATATTTTGTTATTTTAGTTATATGTTTGTACGGACTATTTTTAAGCTCGATCATTAACTCACCTTTTTCAGATGTTTGTTAACCCATTTTGTGAAAGTCTTCTTCTGAATGGCATCGCGTTCGTCTAAAGGGGAAATTAGTAAGAAAAAGATCTCATATTAGTATGTTTTGATAAACTCGATTTTGGTTAGTAGTCAAAAACCATGCAAGGCTTGGGAAGTTTGTGCCGAAAGTAGATCCGACTTTTACTGCGTCTTCTTAGATTGATAATGCTAACTTTGTCTAATGAGCCTTTTTCATCCTGTCAAAAAATGATTTATTTATTTTAAGTTATTTCTGAACGTTCTAAGAATATCCTCATAAAGTTTCAGTTTCGGAAAATATGAAAGAATACGCAACACGTTTTCTAGACGCCTGTTTCTCCCCCTTTAACATTATGTTTTTTTTGTTTGAGTAAGCGATTGAAAGAGCTGTACTAAACCGATCGAGTTTTATGCTCGCTTATTTTAAAGGTGATAAAATCTGTTCTAAATAACATAAAATTAATTTTTCTTAACTGTTCAGGTATGTTTAAAAAAAAGTGTTTTGTCAAAAAAGCCTTTAATTTGTGGGGCAATGTTTTAGTTAATTATACAACCGAATACAAATAGTTAAAAAAAATGTATTTTATAAAACATCTAAAGGAGGTTTTCTTTGAGGGCAAATACTATTTCTGCATTTTTTAACTACTGTACCAGCTCTTGCTTATTAATGATTTATTAGTGCTTGTACTGTAAGTGTGTGATTTCCCTATTTACCCCTCTCATTCGCCCTATCTATATTCCCGTTCAGGGTCTCCGCAAACTTTGGTCAATGTTTTCCTTAGCGTGATATATACAAAAATCGATAAGTAATGGGTGGGCGGGAGTTAGGTAGCCTCAGCCCTGATTTTGGTCTGACAAATGACGTGTGTTTGTTTGCGGGAATAACCCGTCTGCGAATAGGCATGTTTCCAAAACTATCGGCACAAAAATTAGGCATTTACAAGCTGTTAAACGTTTTTGCTGTAATTAGTAGAGTTTTTGTGCGCTGATAACTCTATGCTGGGGCAGAGCTTGACAAATTGTTAGGGTAAACACCCCTTTTGATTACAATCTTATCAACGAGGGACAACAAAAGGTTCTGCAGATTAATAAAAAACCAAAGAGAAACTTCAAGTCAACGACTGAGCAGTGCCGTGTCCATTGTAATAGTATTAATTTGGCTGATAAACCCGATACATTCAAGTGCCAAACGTATAAAGCCATAAACGTAGTAGAACAAAAATCAACCAAGTCATATAACGAGCAATTCAAAGCAGAAGCTAAAAAGCAAAACAAAAGCGATAACAGATAAAGTATAAGGTGTCAGAGAGAAAAAGTGAGTATAGTCGACGATCCCAACCAGTTTGACTCTCTTCTCACCACATTACTCATTCTCTTAATTTCTAAAAAGCGTCAAGAACGAAGTTTAAATGCCCTTGGAAAAGGAATTAGTATTATTCCAATAAGTGTATGCCTGCGTATGCTGTTTAGGCGACCAAATGTCTAACGAGTCAAAAATTAACCCACTAATGTGGTTGTTTGTTCAACAAAAGAACGGTGTTTATTGATAAACAATTTGTTAAAGATACAGCAAAACTAATTGGAAAATACGTGATAGATCGTCGAGGGGAATGTCCAAACACAGTAAAGCTTCCTAGAATCGTAAGATGTTTCTGGACATCAATGTTTTCAGTCAATTTGTATTTCTAACATAACTAGTGATTCATTATAAGCAGTTTTATAATTTGGGGAATTTCATGACTCATAAAATAGGTACGTAGTTAGACACATTTTTGGAGGGGTCGTAACTCCGCTAAGTTTTGATAAACTTCGAAGTACCATTAACCTTAAATACCCTATCAACAGTTTCCTTCTCTTCAGTTACAGGTAAGTTAAACCAGAGAGAGAGAGAGTGAAATGGTGAAGCGAAAAGATCATGAACTTGTTTCAATCGTTGATGACTCATCCGTTTGCAATTTTCCATTCAAGCTGGGATCCACCTTTGAAAACTCTGTCATTCATTGGGGGAGCCGATCTTTCCGCAGAAATCTTTCTGCACGATTGCATGCAACACAACCCGATTCGTAATCGGACTTATTTTTATCTTCCTCTAAGCCAAGAACAACACACAAAGAGTTCATAAATATTCAGACAAATAATGATTGTGCAAAGGTGTACGACTTCGGGGCACAAATACCGAAACAGGGTAGCACTATCTGAAAATGTGTCTGTATGCGGCTTTTTGAAGAGCGCGTGATGATGTCACGTTCTAAGTTGAATTTGTTTTCGACGATTAAACGTTCGTTAAGTTGTTGTAGAAGAGTTCGAAGAAGCTTATTTGATATTCGTTAATGTTTATTTTTGTATTTAGTCATTGTCATTGATTAGCACACTTAACCTTAGAAGGACGTTTGATCTTGGATATATATAAACAGTTACTTGAAAGTATTCCAACGTTCATCCGAACGTTTATTCAAACACACTATCTGCATATTTAAAATTATTATTTCTTTATGGAGTAGTACCTAAATATTAGAAAGATTTAGATATATCAATTTGATACATTTTTTTTTTTCTAATGACGTTAGCCTAATCGTTTTGTGACCGTCGGCAACAATCGATAAGAAATTCAGGCATTTTCCATATTAAATTATGAACTCACTACATGTTAATAACGTAAGAAAATGCACTTCAAATGAAAAGTAAAATATTTCTTGCTTTTATCTACAAGTCAACAAAATTCCAGCTAACGGCGCCAGCAAATTAGTGTCAGGCAATCGAAAACGAATAACCATCAGCATAAAAAGCTAATATAAATGTTTACAAAAGTCAATAAGCATAAACCCGTTTTTCGTCTGGACAAATGAGTTCACTTTAAAATTCGTGGAATTCTAAAGACAGTCGAAAGTTTGTTGATTTGCCAGCACAGTTTTAAAGTGTCAGAATGACCGAATTCGGGGTGCCCGGAACAGAGGGTTTTATCCACTGCATCGATGCCCAAACAAACCCCTGCTACCGTCGATCTCCCACTTATTAAATTCAAGGTCGAGATGGCACCCTTTTATTTGATCACTATGTGATGTGCCAAGAAAGGTGCGTCTAATGGTTCGCACACCATTTGTATTTGTATTTGTATTTGCCCAAGAAGTGTCAACACATTATATTTGGCGATTGTCAGAATTTGTAATATATTTATAACACTCGATAAGGCCTTGAAAAGTCCACCAAAGATATGAAATGCATTGCAAAAAAGTGAGGTAATGTATTCGTAATAGATACATTTTTCGTTCCTCGAGATCTATTTCACATTCCATTGGGTTTTGCATAAATTCCACCAGAAAGCTTTAAACCAGTTAAAAACTTCAAGCTTAAATATTTGCTTAAAACTTCTGTGGACTCTGAGCTAGCATTTAAAGAGGTCCTAACCTTGACCCTTTATAATTTGCTCTCAAGCTTGGCTTCCGTCATATGGAGTCGTTGGAAAACATGTTTTCTGGTTAGTTAAGCTTAAAAGGTAGGAAACCGCGACGGATTCATAAATGAAACTCATACAAACAAGATACAAGCGGAGCGAACTTGAAATGCAAATGATTTCCGCTGGGGCAATTAATAAATCTTTGTTGGACTCAAAGGGAGGAAACATCAAAGAACTGGAACACAACATGCCACAAGGAATCGAGGAAATCCTATTTCCCACTTACGCATTATGTCCCAATCTTCTATAAAGTGATCCCAAATGGACATGCTACCTTTAAACTGGGTGAGGGCATCCTCGTAACCACCCTGCGGCTGTGCCTGGGTGGAAGAGTGCTTGGCCTTCTTGGGAGCAGCCGGGCTGTTGCTGGTCTCGTAGAGCGGCGAGGATGCGCTGCCAGTCGCCGAGTGACGGTGGTGCTGCTGCTGATGGTGGTGATGACTGTTGTGGCTGTTGCTGTACAGCTCGCGATCCCGCTGCTCCCGCTGGACCTGCTGGTACTCCAGAGTTCCGTTGTTGGGCGGTAGTCCTGCACCACCCGGGGAAACCGAGATTCTTGCCGGCGACTGACTGCTACTGGTGGTTGCATGATGGTAGCTCTGGTGGTGGTGCGTCGTCTGACGAGAGCTGCTCCGCTTCATCGAGTTGCTGCTGCCGGGCTGCTGCTCATTGGGATCGAAGCCCAGGCGGTCTTTATAGTAGGAATGCGATGTCATCTTGCGGGTGGCACATTAAGAGAGACTCAGATACACTTTGAACACTGTGGGGACTTGTCAGTCGTCAACTTTCTCTGCAAATTTTTCGTTTTTTGACGACTCTTAGCACGTTTCGAAGTTTATGTTTGCGATGGCACTTTGTGATTTTTATTTCGATTGCTCTCGGTTGGCTGGACCTGGAGTTGGAGTTGGCAAATTTAAATACAAAGATTGTTTATTTGTACAACCAAATTAGCTGCGATGATTCAGTTGCAGACGCTGCGATCCGCGTACTTGAACGTGAAATCATCAGAAAGCAGCAATTGCAAATGAGTTGCAATTAGCGAGATACCAATAAGGAATGTACTAAGCACTTGACTAAATTTAAGTAAAAGTTCTCGTTGACGAAGTCGGCTATCTGCACGTAAAAAAATTGTATAGAACAGCTACTTGCCACATAAAATTGTGTGTAATTTGTACTGTTGATTTTAGTTAAAAATTGTTATTCTCTTTTTATCTTCTTTTTAACGATCCCAATAGTTTTTCATAGGTTTTCCTATACATCAACATAAAGTTTATTATTTTTAATAATAAACATCCCCAAACGCCCACCATTTAAGTCTTTTTTCCTGTGTACCATAGAAGAGTTCCTATATATTTGGTGTCTTTGACTGTATGTTTTCGCGTTGCCGGCATTTTGTTCCAATTGGCCGTTGGCCAAAAGAAAACGTGCTGGGCGAAATGTATCTACCAGATACGATACACTAGTTTACGTGGTGCATTTGTCGCCAGGGGCGAACGAACTGGCGACGCCTTCCACCAGATACAGCCACATATACCAAGACACTATGGGAGAAGGGCGCGATCGCGATCGCTTCACTTTTACCCGGCAGCCAAATTGAAATTTATAAAGATAAATTGAAACTGAAATCAGACGCAGCTGCAGACACAAAGCTCAAGTAAAAGCGAGCACTTAATTCATTTCTTTCCGCGTCCATTTTTTTCATCAATTTTTTCAGTCTTTACAGTGACAAAACTGTGATCCAATTTGTTCGCTTACTTTCATTTGCAAGTAACAAATAAATCTCTACTTCTGCCCAGGTTTTGGAGATATATTTTTTTGGTGGGTGATTCCATTCAATTCATGAGGTCAGCTTGGAACTGTATTTCTGGCTCGGACCCGAAAGCACAATAAGTATAAATAAATAAATGCCCAGACACGCAACCAGCTGCGGGCCCAGGAGACGGGTTGTCGCTCTGATTAGATACGAATACTATTATATATACCCGTAGTCGTACGTAGATATGGACGGACCCATTTCTTCGCTCTCCCAACTCATTTTTCATTCAAAGTTTGCGTAGTTTACTTTGGCAGAAGGGTACTTTGATTTTAATCTGAAGATTGTGATAAAGAATCCCTGTTTTTGATCAATTGCATTTTGAAAAAATTGTTTAATTAAAAAATTCGACTAGTTTATCTTATAGGTGTTCTATACACTATTCAGACTTCCTGCATAAAACAACTAGTTTTTTTTTCGTTTACTCTGACTTAGATGTTTTTGAAAAGTATAAAAACTTCGACGTGCCTTCTTATTATTTTCAATATGTGTGCATTGTCTGCTTTAAATTTTTAATGTATTTAGGTAAACTCTGGGCGTTACGTAGCTAGATGACACACAATCATTCTCTGTGTCGTTTTTGTGAACTTTTACTTGAATTTTAGTTAAGGTTTTAGTTTTGGGTATTTCGTTTTTAATTTCTTTGCTGTTTATGTATTATTTTCCAACGTCAACACTTTTTGTCTCTTTTGCTATTGGCATCTTTTACTGGCTGCAGCAAGTGGCTTTCAATAATTTTCACTCGTATTTTTGTTGCTCGTTGTGTTATGGCTTTTTGTTATTGTTATTTGCTGGCTGCTTGTTCCGTGTGCATTTTCCATTCACATGCAAAATTTCACACAGTAAATTCACGGAAAATATTTCCCCACTGCCACTGCCTGAACTTGGCTTTTTGCCTCTCTCTTTTTCCCGTTTCTGCCTCCGCCTCCTCTTCCTCCCCCAATTTGTGGCACAGTTATGCGAGCTGTGCATTTTCTCTCACTTTTCTAAGCCAGGCTTAAACGGGAGAGCCGGAATTAAGTATGCCTGGCATGCCAAGAAAGCCGTGTGTTCGGAACCAACAGGTAAAAGAACAGGGAGTACGGAGAGAAATGAGAGAGGCAGAACGGCGGGTACACAGAAAAAAATAGTTTAACTGTTTGTTTCAAGACTGCTTTAAGGCATAACAGATTGAATTGTAATTGGGGCATTTATTTATAAAAAATATATTTAATTTTTTAAAACTGTGCCACAGAGAAGGGCAGATCTATTTCAATTATACAACAAAAATGCAACTTTTATTGCAAGGTTCCTAACGTTTTTTCAGTTAAAGTTGGTGTTTTTGGTGTGTGTAGAGAGCACTGCATGCGTTTGGCATGACTAATTTGTCTTTAAAAAGAAAAAACGAGAATGAAACACAGACTACAGTGGCACTTTGTGGATTTTAGTGCGTGTGAGCAGCGATCAAAAATCCGAGACCAGATCGCCCCTAAAGAGCAATTCAAGCTCACCAAAATCTGAAGAAAAAATCTGACAAAAACTGGTTATTGAATGAAAAGTCAGCCGACGACGAACAACAACAAAAATGGCAAAAACAACAACGCACAACTAAAAAGAAGTTGGGAGAAGTTGAAAATTTCTCGTTTGCGACAGGCAAATATTTAAAAAATGCAACACAGCTGCTGGGTTCTCGTGAACCATCGAGTTTTAAGTTCTTGGTTTCCTCTTATGAGTTTCTTTATCGGTTGGTTTATTTAGGACGATAACACAACAGCGGCCATTCATGCAGTCGCCGAATTTAGTCACTTATTTATTTTTATAGTGTTTCGGGTCTTTGCTGCTTCAACACAATTTTAGCAGTAAAGATAAACGCGGTTGTTGTGTGTAAGTTCCGAGTGTTGTTCCTTTCGGAATATATATTATAATTTTGCACTTTTTTCCGGGTTTCTCCTCACTTGCTAAGGGCCAAGTTGCGTTCGCTAACTGCGCGTGAGTGTGTGCGTTAACAAATTGTTGTTGCCACACCACACACACACTTGTATATAAACACGGTCGCAACGCACGCACACACAGTCACTGGTAAGAGAACGAAGTTCTAGTAGAGAAACGCCCAACCGCTCGGTATCGCGGTTCAAATTTGACTGAGCGTCGTTGGGCCAAGCGAATTTACTTGGGTGCTGAGATACAAATGCAAGAGTCGAGATACAAGAGCGAAGAGAGCCCGCAGAGAGAGAAGGAGAGCGCGAGAGCGGGGGCGCGACGGCAGGTGAGTGTGAGTGAGCGGAGCAGGTGTATCGCTGTGCTCTCACTTCAATGAGCAAGATCAGTTGGCTAACTTGTTATGAGTGAATAACCGCGCTACTCTGCTCCTCAGCTGTTCATTTGATCAGTTGTTCACTCGCTCTTCGCTGTTCACTTTGATCAGCTGCTTAAAATGGTCCCACGAGGGAATTTATGTGTGCTTGGATCAACCTGTTGACCTGATGTTAGGACCGTAAAGAACCCTGCACTAATTTCGGAAAACAATGTTGGCCGCCTCTTGGATAAATGAATAATTCGAGTGTGAGCCAAGGAGCGATAGCTTTCTTATTAAAGTAAAGAAATAAGAAAACATTCTGCGAGTGAACTAGTGAACAAGTCAGCGAGCGGGTGACCAAAACGTAAACAAAAACTTCAGATTGTTAGTTACTCACTTACGTAAGTAACTGATTAACTATTTTTCCGCACTCACTCATGAGCAATTCAAAACCTAATGCGTGGCCGGTTTTGTGTGGGCAAAAAAGAGCGTGAGAGAGAACAGCAAATATCCGCTCTTTGAGTGGCGTTCGAGGCTCAGTGCACAACATGAATGACCGAAACTGTCACTCTAACACGAGTGCACTAACAAAAAAGAATTAGAATATTATTAAAAATGTTTCATTTTATAATACTTGCATACCCCTACTTCCAATATCCAAAAATATTTCAAAACCTCTCCCATTTATTACAATTTCAGCACTTAATCTCATTTGGATTTCAATTCGTTGTAATCTCTAAACTTCCCAAAAGGGTTCAAATCAAAAAATCTTTAAACCATTATTTTTTTTGAAGTATCCAAAAATATTTCTGAGCCTCTGATATTGTATAAGAGATGTATTTCCCTAAACATTTTTCAGTGTGAGCGGAATAAAAAGAAATTCCTCATATTTGGTCAGACGTTGGCTATTTTTCTGCGGGCCAGAGGAAGCCGCTTAAACATGTGGGCTCACCGAGATGCGAGAATAATAAGTATGAAAGAAAATAAAATAAACCGCTAATGGTCATGGCCGTTAATAAACAGAAAGCCCTAATTTGGCTCTCGTCTTTTGTGTGGTTTATTAGCCAAGCCGCAAAGAAATAGTCATGGAAGTAGAGGGAGACCGCAGATCGACACGCACTTGTAAACAAATTCGGAAAAAACTGCAGTTGAAAGAACTTTGACATAAACACGAACAAGCGTGGCCAAAAAAACATGTGTATAAATAGAAGAATCCATAAAAATGTAAGATGCAATTGGATTAGAGAGCAGAGAGTCGAGTGCTTTTCGATTTCTTTGCTCAAGAGCAGGCCAAGAGAGCGGCCCGATCAGCTGAGATGCGCATTAACTTTTTCGGGTGACATTAGCTTTTTGGAAAACGCGTTATGAAAATGGAAAGTGTAATGCATTCTGCCACGAAAAGTAAAAACGTAAATCGATCTGAAAAGCGGCCATCAAAAAACAGCTGTTTCGCTTTCAACGGAAATGCCATGCAGCGGAATTTCAGGCGAAGGGGTGTGAGTGAGTAGGAATCACTTGTATTCCATCATCACAGTGACTCAGGTCGAAAATGTGACTAAGCCTTTGTCCATAAATGAGTATCGAATTTTCGGCGTAGGCTTAAGCGACCAAGTTGGCCTTTTTCAGTTCTTAGGCCAAAAAACATACGTAAAACTTGGGACAGTCACACAGAGAAAAAGTCACAAATTTTAAAGGAATCAATAAGCTTTGTAAACTTTTTTCCTTATTTAATTTTGTTTTTCCCCACGAATATCTAAGTTTTGTGGTTTCTAATTCTCAATCTCAGCATTCGGAAATTTGAGAGCCTGTTTGGCAATTGAAAACGAAGGAACGCTACTGTTGCGGACCTCGACAACGAGATTCCCGTTAGTCCCTTATCCAATTGAAGAATCATCGATGATAACTGATGTTTGCCTGGCTGGGACATCTCTAATCATATTCTTGCTATGGGCAGTGGCTTACTAATCATTACTTTCTAGCCAATTCTAACAATTTTTATCCTGGCAATAGGTATTGCCAAATCAAATAAATAGTTGAACACTGAAATACTTTTTTTAAAAAGTGGGTGCGGTTGATTGGAATGATAATGCCTATGAAGCACATGCTTGCTTCGGCTCAAAGCCATGCCCACAAATCTCAAGTTTGTGGCGCCCACATTTTTAAAAATTTGCTAGCTAGCCACTCAAATTAAGCGTTCTCCCTTGATTTTTATTTAAGGTTTCGCATTTTCTCTCAGTGTGGGTATTGTCTTTGGGCCCGCCATCGTTCATTTGCATGTCTCTCAGCCGGGTTCTCAGTCTCGATCTCCGTCTGGGTCTCAGTCTCACTCGAGTGATTCCCGCATCTAGATAATCCAATCCATCCACTCCAACACTTGGCAGTCATCTAGTTTCCCTCTTGGCCAGCCAGCCCACTTCCTCAAGTGGACAACACCCCCAGACAATCGATACATGAATGGTATATCCAAAGTACATATTAAGAGCAACTGTTTTTCCATGCACATGGTGTTTTGGTTTTAATTAGTAATTGGCAATCGCACATCGTTGAGCAGATTTTGAATTACCAGGGGATAAGAAGGGGCGCCATTTAATTGCCAACTGATTGTTATGGCATTTTGAATTGGCTTCTGGCACGCCATTGAGTTTGGAACATGTAAATGGGTTAACAAAGTGGGAGGTGGTGGAAATTTGATTGCCAATCAGCAAGGATTTTCATGGAAAGTTGAGGACTTGGGTTTGATTTGAGACAGGTATTGTATGCACAAAAATAAAGATTTAGCAGCGATTGAATAGTCTCACCCACTTAGTCACTGAGCCGTCGGGCAGCGGCTGCCGCCCATAGCTATTGCTATTACTAAACCGCTGCCCACGCTTACGCCCAAAGTCTTCGGAATTCCGCCTGTCACAACCAACATCCGTCTCAAGGCAACCAGCGCAGCCCCAACCACTTTACGAAAAACCAACTACAGACTGAGTCTCAGACGCCGCTGCAGACAATTTCCCGTTCGGTCGCGGAATGCCGGCAATTGAAATTGCAATCGAAGAGAAACGACAATTTATCCGCACTCAGTCAAGCCAACTTAGTCAAATGAATTAAGGTATATGAATACAAGTTCTTAATTTACTGCCTACACATACACAAAAAAACATACTTCATATTAGGCAATTCGGAGTAGGCTTTTTCATTTTAATCCAAGAGCACTACAGCACGTTCATCAAAGTTTAACTTAACGACAGGTGATAAAAATTCTTATGATTGACATGTAAATTGACATAATGTCAGATGAGGTTTTTCTGATAAATACCAAGTGTTTTTTTATGTGCACTTCTGGTTCGTGCGATTTTAATTCAATTTGGGTTTTAGCTTTTAGAATCCATTAGGACATAAGTTTTAAATTTCAACTGGCTTACAAGATATGACCATTATAAATAAAATGATTGTTTAAAAGTTGAACTCGCTATAATAGGTAAGCCAGAGAAACCCAGATGGGTTTCCGTACGTGAAGTCCAAATAAGTGTAACCTAACAAAATGTCTATTTTGTAAAGCCCAAAAGGTATCACATAATAATATACATTTTTTGTTTTTAGGACACGAATAAATTGAAAACATTTTTTGTCTAACACCTTAGTTACAAGAAAAAATTGTAGCTAAAAAATTTTCAAAAATTTCTAGTTTTCAAAAACTTAAAAGCCGTTTTATAGTTACAATTTCTATTACACATTTGAATCATATCATGCAACAGCACAACAATTAAGCGTTCAGTCACTATTTATTTTTAATTTTAAGTTGTGTCATATAAATAAATAAATATTATATATATAATACTCATGCATGAAGAATGTTTAGTCCCTTGCTTAGGGTATTATTAATTCAGCCAGAAGTTTGTAACGCAGGGAAGTCTATGTATATATGATCAGCATCAATAACCGAGTCGAACTAGTGTCTCAGCTTTAAGGTTATATACAATGTTCCCTATTTTAGGTAGTACATAGGACGAAACGGGCCGAATCGGTCAACTACGTTCATAGCTCCCATAATGATAGGAAATTTTATTTTCAACTTTGATTATATGGTTGAAATATTTTTGAATTACGAATTTAATTTTATTTAAATCGTATGACTATACCATGTAGCTGCCAAGGGAACTTTCGAGAAATTAAATGGAAAAGAAGAGGTATATTGTTTTTCGGTTTCTGTACTATGACTTGAATAGCAGAATATGGTTTAAGCTGCACGGTTATGCTTATGCAGTCATTGAAAAACTCAGATCTTTTTAAAAATAAATAAACTAAATCATTTAAAAAAGTATTAATTTAAAACAATAAGATTGTTACATTCAAAATAGGAACGTATTTGCCGGCTCTCAATGAAGACATAATCTGGACTCGAGTTTCTGCAACTGTCGAAATAACCAGACGGATATGTGTGTCAATGTGGCATTTGGCCTGGCTTACTGTGAAGTCACAGTGTAAACAAGTCAGGATGGAATGCCGGCTAAGTGGACTTCCCCTCTTCCCCAATCTCCAAACCGCTGAAAAGTTACATTTTTTCCTTATTCGGCTACGGCTTTGACTGACTTATTCCCCATTTTTGCTGGCTTTGTAAACAAAGGTGGCAAAACGGGAAAAAACAATGGAATATGGAATTCGTGTAAGTTCACTTCACTTCAAGGGTGCCCTGCCCCGTGGCCCTCCTCCTTTATGGAACGGGTGACCCACTGAAGGCAGGCAGACCCCAGAAGTGAGTGTAGTTACCCATCCCAAAAAAACAGGTTTACTATACAAAGTAGTGGGCGTCTTCTACACGCGAAACAAAAGTAACCCCAAACATGTAAAAAAAAAAAAGTCCAAATTATTGTCCACCCACTACAAATAAGGAACCTTTTTCATCAAATTAGTTTGTATTGTTTTTAAATATTTGTATTTTTAAGAAAATGTTTTCTTAAAATAGTTTGGATATTGAAATTTCAACATCAACTGCACAAATCATGTTGAAGTTTGTTTTCAATGTTTTAAATAATTTCTGGTTATTTTGAAAAATGGGAAGTTGCTATACAACGGCCTATTTTCCGAATAATGACGATTTTCTTTAAGTGTACGTGGCTTGTTGTTTACTTTTATTTGCGTGTAATGTCATTTAAATGATTGCTCGATTGCTGACAAAGGCCAACTTGTTTCGCAGCAGTGACGTCATGGTCACTCCACCCACACAGAAATCGGAAAAAACATCGCTGCGATATATATAACAGGTCATAAATATCCATAAAGTGATATTGGCTGGAGCTGAGATCATTGCAATTTCTGTGAAAGCCACAAAAGCAGGAACGCCTTGAATGAAACTCCCACAGCGCGAAAAAGTAATGCCACTTGATCTAGCGAAATAAAAGCATTGCACAACATCTGCTGGGGGATATGTATATAACTATCTTCCCCTCGATAAAGTATCTTGACCTCGCATAGCCCGAGTGTCTCATTTCGTGGCTGTTGATCGTCACTGGCAATTAGTAGCGTAATTAAATATTTGTGTACAAATAAATTGTACGAGTGTGCCTGCGTACATTTTTATATAGATTTTATTTATAACCATGTGCCTTCGGCGGTCCTTCGCTTTGATCCAAAGTTTTTGTTTCTCATTTGGAGTGGACAAATTGACACACGAAATTGCTTATCTTAATGAGTCAGAAGAGTTTCTGGGATGTTTTGGGGATGTAGGGAGGACGGGGGACCCGAAGTGGGGGACAATTGTCTGGGAAAGGTGCCATATGGCGTTTTCAGCCTTCGGGGGAGTTAGATACCGAGATATTTACTGTATGTGCGTTTGAATATTGTTCACGAGTATCACCTGCCAGTCAGGAAATCAATATGTTCGTTTGGATTCAAATGCTACAGATTTATTTATGTATCATTATTTTTATTTGCTTGGCTTTTCAATTAAATACGATGATTGAAACTTTAATCGTCGTTTTTTTATTTCAAGAGCGGCGTTTATGAGTTATTTAGGGTATACTTTCGTTAACTTATCTAGTATGTAATATGAGTTAATTCATGAAAAATGTATTTTGATATTTATACACACGGTTTTTTTATGTTATTGAATTTTAAAATAAATTGAGTAAAGATAAATGTAAAAAATATTTTTATATGTAGATACTAATAGAGCTGTTATCACGTTGAATTAGTAACCATTGTGGGATCTATAAACTGTTGTTTCTAGAAGTTAGCATGGTTTAAATTGTTTTAAAGTCGATTTTATTAACATTCTCTTTGAGCCATGCAAAAACGTTAGAACACTAAATTTATAGACACCTGGCAAATACACATAAAAACATCCACAACAATGTAGGGAAGATAAAAAACCCAGGATTCATTAGATTCCATAGCACTTAAAAATGTCATAACTCAAGACGAATAATTACTAAAATCAGTCGCTGGAAATAGAGAGATAAACAAACGGAGAGTGGGGAAACAATGCGAACGAGAAATGCAAATTGAATTGAAAACTAATTAGAGATATCTATACAAACACAAGCCCACCCAATCGAAATACAGACAAACAGCTGCAGAACGATATGGAGACACAAGAACACATAACGACAATTAAAAATCCAAAAAGCCAAAGGAGAATCGCCGAAAACAGAGAATGCGAATACGAAATACCCCCAATGTCACAAAGAAACAGAAGCAGAAGATAGCAATTGGAGAATAAAACAGACTATAACAGGGAAACAGTTATCAGTTTTCAATTAACAACATCGTGTTATGTCAGCAGGCGTATCTGTATCTTCCAGATACAACAGAAAATGTAAAAAAAAGTATTTCACGCGACAAAATTACTACCTTTTTTGATTTTTATAAGAAACTGATAAAATTATATTGGGAAAGTTTGAAAAAAAATCAAGACCAGTTTTCTTTAATAATTCTTTAAAAATCTAATATTCGACCTAGTTCCGTGAATGTCATTAAAATACAACTCTGTTGACTTCCTTTTGACAACTGTACTTCCGGTGGCAGCCGCAGCCTGTTGCCGAGCTGATTTGCCCATTAAAACCGATCGTGTACGTAAATGTGATTGGAATATCTAATAGTTTTCAACCACATAAAAACAGAACACAGACACTTGCCAGATTTATTAATGAAATCTGTGCGATGCAACCCGGGGATTGGCGTCGCCCCTCCACATTTTTCGATGCGATTTTGGCCAAGCCTTCTGACAAGCTAACGAAAAAGTTCGATAACGATAGCGCGGTATCGAGCCAAGCACTTCAAGACGCTGTCGATTAATGGTAATGGGACAGGCCCGGTGATAACACCAACCTAAAAATAACTGCTGTCGAATGCTGTCAAAGTAATCCGAAAACAAAATCAAAAATGGCTCGATTCAGAGTATTATAGCCTGGCCAAAATCTGAAAATGTTGCTTCATACCCACACGCAAACCTCTAAATATTCAAACACCAAAATTGGTTCACTTTGCGCAGGCGTAGCCAAAGGTGAGAAAATCAAAATGAGAGAGTAATGCTTAAAAATATACCAGCAATTGTAAACAGAAGACCGTAAGCTAAAATTATTTAACCCAGCCATTACACATCCTGGGATGATCCAAAGCAACGCGTTTGAAGGGGCGTTGTACTGTTCATTAGCTAGTTGCCAGTCTTTTTTCAAACAGTTTCCAACTGTTTGTAGGCAAGTTTTCCGCTTTCCGTTACATGCATTTGGCCAAATTGTGTGTGGGCTAACTGGCTCAGGGCTAATTAAAACTCAGCGGCAAACAACGAATATTACGGGGAACCACACAAAACTTGATAGAAAAAGAGCGAAAACTCCATCAGAGGGCGCAAAACTTTTCATTTCGCATGTGAAATCGGATTTGGGTTTGGATTCGGCTAAGGAATGGGAACATGGGGGCACATTTGTGGAGGTGTCCCTCTCGGGGTCTTAATCCCAGACATCAATCTCACTTTATAAATATCTCCAGCACATGCACACAAACTCAAAGCTCGTTAAGGTAAAACGAGTTTTGTTTTCAGTTTCATTGACGATCTTGGGCGTTTCTTACTTATTGAATCAAATTCAATTGAAAGTAATTACGACTGAACGCTGACGCATGTTACTTATCATGTTAAAATGCTGCATCTCAAATAATAAAAGTATTATTTTTATTATTACTTCTTAGCTGTTGAATTAGTCCGAACCTATATAATATAACTTTAACAAGTGAAAACGCTAAAGTCGATGGCCTCGACTATTAAATACCCGTTAATCAGCTAGCGGGAGTGCGAGTGCTGGCAGCAAATCTGCCTGTTTCACTAACACACCTAGAATGCAGCGCAACTTAGCGCCACCTAGGCTATAACGCCCCTAGCGGCTTGGTGGCGTGTTAGTGAAAACAGCTGAATTGCTGCATGTGGTGTGCAATCTCGGTAGAATTAGCAAAATATTGATTATTATTTGGTTATAATATTCTAATGAATGGCCTGATTTTTGGAATGCATATTGATAATTGGAACAATATCTTATTTATATTTTTACAAAATCATGAAAAATGTGGGCGCTAGACTGGTTTTGGTGTTATGTTAGAGTGGGCGTGGCACCCTGCTGAAACAAACTTGCGCTGCGCAGGA